GTGTAACAAAATGAAAATGATTAGGTGGTCTAATTATTGCGTTTTTAGACTTTAGTTTGGTTCTAATTTCAATGTCCGAATCAAATTGGAATTATTTTGAGTTAAAACACGTCCAACTGTTAACTTAAGATGGTTAAATTAACCCAATATGCTATGAGAGTACAATGATATCTCAGTTTACAAACATCCATGTGCATGGTATCCACAGCCATAAATATAATGACAAATACACATATCACTGAACAAAATAAATTGAATTTAGTCCCAGCGCAAAATGAATATAATCTGAGATAACCAATTGACTTTTTGAAGATTCTTGTAAATAACAAGTATAAATCAATAACCTTGAACGTTGTTTCGGATGTTTTTAATAGGATAGTTGTATATATAATGAAAGCGTGGTTTAATGTTAAAATGTTTTTGCTAAATTTTTTGTCGATATATATATATATATATATATATATATATATATGTAGAATTATATGAACTGGGATTTTGCCGTACACGTAAGAGACGGTCAAATTCAAATGGAATGTGGAGATTCTAAATATTAAATAAATTTATCTCATAAGAGACAAACAGCATATTGTTCTGATAAGACGGTGGAAAACATGTATGTAATCGTCACTTGACATTGGCTTGCCATCTATAAATACACATTGATTCCGTTAGACATAAATTCCGCAAAAATAATACACAAGAATTTACATATCGTCCTTATTATATATCAGCACATTTTAATTTGCTATATTTAAGAACCTAATTGTTGAAGCATTAATAAAATTGATAGCGTCTCAGCTAATTCAACACCCCTTTATCACAAACCAATCTAGCGAAAGCTTCGTTTCTAGAAGTTATATATGCGAGTTATATATGTCAAAAAATTAGTTGATGGATAATTATATTCAAATAAAAAAAACTTGGTTAATATGTAAATGATATAAACTTTCCACCGCTAGTGCGCCCTGCTCAATGAAACGACAATACGCTTGTAAACATGGTCCAAAGAATCAACTCCTCATGCCGCAAGGTGTCTCGCGTAATTGCCCACATAAAGAATGTGAACTTCCTGAAAAGGTTGTCGTTCGACTATTGTTATATTGGCTCGTCGAATTTTGCCAATTACAAGAAAGATACAGCTGATCTGAATCTTACAGTGAAGAAAGTATATAGCCTGGTTTAATCAAATTGTCTAATAAACCTGTAAAATTCTACGTCTTGTTATTTGGTTTCAGTATTTGAATCAATTTTTCTTCAAATCTTACTCTACTCAAAAAAAGGCATGAAGCAATTAGATATTAATCGCGGCTGTTGGAATAGTTTACATGAAACTATTTGCCATTGAGTAACGCTTTATTAGTTTTCGCAAGCGGGAAGCATGATCTTTTTGTCATTTTCAATGTTTCCAAAATAAACTATACCCAACCTGAGTGGATTGCATGAACCAACGTAACAGACTATGGTTATAATATACTTTTATTTACATTACATATATATTCACTAAAATTCTTACACACAAACAAACACAAACACAATAAATGAACAAACTACCCTACCAATTTCTGATGTGTTAATATAAAACCTACAAATTGTTTGTTGCTGACTTAAAATACGTTGTTGAATAAAACAAAATAATTAAATATTTAAATTCAAATTGTAGCAAACAACAACAAATTGTAAACTACATCCATAATGCAATCATAGTACGATATAATACATAAAGCAATTTCACATTTGCGAAATGGTTCAATAATAACACTGCAATAAATGCAAGCAAATGAAGACTTAGTAGTAATACAATCGTTCTTAGGTGCGATGGTGTTGTGGTTATGGCGTTGCACTGACTACGTTGGTAACGCATGGACATTCCACAGACCACGTGAACGGGGGATCGCCAGGTAATCATACACCGTTCGGTGAGAATAACTTGGACCAATTTAATGGATGAAAAACCCGCGTGTTGGTGTAACTCTTCGAAATTAGCCAAATTTGGAATAGAACAATTGGCACTAATTAGGACAGTCCAAAAATAATTTGAAACCAAATCAAAGTAAAGATAGATAGATAGATAGATTTATTTCGAAGACTCCATAATATACACAAAATATAAAAGGAGAATCCTGGAGAGCGAGCAAAACCTTTAAAAAAGTTTAAAACATGAGAAATATCATGTGCCCGCCCACCAGCACACACGCAAAAAAAAATCAAAAACCTTTTTAAACAAGGCTTGGGCCAGAAATAAACAAACAAAAGATACGCGAATGTATTGAACCTTCGGGCTGTTTTACTTTTGAAGCACTCAATCTACAGTAATAATGATTTAGAGACAATTCAGTACGGAATATCTGTATATGCCAAATTTAAATGTCTTGAAAGGATTGTTGAATCCGGGTTCTTCTGTGGTTTTTGATAGCTCAATTCAAAATCATTGAATCCTTTTCAATGCTTCCAACATTAATATCGAATTTCCACGCACAAGCACCATTTAAAACACTTTCAGAAAACAAAACTATTCTACTTTGAACTAAAGGGATTGGTCTAACAATTGCAGAAAAGAAGCTGTTGTCAACAACATGAACAACAATACAGCAACACTACTGTCTGCAAGTTGTTTCTGTAAATAGTCAGATTTTCAGTATAAAAAATGAAAAATCTCAAGGCTCAATTGGCCATACAGAAACATTTCACATCCAAGTAGGAACATTATCCAAACAAAGCATTTCCGTAACTAGTCAGGCTCGTCATAAGCCTCAAGGTGAAACCACCATGTCGTTGGAAACACTGTTGATTGAATGAATGTTTTATGCTGGGTTTTGATATTTGAAAACATTTATTAATGATGTTCTGTTGTTGCCTTAATTTTTGGTACAAAATAAATGAAAGATTGATGAATATCGCCTAAAAATTTATGATAATTCATTCGGGAATTTTTGCGAAAATTGCTACAACACATTGTTTTTAACATACGCACCAATGTGAATCAATTGTTAAAATAAAGTAGGCCTACAATAATCGAATTTTAGAATGATGACTGGACTTTTTATAAATAAATTTTAACATTAATAATTCTCAGATGACGGTTTTCTTTATGACCTAACCTTGGCTTTATCGGTGAGCTTGAACAACGGACTAGCCTTTCGGTTCGAGATTTTTTAATACGAATGGCGATACCAACATCCTTATGCAAACGCACTAATCACTGAAGTCATCGGCGACCAACAGTTGCGACATTATTGACAGGAGGCATTCGGCGTCTTTTCGAAATTGCGTAAACTTCGTAACATAGAACTATATATATATATATGTGCCAAACAGGGTTAAGACTTTAAGGGTCTTTAGCTAGATGATAGATGCGTTTGCCACTACGTTAAAACAGAATTAGAATCATACCACTGTAAGTTGAGAGGTACATGTTGAGAGGTACATCCCCCAACAATTACTACTTATATGCATCCAGAATGAATACCCACCTAACCAGACCAGGTGTGGAGAATGGGCAAGCATTCGATTACCAGTGGGATAAATACAAAGTATAATCCTAATACTACCTATATAAAATACTATCGACACAGAGTTGTAAGTTGAGCCGAGTTTATCTGTACAGGATTGGGTGCGCGATTTAGTTTGAATGGAAAATAAACATATTTTTCAATTATCAAATTCAACTAATTAACATGTATTGGAATCCCCTATAAAGATTTGTTTACATTATTAAATAATTTTACCAATCTCATTAAATTTACAAATACAACAATTTTAATTCTGGATGGCGCTTGGAATTGTGAATTCTGGTCAAGTATATGGGTTAAAATCAGCTTGCTTACAACTCTGTGCCCCTAAATAGTCACTCACGCTCGCACTCACTCAATTATAATTAAATTTTTCTGTTAATGTTTGCGATGTAAACCCAAGCATCGCGCAAATGGGAATAACAAGCATTTCAGAAACTTGCTTGCTTTCTTCCCCTTTGCTTTCTGTTGAGGATGAACACGTCGGTGGTTACGTCTTGTGTTGATTGGCTCGTTCTCCATTTTCATGGGTTTCAGTTTTGCCTCCATTGCTTCCTCTGTTCTTGCTCTCTCAAGGCTGTAAAGAATCATATATATGTGTCAGATGGAACTCTGAAACAGGACTTTACTTGATCGTAAATTGAACCACTTGTGCGTATATATGACTAGCCACTTGGCCAAAAGAACTTACACGCTGCTCTAGTCAATTATTATGTCGTGACTCTAATAAGTGTTACCAGTACTGGCGTTTAAATTTACCCGTTAGTAAAAGCAGACGGGACATACGACTTTCTTATTATACATAACTCTTGATTCTACGTCGTTAAAAAACGTCGTTAATTAGAAATAAATAAACACAAGTTAGTAATCACCATTCGTCAATGAGTTCGTCAACCATCACGTTGAGAATTTCCGCTACGTTGCTGCAATATTCATACGATAAAAATATTTCTTCCGGATAATTCGGTATGGGTAGGGCGACTGCTTGTGGTTTAGGATCATGAACCGATTCTTGATCAAACAATCCAAGAAAGTCGTCCTCCAGTTGCAGGCTTTCCAAAGATCCTTTTTAAACAAAATATGTTCAATATAGGGCACGAAACTTGAACTTCCCAACGGTTATTTCCATTCACAAACATTAACATTTTCGTTAAAATGTAGTTCCAGACGAGCCCTCAGCACCCTGGCTACAAATATGTAGGGCCGACCGGTCGGCTTTAATCTATAAATACGAGTATAGGTCATCACATTTTTTTGTTCCTATACTACGACTCAATATTGTTTCACATTTCACTCTGCTTACTCAAACTTACTTAAATTCGGATAGCTGCGTGTTTCCATTATCGGAACAATTGCCTGATCTTGCGTCATCACGATAGGTTCGCTAGCCATTTTCTCCATAATTTTCTGATATTCGACATGCTTCGTTTCGAACAAACCTGGGAATTTATAACTAATTTTTTAACATCTATATTTTAAAATTCCATTACATATTTTAAAAAAATATACTTACTCAAGATGCAAGGTGAACTTTGAGTGCTCAGCCAGCATTCCTGCTTCGGTTTTTGAATGATTGATGGATTGAGATAGTACTCGCTTCTCCACTTTTTGGTTGTCGTTAGTGGTGAGATCTATGTAAATTAAAATAAATTGTACCATGGACATTTTAAATAGTAGTGATACAAATATCATGCCCAAAATGAAGCACAAAATCGACACAGTTATCGCATACCGCAGGCATGTGCATACTGGCATTTAAATTTCAATTAATTGCTTACCATCATATCCCCAGAAGCTTTCATAATATTCATTCTCGACTGCATAATTGTCATCTAGTTGTTCACGCGGTGAAAACTGTGCAATTGATATTTTCTCAAAATATAAATCAATTTTAATAAAATTGTTACGTTTATGACGTCACAATAACAAAATACACTTCGCCGGACGTGCCATTGCTTGTGGCATTTCATACTACTATATTTGTTTGCCGTTTAAGGTGATTTTCAGAATAAGTGTTAGATAAAATTAAAATAAAAAAGCAGCTTTCCATCTCATGAAACAGGATTGTTTTCGTGTACACCGTATCTGTGCGCGGGTCGCTGACGACGATTTCGCCACTCGTTTGCCTTGCTCATAACTGTATTAGCACGGACCGCAGCAATGAAGTCCAAACAGACTTCATAATGGCGCCAAGCAAAGTGATTAGTTCTTTCTAAGCGCCTCATAGTGTTGTGCTGGAAGCCTGCTTAGTAAATTGGTTTGCAGCTCAGGAATCGGTGGACACTTGGTTGTGTTATCATACGGACTTCAAACTGAGGTTACATGGTTTAAAAAGATCTGTAAGTTCTGAATTACGTCAGGTTGATTTGTGTTTGTTTTATGTTAATGCACTAATGTAGTATTGCGGTACAATACTTTCATATGGAAGGGCTATTCGTACACTAATGAATTGTTGTGACCTAAGTGACAGAATTTCCGTACTTCATTGGGACTGAGAATATTCTGCCAACCGTATTTTCATGTAAAATTGACCTTCGCACTATTTATGCTTTCAAATAACAAAGCGTTCACACGATCCTCATTTGCTGCAAAGCTAGACAATGTATTTTACGCTACAAGCATTTTTATTACTCAGTAAAATCACATATTTAAGCAAATTAAATGAGACGGTCAAAGAACAACACACCACAGTTGGCAGAAATATTCATGTACAGGAACGGCACTTCGATATCGAATAAGAAACACAGGGTGTAACAAAATGAAAATGATTAGGTGGTCTAATTATCGCGTTTTTAGACTTTAGTTTGGTTCTAATTTCAATGTCCGAATCAAATTGGAATTATTTTGAGTTAAAACACGTCCAACTGTTAACTTAAGTTGGTTAAATTAACCCAATATGCTATGAGAGTACAATGATATCTCAGTTTACAAACATCCATGTGCATGGTATCCACAGCCATAAAATATAATGACAAATACACATATCACTGAACAAAATAAATTGAATTTAGTCCCAGTGCAAAATAAATATAATCTGAGATAAGCAATTGACTTTTTGAAGATTCTTGTAAATAACAAATACTAAAATCAATAACCTTGAACGTTGTATCGGATGTTTTTAATAAGATAGTTGTATATATAATGAAAGCGTGGTTTGATGTTAAAATGTTTTTGCTAAATTTTTTGTCGATATGTATATATGTAAAATATATGATCCGGTATCTTGCCGTACACGTAAGAGACGGTCAAATTTCAAATGGAATTTGGAGATCACTCCCTTTCATTCTTTCTTCGTACATTTCATCGAATGCCTCATTTTGATTCAGCGTAAAATGATTTTTCCAGTCTCCAACCTGGCCTTTCCGCATGAATTTTCCCTGTTTCGGATCAATGAGATGCAGGTTGCTTGTGCTTTTGTTGTTTCGCATATTGTCCATCGTACAATGGTCAGCAATGATATCCATCTGTTGGTCAGTTAAATCCTTTCCTAGAAACTTTGAAATCTTTGCAACTTCGCCCCTCAAATCTTGTTTCAGCGTTTCATATGTTGTGAAATAAATGTATTTCTCATTGCCTTGTTCTTCATATTTCTGAATTAATATAAGGATTGTTAGCAGTCTTAGAGTGATCGATTTGCTGAGAATTGTGATTAACATGGTTTAGCGAGCATGAGTGATTTATTTAGTATTTCAAATGAAAATCAGGCAGAGATGAGGAAGAAGATCTGACCTTTGGATTTACACATTAACGATCACAAAATTGAGTTTTTTTCTAAGGCAGCAATTTTCTGTCGTGTCAAGTGCGCCGAGATTTTTTTCATTTGGCACCGCACGAAGAAAAAGTTTGGGAACCGCTACACTTCAGAGACAAAAATGTGTATAACCAGCTAGTACCTTCCAGTATTGTAGCACGTGCGAAAACCAACTTCCATACGGAACATCACCGGTGCAGTATTTTTGAAAAAATTCCGCCCAAGTTCCTGGTGGGGTAACTGTGGGATTAATACTGAGAAAATGGTGAAAGGAGACGCAAACATCCTTTGCATTTCGTGCAACATAAATCATTTTGCCTTTCCTCTTCTGCTGAAATTCCTTTGGTAGGAGGTCAAAGGGCACATGCGTCTTTATTATTCTGAACAGAATCAAACTCATTTTAACTCAAATGTCTATGTTACCCTAAAAAGAACCTAGTGATTTATCGCCTAATTTGTACTTTTATTGTGTTTGGTTGACTGAGACTTATTCCCTTCGAGCGAAAATAACGAATACGTATGTTTTCCGTTCAATTCAACAGTGCTTAAACCTTTACCCGCGTGATTGAATGCCCATTTGAATGCAAATACCGGGACACCTTGGACGAACCATCTAAGATTGAAGCTCTATATGACAACAACATGCCCAGAAAATGAACTCGAGCATTTATGCTAAAATTAACTTCTTAGATTTCTTGAGAATATATTCATAAAGTAAGATCACCAGAATCGAGGTATCGAAATGGCACTTTTATTAAAATTTGTTTGGGTAGTTGGTCGGTTAACAGAAAGCAAGTTTTCTAATGATGGGTGATTCGAGTCTAACCTTTGCTTATCAGTAGGCCAATCTTCCAGACATTTACTTCCGGTTGGATAATTATAGGGGTCGACGTATTCGTAAAATGGTACTCGTAGATCAATGCGACTTTCCTTTGACGTTATGGTGTCGGCATTATGACAAATTAACCACGTGATTTCTTGCATCCATGTTGTTCCTGAAAGCAATAATACCATGGTACTGAGAATAAGAAAATATTTTCAGCAGTAATTCGGGTAAAAATTAGATGTGGTGCTATCCACCTGTAGGTTCGTGTCCGCTTTTCTGTTTATGTTTAAGCGTCTTAGAAAGGAAGATTGAACACCAAACATATGTTGATATTCGGACAATAAGACCTATAAGTATCATCGCCGAAAAAAACATTTGATGGACTCGCAATTAGTTTTCTAAAATAAAAATTAACGCAAATTATGCAAACTTTTTTACTTTTATTCACCTGCTTTTGGGTGCGTCGATACAATGATGTCATTCTCTCTGATTTCGAACTTGTAGAATTCTTTTGTGACCACTCCCCAATCTGGAAAGGGCACGGGAATCGTGACTCCGTTGTTACCGGTTATTATGTGATTTTCTTTTGGCCTCATCCTCTCCATTAGGCCGATCATGCAGTAAAATTTATTGATTGGCAGCCATATTTTTGTTTCTGAATAATAGTCAGTTACCCGTTTACACGTATTTGTAGCAAAAGGTATAATATTTTTATACTGACTGTGAAAAGCGGTTTAAAGATATCACGACAGGATGGTCAAAAAAATTCAGTACTCTTTTTGAAAATTTAATTCCACAAGTTCACATAGTGTTTTTCCTCATAGTTGGAAATGTTTAAGCAACAGTATACGGGTCCGAAATTCGACCTCTCTACTTTTTAAATGCTAGTCAGTGTGATAACAAGCCACAGCGACTTTTCAAGTTCAAAGTTAAGCAAATACCAATTCATAGTGACTCTGCAAAAGTATATGTCGTTTTGTACATATACAAACTCACGATGACTGTGCGAAGTTACGCCTGAAGTATACTTTTCATAGTTGATCAAATATTATCAGTTTCTAAAGCTAACACAGACTAAATTACAAATTTGCCATTCATATCCTTCGATTTATAAAAATCGTTGACCTACCCAATGTGTTGAGTTATTGTTTCCTAACAGTGTACTGTGTTAATTACGTGAGTATAGGCGTAAACGTATGCTGAACAACGACCCCCACATCGGATAAATAGGTAATGTCCGGAGAAATACCCAAATAGTTTACGACGGCCGCGTAGTACTATCCCGAATCGGGAAAATCTGTAAAATGTTTGATTTGATTTGAACTTCTGATTCTAGTGTTTGAAAATATTACACGAACAGTCAACGAAAATAATTATCTTCCGAAGTATTTCACTTTTAAATATAATTTTTTTAATTAAAAACTATTGCATTCATTCAATATTATTTTTGTATCCATACTTGAATACATTTTTTTTGTATCAGGGGAAAATCAATATTTTTATCGCACTTTCAAGTGCATTTAATTGTGTGAGTTTTATCAAAATAAATATAAAATTTGGAGTAGTTGAAGAGTAAGTAGTTCGTCAAAGAATATTATGATTTTTATTTTTCAAGTCGATAAAATCGCATTTTTGCAACGAACGCAGACTTGAAGGTTCCAAAAGTTGCTTTTTTTCACGTCATTCCGAGACAATATGGTATATAAATATTAAGGTTGCTGTTTAATTTTATAATTGTACAGATCTCGTATGCAGTGATTTTCCCACTCCTCCCCATGCGCTGAAATTTCAAACACCCCCACAATTTTTTTTTAGTTGTGACACCTCACTTTGATTCATAACCTAAATAAAATTGTATTTGATATACATAAATCGGCGTATATACCAGTACAGATTATCAGTCAAATACATAGCATATATATATTTTAAGTTACAACACAGTTTTATCGCTTATATAGCAAAATATTTGCCACCCCATAAATTTGGTTTGGCTGGTTTGAGCAATCTCACCAATCGTGAAATTGTAAGTATATGAGATCTCGCGTTTTATCAACATTACCAAGACGGTACAGCCCGCTGGTAAAAATGGCTATTCTTTCCAGCACAGTAGGTCTTTATAGTGCAGTTAACCACATAGAAACATATAGAATACATACCTAGAGCAATCCGGTCTATCGACTTCATGGTCTTCATTTTGTACCCTACATAAACAACGATACTCACAAGCAGTAACACAGTTGCAATTGATACAGAAAACATTTTGTTGGTCGTCAAGAGCTAATGGCAAAGTTTGTCACGGCCAGTAGGCTTATATATCTTTTGAATTCTAGTGACTGAAATAGAAAAAATGGATTATCATGGCGCTAACTAGTAGACAAATATTTGCACCCCTCGGCAGATACTGAACGCATCGACAACGCAAGGACGCAGAAACTGCTACGTTATTGGTTCAAATTTTTCACACGCATCTTTCAAACTCACTCAATTGAGTTCATTGTAGAAAAACTGTAATCAGTCAAGTGCATCCATCCTGTACATATTCGGACAAGTAGTGGGCCGATGGATCGTTCTGGCATTTTTGACACGTAGTGGACCTATGGACTGTTTTGGTATTTTTGTTGTTTTTGTTCTTCGACGTAGTTATGAAAAAAAATTATTTATTTCTAAATTTCGTATGAATTCTATGAGGTCTGATATTTTATCCACAAAAATTTCGCTGTATTGTTTTATTCGTGGGAATACAGTATTTAGTCCGAGTGGTGACTGGCTGTCCGTTTTGAGCCTGCAAATGTTTGGTACGAAAAATTCGGAATCTTTTTGACGGTACCGTTGAAGCTTAACCTTCATTCTCTCGGGGCCCACTTCCGTTGAACAAAGATTTCTGTTGCCCATTAACTTTCTCATGCGTTGAAAAAACTACAAGAAAAAACAAAATTATCTATATATATACAAAAATCGACACTTCCATTTCCATAATTGATACAACAAGAGAGCATATGCTCAAATATATGGACACTTAGAATCGAATAAAACGAAATATATTATATCACTTCACCGAAAACCATAGTGTACCCTACGCCTTCGGTACGGTATCCTGCACGAATCTGAACAGTGATACAGCCACATGGCTATGGTAACTGACTTACTAGTACTTGGGTACAAATAACGGTACAGGGACTGTCATAGCTCTTCCATGTCCTATGGTAATGATCTATTTTTCTCCATCCAATTTCAACGTGAATTGAAATACCAAGTGATCCAAGTCACTTTTCCATTACGGTACCAGGCCAAAATAGGAGGGAAATATCGATTCCCCGATAATCATATGCGGTACGGTAACTTACCAGTAGGCTACCTGATATTCGTTCGCGGAACGGTTCTTCCTTGTCATATAAGAACTCAATTCATTTCCTCTTATCGAATAAAAAAAAAAGATAGGCTACAAAATTTATGTTGTTTAAATCAGAACTGTAACGAAAAGATGAGGGCGTAATTCACAAAGGTACCGTATGGTACCTTACCTGTTGCTGTACTGTATGCCTGCTATTCGATCGTGAAACGGTTCTTCTCTGGCATATAAAAACTCAATTCAATTTGCTCTTATCAAAATTAACATATACGGTAGGCTAGATTTGCTAGAAAACCTACATTTGACATTACCGCAATAGTAAGATCGCGAAAGGAATAAGTCAATTTCACTGTGGTAACGGTAACTGAACAGTACCGTAACTGCAGGCTCGATCACGCAACCGCTTAAAAAAAGGTTGGTAAACAGTGTTCCCATGAGTAAATTTTAAAACAGCGAAATTTTGAATGAAATATCAGATCTCATAGGAATAAATAAAAGTAATAGCCTTCTGGAAAAAGAATCCAACTTTAACCACTGAAATTTTCGAAGCAATTGGTCCAGTATTCGAAGAGAAAAGCGATTTTATGAAGATGGTGACGAAGAAAAAAAAATATCAATGACATAATATTGAAACGATCGTTATGTCCACTAAAGTGTCCAATAATTACCATTTAGTAGTTTAGTACAGTATTATCATTCATTGCAACTACAATCAAAGTTTAACTCATTTATCAATAACTCTTAATATATTTGCGGCCCACCTGAAAAGGTTTCTGTGGCCCAGCAGTGGGACATGGACATATATTTATATCTTTTTTTCTTTTGCGGCTTTACTATTGCAGTAATGAAAGTTTTATTTTCTACCGAGGAAATGATTTGAGTTTTTTATATGCCGAGGAAGAACCGTTCGGCGATAGAATATCAGGCCTACAGGCAGCGCAGGATCAACCAATAAACAATATAAGCACGTGCTCAGGGCACCAAGCAAAGAGGGGCACCACAGACATTTTAGAGCAGAATCATATATAGTTTATCGGTGTTTATTAAAATATTGAGAGTTCACCAGACGACTCAAACTTTAAAATGTTCGCCTATGTTTTGTCTTCAAGTATCATATTAACCTTCTTTATTGAAAATAAACACTGAAACTTATTTATTGGACAAGAAATGGGCCTATGAGTCGTTTTCTTAAATTGTTGATGTTTTTTCTTTCTAGTATTCTCCTTGTTGCTGCATTTTTGTTTTAAAAAAATTCTTTTCTCTTCAACAATTGGACCAATGAACTATTTACACTTTGTGGCGGTTCCACGATCGCATTTCAACGATCTAGTGGTCAGCGAAGTCGGAAGTTTTTTGATAATGTAGACCAGGGTGGTCCAAACCCTGTCATGCTGATACATTCCGTGGGGCTCACAAAACAATTTTAGCTTATATTTGTATCTAATGGAGGAACGTTTTTGAGTTTTTTTTAACTATTCCAACTGGGGTTGGGATCCAGAGATTCAAACAGTTTTTCTAACGCTTTGTGCCTTTATTTTAGTAAAAACACTCTTCTGTTTTCAAGCGTCGGCCATGTGACAGTAGTAACGAAACGCAGAGCCGACTTAACGCCGCGCAATCCAGTTTTTTTAGCTAGGTCCCGAAATACCAACTTAGACGGACTTGGTTGGTATTTGACGATGGCACTAAGCTTGCTCACGTTTTTAAATTACTCAATTTTACAATTCGTAATAAAATGAGTGTCGCAAGAAAGGTGACATAAGGAAAACACGGCGGAAACGTATTTCCTTGCCCATCACACAGCATCTGGTTCGATTTCAAGTGATATCTGTCAGGAAAGAATGTAATTTGAAGCGACATTAAACGCGAGATGCGCAAAATCCAACAGTAATTCTCCGGAATTAACTTTAAAATAACTGAAGGCTTTATATATCTTTTTTATAAGAACGCCACCCATGCAGCATAATAATAGTCTGATTAGAACGGTAAACTCTCGTTATTTATTGAATTGAAAGTAAGTAAACTCGCGATATTTCGATCACTTTTGGGTTTTCTCCGACTTGCGGCCCGCGAGACCTCCTCAAAAGTTTTTGAGGCCCTTCAACCTAGCAACCTTGAACCACCCTGAGAAAGACTACTAGGTACCGGTCAAAATTTCAAACTACAGTTGTGACTTGTATCCTTTGGTGTTTCGATTCACCATGAGACTGGAGGCATGAACCTTTATTGTCACACTCCCTCAGGATTAGAGCTCAACCGATATATCGACTCGATATTGCGTGTTTGCCGATATATCGTATCGGCAGTAAACGGCCGATATATATATATTAAATCGGCTATATATAACAGTTAAAAAACCTAAAAAAGTTTTTTATTTACTGTTGGTTGTGATTATTTTTAATGGATAATACACTTATGTGGTTTATTGTTTTTATAAATGTATTACACATGAGGGAGCACCAAAGTCTTCAGTGCTTAGTTAGGGCACCAAAGAGGCTTGATCCGCCTCTACCTATACCAGCAGTTACGAGAAGCGATCCTCTCGGGCATAATCGACCAAATGAGGGTGAACATCATGACCTAAACGAAGGATAAAGTGAGATAATTCTTGTTATGTACTGTGCCCTTAAATATATGATTTAAAATCTCGCGCTCGCTCAAATGGGCAAATCGGTACAAGATCAATGCCGATCACCGTTGGTACAGCGAAAGACTGAGCTTACAAAGATTGTACGTCGCGGAGATAATTTTGGACATCATCAGTGATTGATTGCAGTTTGAATATGTGGTAAAAAAAGTAGTAGCCATAGGAAAAAAAGTCGAAGAACAAGAGCTATAATTACTTGAAGAAATTAAAAGTTGCCAAATAGAAGGACAAATTTTGTTAAATTTATACTTCATTAAAACTTGTACGGCGCGTTCAAAAAGCACAAACATCACAACTTAAAACTAATTCGATACGATTGGTCATATCAATATTTAATTATGCATTATATTCTTACACTTCATGAACCAAAGTTTCTTGAAATAGCCATGACGTGTATTTCAATGACGACATCCAATCTGAAATCGTTACGTAATGTGAACTTCATGCTTGAGGAATATGTGACCTTGATTGTTAGAATGTGAGAGCAAAAAAGAGTGCTACTCAACTATATATATACATTATGCATGCAATACCTGTTCGTTTGAAAACCGCCTTCAAAATTAAATATACAATTTAGTCATATACAATTTTGGAAGGTAAAAATATCCGTTTTCCGGCATTGTGGTATAGCTTAGAAATAAGTTTATCTACTCTGATTTGGTCACGGTAAATCGTTTCTCGCAGAACATTTTGTTAACATACGTACGCTTTAAGTTTTAACACGTGTAATACTTTTGGTTCGAATACTTCCATAACTCTTAATATAAAAATCTATCTGCTTGTATTCTAAAAATCTTATTCCGAACATTAGGTCAAGTTTATTAGCAAACACGACTATAGAGCAAACAGTGTTACATCGTTTATTTCTAGACGGAATTATCGGGTCAATGTAGCATCAATATATAATTCCGTGGTTAACAGACTTCACATCGTCTCAACTACGTTATCCCTGTTCTGTTTATGTTGGATAGCTAACAACTCTGCGGAGGCAGCGTGTCATAGAAAAGCACTTAAAAAAACACTGTGAATAACGTAAACGCCTTTTATATGAAATTCTGAATATCACACAATCTAATATAGTTTACTCAAAAATTTTTATTTTGGCTGATTCAATGGATAATCGTGCCCTGGACCAAATATATCATGAATTAGAATGCTTAGAACGATATAAATCCAAAATTGCCGCTTTCAAGCGATCGTCGACTTACACCCAAAGAATTCAATCAATTTCGAAAGATCGTGTCAAAACGTAATTAGAATTATTCATCCGCCGGCGGTCAATATCTTTATTTTATCGATTTTTAGAAAACCAATAATGTGACTGCAAATAAAAATTGATTTCATTTGTTATTCCCTCAAGAGCAGTGAATATTGAAACGGGCGACAGGGAGAGCCTTCCATGGCTGTTTTAAGCCAGTACAGCTTCTCCATCTCGCTATCTACAAAAATAAATATATTATAGAACAATTTTAGTTTTTGTTAGCGGTTCTTGTAACAATTCATTAATTTTCTATATACAATTCACGTGATTTTATTAAAATAAATGACATTCGTTCAAAATATGAATAATAACTTCACAACAAGCAATATCTATGTATTCTTTTTCTCTTAGCGATTTTTATTACAAGAAAGATTTCGCCGCTTTTGTATTGTATTTATCTTTAATCACTGCTGTATTCTCTAATCCGGGAAATCTCATCCCAAAAGGGCAATGCCGTGCAGTATTTGTATTGGGCAGGACGTCTCTTGCGGTTTTTCTATCAATTTTAATTACGTCTTCCTTCTTAAAACCATCGTTATTTAAGACAATGTTCGATTTCGGATGTTATCCGCCAGATGGGAAAATGAACAGCATAGACAGAGATGAGAGACTCGTTGGTGTTCAATGTTTGGCCTAATAGGTAAGTTTGCTGATAAATCTCATTGCTGATAAAATTTTCAGATTTATGTCATTACGAAAACGATCATTCACCGTTGACGACTAATTTACAAGTTAAGTGAGTAGGTATGTAGGAGCGAAAAAAAATTAGGTTTAGAAACGTACAGCAGGTAAAGGCAAAATAATTTTAGTTGCCGGCTATTTTAATAGCCTGGTCTTGAACGCTGGGCAATTTTGTAAGAAGTTGTGTGATATATATCGGTTACAAAAACTCTATATACTCACCTCACCAATATACGTAGAAATATCCATTAATTATCTAAAATTGCTAGACTATCTCAAATACTTATTTGGTTGAGTGTTACTAGGTAAAAGCCGACGTTCGGTATCATCTCATAGTTGGAGTGGCATTACAGACAAGGCAATAAACTTTGAATGTTTCCATACTAGACTGCAAAGAACGATCAAAATTACAGTTGTTATTTTGGCGGTTGGTGAAATAAGCAAAAAACTTTTTGTCATTCCAAAAGTTTGAGACACTTTGAAAGCATGACAAATTATTTTCAAATTATTCTATTTGTGGTTGTATTTGAACCTTACTATTTCTTAAAAAGATTTTGTTTTTCAAAAAGAAAGGAAACTAGTAATTACACATCTTTGCAAAAACTTTGTATTCACAACTTTTCAATAGGGCCTTGACTATACGAAATTTTTTTTGACTTTGACAGGAAATCGCTGTTGTGATTTTTGTACTCTAGTGTTTTGGAACTGTCGCTTCTTGTAACGATTTTTTAATCTGTTTTATATTCGCGGCAAAAAGGATCATGATCGGGAAGTTAAGAATTTAGCCCCTAAATTTGAGCATTTAGCATTTCATATCACTTAAAATAATTCAATTTTCTTCGAATTTCTGTCAAGGCGATATTGTCAGCTCGGACTACGGAACCTGTTTTTAAGAAAATAAGAATTTATCATAGATTGTCTTCGAAAATGTGGTTCAAGCGTGATATATCACAAAACCGCTCCCTCGGGCTTCATTTTACAATATATCAAGCTTGAAAACCTATAACCGTGTCTTAGTTTTAGTCTTATCAATAATTAAACGGTAACAGAGCAAAATGCATCCAGCAGACGGGATAGGGAGAGCGCTATTAGACGCATGGGCTCCCTAATACTATTTTTCGCCTAATGGAAAACCAGCGGCCTCGACAAAAAAATCTCTTCTTTTTACTTAGCAGATAAAATTCATTGCTTCATTGCATTTCGCGATCGATACACTAAGGTGTGACATATGGTTCATGGCAATCTGATATCACTTAGGATTTTCTTTACATTCGACTTTTATAACTGATTACTTTTGTCAGTGGAAAGGTCGTCAAGAACAAAGGGATGCAGATTTTACGGAGGGGTTGATCGAGGGTGTGAGAACATGATTGCAAAGCGGCGCACCATAATTTTACGCTATGTTTATGTGATATTTTGTGGAAAAAGTTCATCCTTCTAAGTAACTTTTATCAAAACTAAATTATGAGTTCAAAAATGTTCTGGTCAGGTACGTTTATATATTCCACACGAAGAAGTCTCTCGCTACTTTTAAAAAAGTTTAATTAGGTAATTATTCATAAGAACTTTGTACTTTATTGCTGCTATTGGATTCGTCTCCCGAAGTCAAGAACCATAGACAAAGTTTTAAACTCTTAGTAGCTGCAGCCGGGGTTTATTTCTTGAAAGAGTCGGAATAGGGGAACGAGTTTGAATTTAATCCCCAAAAGTCGAATTTTAAATATTTTTAATTGCTGTTTGATCTTAATTCAATATGTTTTAAATTTAGAGAATAGATAATCGTTGATCCGCCATTCGAGGCACTATAACAAAACTACAAAAATGATGAAAAATCGCGATACAACTTCAAATCCATATAGAGTACCAAGGCAGCCTACAGCAAGATGGATTAAAGTATCAATTGTTGGATTATTTCTAAGCAATGTAGCTTTGATCGGAGGAGTTGTGTTTTTGGGTAAGTTTTATGATTAGAAAACCAAACACGAAGTCACTGATATGCATTGGTACTAGCAACAACGCAAAGGGATAACTAACTGTATTGTAAAGTCAATAATGCTGCGTTAAAATGAAAGAAATAAGAGGACTATTCATAATATAATCGGTGATAAGCAGGTTGAGAGAAACATAACAATGCTATTGTTCTCCTACCCTCCTAAAACGAGTGGATGTTCAATATCGTCAATGTAAAATGTGTTGAAAATTTTGTTTGGTATTTTCCCATTAAATTTAAGGGCAATAATTAGAAAATGGTATAAATTGCGAAGCCTTTCGCCTTCCTGTCTGGCGAAAGCAAGGTATTCTCGATTAATTAGATTCTTATATTTTCTGTGGATCATTCTATGCCATGTGTCTCGAAGTTGTATTTGTCAATCACTCTTCGAAGATATGTAACACCGTTAGTTATAATTAACCGATAAATGAACCGATAAATTATCGTGTATTATATCAGATGTATAATATAAGTCTATGATATCTATACCCATACCGACACAAAGCAATAATTTTGTTTCACTGAAATTTCCATCTACAAACGCAGTGCACGACGATACATAATTAATGCATTTCGTTGCATTATTTATAACTTCACGAAAACGAATTTCGCCTCCGCCGTTTCGAGTTTATATTGTTGTTATTACAGAGCCTGCCGAACACGGCCGTATATTATACAAGATTTTAAACTTCAATTTGACAATGACCAAACTTGAAACATGAGGTTTTATTACATTTGGCCCCATGGATTGAACGAACGGCCAAATGTGTTGCATTTCAAAAAAATTAGTTCAAAACCGAAAAGTGTATTTATTATTCCCAAAGCGTATGTCGCCAAGAAAAAAAAATCGATATTCTAAGCTAGACAAAATTTTGCCAGTAAATAAACTAAATTACTTTTTATATTAAACGACAGAATAGAATATGTCTTTGTTCGCATTTTTTTGTTTTGAATGTGAAATCTTAAATTCTAGTGCTAAAGTTTGAGCCTGTCCCATTTAAAACACAAAAACTGGAGATGATATAATAAATGATCATGATCCTGTTACCCTGACATGATCACAAAAAAATAGAACGAGGAATTCGTATCTGACACTGTCTGTTAACATTTGTCGGTAATGTATCGTTAATATTCATTATGATAACAAAAGCGCATTATTGTAATTATTCAGCAATTGACAATGCTGCTAATTACATGCTGTCACGTTGCCTTCTTTTTGTTTTCGCTCGAACGAACGCCTTCAAAAATATTTTCCGATTTCACGGAGAATAAATACAATTAACAACACTCGATCGATTAATGAAGCTCGGGACTTTCGCTAATTGAAAATCTACGTCATCGCATTTTGGTCGTTATTCCATCGATTTGGAGCTTTTGTATGGCCAAACAGTGACAGCCATCTATTCAGCATAAAGATTAAACATCAGCATTTGTGGGATTACTCAAATAACGAAACTAATGAAAATTTAATAAAATACAAATAAAAACGGATATTCGACGGTAATGTACAAAGAAGAAAGTGCTACCGTGAATTTTGAAAGGATTGTCCAATCGCAATTGAACTGAAAGTCATAATTGAGTGGTACTAACTAATTTTTTTTCCATAAAATCATCGTCAAAAACGACCAATCGCTTCGCCTCAGATTTACACATCGACGTATACGATAATTGCAATATACCAGCAAAGGTAATTTTAATCAAATTCAAAAAATAAACAGTCTATCATTGATTATAAATTGTGAAAATGGATTATGCCTTTCACGAAAGGATTCGTAAAAATTCATTTGATTTCAGTATTTTCAACGGAACAATGCACTCGAACTTGTCGCCAGAAAGGCGAAGCCCTACAGGAATCAGAAACGAAAGCAGCTCCCAACACTGAAGCTATGTCGAAAGATGGAGCAGAAAGTCCTATAATACTCCAGGAGAGAAGCATCCGAGAAGTTATCAGTAGAGTTAATGATGTAGAGAAAATAGTATCTGGAGTTAATTCGAGAATAGTCAAATTGGATGAATTTTGCAGGTTAGGATTCGTTTTTTTTTTCATTTCATTTTTTTTAATTTTTCAAATGAAAAACCATTTTAAATTTGCTCACGTCTTGTAAATTATATACTTTATCTAGAATTTGTAACAGAGAAATGAAATTTCAATAAAAATCTCACTGATACTGTTTCGTAAATATCGTGGGTAAATAAAATTTCAGTGACATTTTGGAAAATGAATCGTTATGGCAAAACTGTACTGGACAATAAAAAATATGAACAAAGAAAAAATTCTGATGTTCCAGTGTTAAACAATCCTTTTTTTAGACGAAGTAAAGCAATGGACGCCACAAAAACAACCAATGTTGCTGTCGCTGCACCGGATAGTTTGACACCTCGACAGACAAGCGTACTAGAAATGATGACCAAGATGGATATCAAGATAAGCAGTAAGTCGTTGAAGGAAATTAAGTGTTTTAGGTTTATTTAATTAATAGAATTCTATTCAGATTTTTAAGAGGAGATTTAATGCAAAATAGTGACTTTGATGTAGTAAGTGGTTTAACTGCGACGAATCCCACTTCCAGTGCCCGCCCGGGCAACATGGCATAGACAAGACTGCACTAATTTGTGGTGTTCCATATCATGCTCTATCGCTCAATGCGTAAATGAAATCAAACAAAAATTACACTTGACTTAAATTGCTCAGGGGAAGATTGGGATTTCGATCAATACGCTAAAATCAATATCTAATCATACCAAGAGAGCAGTGTAATATATGGACACGAATCTGAACTAATCGAAGTAGAGACCTACGCAGAAATCTAATTCAAAATTTCAACGCCCATCGTCTTTGCAATTTGCAAAAGTCCCGATAAGGCCACAGCTAAATATCGAGTATGTCGATATGTGAAAAAATAGCAAAATTTCGTGTGAAATATTGAGCCCTGTAAAACTCGAAGAAAAAAATCGAAAAAAAGGTATCACCTTCTCCATCTTAAAGTACTAAAAATTTGAAATTGTCTGTTCGATTAGTTGTGGAAAATGCGATTTTTCGCTACAACATCTCCAATAACAATTTTATCCGAATGACAAAACTATACCACCTTTCTTGCTATTTTCAGATGTGGGCATACAGCTAAAGGAACACATTGCGAATTCAAGACAACGTAAGTTCATAAAATATCAGTTGGTCTAATATTATATATATATAGGTAGAGGATCAGATTTACGGTTTTTTATCTGTGTGGTTCGGTTTTGTGTTTGGAAGAAAAAATGGTTTCAAAGCATGGTTAGGTATCATAAACTTTGCAGTCTTACAGACTCTGCCGAAGGTAATGAACACTGACACAATAATCGAGTCATGTTCAGTTTCAGGCCTAACTCTGAGCAGAATGCTCGTACAACATTGTGGATTCGTTAGTCTTGCTCTGACAATGTGCTGCTACAGAACATCATAAATTGGATCCTCAGTGGCCGAGTTGAGCTAAACTACTGATTATAACATAAACAGCGTGCATACTCGTGATTGAGTGTTCTACCAATAATGTTTTCGATTTTGGGACGCTAAGATGTCTCGTAACAATCGTGAACAACCCTTGTGCAACCGATAGACCATTTCTAATTCAATACTTGAATATATATATAATATGAAATAACATGATACTTGCTTACAGTTTGCAAAAAGGGTCATTATCGATATGGGATGTATTGTTTCTACGTCGGAGAAGCAAAATTGTCGCAAGAAAACGCAAAAGAATTTTGCTCAAATGACTATGGAGCTAAAGGAACTCTGGCAATGATCAAAGACAAGTTTGTACATGTGGGTATCTTTGTATTTATTGATTTATAGGCTGATAAAAAATCTAATGACGTCAAATACAACAAAAGTATTTATTTGCGATTTTACAAATTATAGGAATATTCGTTGACGAAGAGCTATTAATTCGTGGCACGCTCTGACTATATCCGTGAAATGAGACAGGGCATGATAGTAAATACAATCTTCTGATCCGCCACACAATGCGTTTTGTGGATTCGAAGATATATAATCTACAACCGTGCATTTAACAACTAAAAACTTGAATCTTGTTGCCTTTAGGACTTTATATCTGGAAAGTTACCGAATCGACAACATTCCTATTGGATAGGAATAGAAAAGCAGGAGCAACGTTCATCCGACTTACGCACCTCCCACATCATTCGGGAATCCAAAATAGAAACCGTCGGATCTGATATGGTACCTTCACCACTGGCATCTTCGCCCGATGAAAACGCTCCATTTGGATCCAGTGCATCAGGATCATCGCCATTTGATTACATTGACGGAACGAAGGTTCAAAACAAAGTCTGGCAAATGTGGGGGTCGAGAGCTAATCGCCATAATACCGGAAATCGTGCGTGTGCTGCCCTGACATTTGACCTCAATGCAGGAAGTAATGGCGACTGGCGTTGGCAGGATTATGACTGCGGTGCAGGATTGGGATATGTTTGCCAATACTACGTACTTAGTATTGGAATGTGAGAAAACTACTTTTGAAATAATATCTGCATTTATAAACACGGGCGCATTTTCTTGTCGTTATAAGGCAAGATACTTTCAATGCCCAAACTCGGTTCGAATAGGATGACATCGTTGTAGAGATATTATGTAACATCATATCCCTATTTATCCCTAGAAGTCTTAGTCACCTATTTTACTAGTTTTTCTTTTGTAGAAAATTGGAATTCAAATTTTGCCTTTCATACAAAGTTCTTCCATATATATGTATTGAGTGATAGAATTGATGCCCCCGATTAAAATATTTTTGAATCACCCAATACTGATCGGACCATAAAAGACAACGGCTGACAGGATTCCCCGGCATTATTCAGTACCTGACTAATTTGGGAAACCTAGTTTTTCTAAATTTTCTTATTTATTTTATTCCCCAAGTGTTCCATTATTTTCGATTTAATGTATTCAGCCGTAGTAATACCGTAGTAATGCACAAAGAAATGTGCAAACCGCTTTAAACACCCAGTGTTTACATACTTTTTTAATACCGAAAATGACTTAATTGTGGATTTTACCAGACACTTAATGTTTATGTCGCCGGGAGTATTAATTATTGGCGTTAACCATTAATATTTTCGGGAAACATTGATTTTATCAATTTCTGTTTCAAGTTTCCTTCTACCTTAAACTGTTATATTTTGCTACATTGCGTACTTATATCTGTCTACTTTTGACTGATTCACGATTCAGTATTGCAGAAACTTGTACTCGTTATTAATCAAAACATTGCACACAGATTATGTTGGATACAGAAGCACACACCACGTCAGCTAAACATAGAACTCTAATGTGACATTTGACCCTAACCTTTGACACTAATCACCACTGCATGTTTGGTCATACATTATCAACACCATGTTATTGATTCTTTAACTATGTTTCTTTTTTTATTCGTGATTTACCAGAGAATAAACAAAAGTACCGTTGAATTACAAAAATTTTTAACAATTGATCAGAATGCACAAAAAATACTTCACGCAGGCCGTGAAACCGATCACACTATCAATTAGTTTTAACATGACCGTGTCTGATATGGAGAAAAGTACAATACTAAATTAAGTGCGCAACTTTCTAATAACCTAAATAATTTTATTCATTTTCTCTAGCAGAGGGTAGCAATGAATCTTACAGTCCATACGCAGTAATAATGTTATTTTCTTTTTTATAATTACTATCGTCAATGTACTATTAATAAATATTATGATAGTGACTTTTACGCGCCTTCAGTTTAACTAGCTATAATGGGGGGAACAATAAAACCAAGCCCCTCCTTCATTATGACGTTTAGTCGTGTAATACAAAGTCAGATGAAGTGGCCCAGTCATTAGGTTGATCTCTATCAAACCTTTTTCCGCGGTCGTTACGTAAACGGTCTGTCTATTGAGCATAGTAAAAAATCAAATCTTCATTTATATACATCTGGATGGGGGATTATAGGTGATAAACGATCCTGCATAACGTTAAATTCACGAGCAAAGGTGGTTTTACTCATAAACCAGGTTATACTCAATAAAATACATTTGGTTTGTCTTTTTCAATTTTTCCACGGCCTGCAATCCCACTATTCAATGATGCACATCTTTTTAGCGTTGGGAGTGGCACTCTGGGTAAAGGAGTTTTAGACTCTCAGTGATGATTAAAATGAAATAAAATTCAAAAGGTTTTGAACATTCTATCAAGTGACGCTTGCGTAGCCTACGCCAGAGTTTTCATCAAAACTTGGAAAATCGGGAGCTAAAGTCAAAATTTTCCTAATGCAAACTAGAGTTTAGATCGAGCCCAAAAATTATGGGTCGGATTGGGCTTCAGATCTTAGCTCAAATGCAAACACAGCTGACTGACTTTTTTCAACACGACTCGGCAGCCATGGTCCTCATCTGCAGAAACCAGAACATAATAATTCGAAAATTCTAATTCAACGTTCGGTTGTTGCGCTGTACTGGTACACAAGACGGGCGTCGTTACAGGGTAAACTCTTCTATCGACCAAGCGGTTGGTTCCACCGCATGTTTCGCGAATCACCCAAGAACTACTATATTATTTATTTTATGGGGCGCAGATAACACGTGTTACGATAAACGACAAATTTATCAAGAGTCGGCCGACCGCCGCTGCAAATCACCAAATAATATTGCCAATCAAGTCATTGGGTCTAAAATTGTAATATTGTAAGCAATGTCATTCAATAACGTAATGGTAACAGAACTATCAGTAGTTCCATACTAATCTTTTTCTCAGAAATCAAACTTCGGTGTAAATCCCCATACCACACATTTCTCTTGTCCGTTATTTACTCAAAAAACGAAAAGAATCTTCAATGATAATGATGAAATATTTTATTTAACACTTTTATACTAGAACATAAACGCAAAATTCAAAAATCAATTGAATCACCATCAGGAAGTGGGGACCCAAAATTCTCAGCTGTACTTAACGTTAAAGGAACTGTCTGGAGATCCTCTATCCATGATATTTGGACATTGTGTAATGTGTATAATTGATATACCAATGATAAACTTAAAAATCAATCAAGTTACCGATTGGAACATCAGGAAGTGGGGACCCAGGGGTCTCGGCTGTATTTAAGGAGTCAGGGGTCTCGGCTGTATTTAAGGAGTCAAAGGAACTGTCTGATATGTTGCATTCTGGAGATCGTATATCCATGATATTTGGACATTGTGTATAATTGATATCTTTGAGATTGCCAGGTGTAGCATACTGCATATGGGTTGGGAAAGTTTGATTGAGTGGACGGCACGGTGTTCTTAGATTGTTAAGTAAGCGATCATCTAAGGGCGCAAAATTGTCTTCAGATATATTCTCGCTTTCAGTGTTGGCAGGGGAGTCTTTTGTTTTTACCAATGAAGTTGAACTCGTTTGAACTTCGGAAACTGGATTCACTGTTTCTGTGTATATGGTATATAATTAATGATTCTAATCCGACTTACTGATATATTTATGAAAGTGTATTTTCATATTTATCTCAGAGAAGAGGAAGTCGATAATGCGGCTTAATCATATGGCGAACTACGGCCGGTCACCAGCTCTTGGGCATGGGATTCGAACCAGTGCATGGTAATCAGGAACGATGGCAAGCATGTTTCGAGCCGGAAAAATAAATTTTGAATTCTCTAGAGCCAGGCTCGGAATTTCATACTTTCAATGATGATAATGAATAAAGTCCAAATTCTCTCAGAAACTCATATGTATGTTTACTGAGAGTCTATTAAAGGAGACATGCACACACCTTTATCCAAGTTTGATTTTCTATGAGTCAAATTTATCTCAACACGAAGTCAGAGTCGATTAAATATTATACGAGTTCAAAAAGCAAAAAGTATAGCAGAGAAACACTCAATGTGCCTCATTTTCTACTTTCAATTTCCAAAGTAAGAAAAATTCAATTAACAAGACAAACCTGGAACCAGGGTTGAAGGTGAGTTGTAATTAAATATACCAGGTGGAGTTCTTCCTATCCTGTTTTGCGTTTCAAATACAGTCATATCTGTAAAAAGAAAGTTGTATTTACAAATTGTCTTCCAGTTAAGAACTGGAAAATTGAAATCAATTGGCCTAGAATTCATTTTTTTTTTCACAACGATATAGCATAGGTTAATTATGTGACCAACAGAGCAGCTTGACAAATATTTTACACCCATGATGAATGCTGTTCAAACTATTTCTGCAATAAAACAATACAAACCTAGTTGAGATGATATATCAAGAAGTGTAGGGGTTAAGCCAGTTATGACAGGACTTGTATCAGATGGTTTATATCCAGGTTGTACAGACATTTCAAGCATCGTGTAATCCACCACCTGGAATAAGAAAAAGAGTATTTTAGGATGGCATGGAAAAAATACATATTAATCTATTTCAGTTTTATTTTTCTGTGCGAATGGCACTTGTTGCAAAGCGTCAGGAATGCACTTTCCTCTGGACCTCTAGTTACCTAGTGCGGGTTGGAAGGCTAAAGTCCTGTGGTACATGATTATGTGAGACTGAGACAGGATCGACAGCGGTGGTTCACATAACCGCGGGTCGATTACAAGTTCCTCCATCAAGTCCACACATAAGTAGTTAACTATTCCCTCAAATAAATAAATACGAAAATCCTATCCTATACCTCTGTGATAAGCTAACTTTATCTGAAACTATTACACAAAATTGATATAGTTAAACAATATAATTAAACATACTTGATTGACTAAATTGCGAACAGCCTCTGGTGTTCTTGAGGTAACTTTTTCTATCGTAGTATCGATCTTTTTGGCAACTGGAGTTGATGGAACTGAAGAAGGTTTTGTTCCTCCAATCAAATTCTTATTTGCAGGCCTCGGCAAACCTGAAAATAATAAAAACTAAATTAAAATGAGACAGTAAGTGATGAATGGGATGAATAAAAATTTCAAATGGTCATCACCAGTGGCGCAACCAGGCCGTTTTCAACGGGGGGGTCCGACCGGAATTTACACAGTGCAACCACGACGTAAGTCGCAACGCCACTAGGTGTCGCCCCGCTGACCACGATAAATTGCTCATGGTTAAAAGGGAAACGCCATCGATTAAATCCCAGCCTTTCGCTTACCTTGCACTCGTTCATTAACGGCGCTTCGCTATGTCTTGCACCTCGTGGGTAGCAAAACGCCGTTCATTACATTCCAGCGAATTGCTAACGAAAAGCTGTTAATTATTTTCAACGTTTTCCTCGCTTTGCGCCTCGTGGATAGTGAAACACGGCTTAAATAAATTCCAGTGTTTCCCTCGTGCCTCGCCTTGCTCGTTGGGTGAATTCGTCAAGACTAAAAACAAAATGCACTTCTTGCGAATGGACCTTTTCCCGACCCTAACCCCGGAAAAATTCTAAACTAAACTGAAGCTCACCGGAAGACATAATGACAATTAAAATAATTGATTTACAACTAATTTTTGGAAACACAACTAAAAACTGACTAATTTAATGCAGGGATGTCCAAATCGAATTTAAATTCAAATATCGCAAACTTCAAATACTGTTTTTTCGTGTTTATAATAATCCCAAATATGGCCCACATATCCTAGGCGTCGTCGTCCATGTGTGGTTCGGCAATATATTACAGCTGACATGAAAGAATTTCGATAAACGCCGACTTGAAGAACTTATAAGACTTCGAGGACGTTTTTGATTGAAAATATTTTCTTATCGGGTATTTTAACTTAGTCGAGATGGTTTAGGCGTCCTCGGCAAATTGTGTCTTAATTAGTTGTTTTCATCCTCAGTTTCGATAGTGACCGAACATAACAGGAAATTTTTTCATTTCTTCTAATTTAGCGCGTATAAAATAGCTCTTAAATAGTATTTAATATCTATCGCGGATTTCGTCGGCATCCGGCATTGATAACAACATCAGTTCAGTTAAAGTTAGCGGTATTCATTTACAAACAAAAATACATAACAGCCGACATGAAATATTCAAATCAGCGCAGAATTCAATAATAAAACACGTTTTATGGTCTTAATATGCACATAGAAAGAAGAAAGGACAGAGAAATAACGACTAAAAACTAAGAACGGTATGGTATGTTTGTGTACTTTTGTTTACCATCGTCATCATAATCAAATTCGTTAAACCCGATTCCCAAATTTCCGTCCGCCAATAATGGAGAATGAAGATGGAAAAACGTGTTTCACTTTTTGAGTCAGCGTTGATTTAAATTTTTCATGTTATGTGTTATAATTTTTTGATTATAAACCAATACCTCCAACTTAAAATGAACGATATTGTTATCAACGACGTCAGGACTCGGGATAACGATAAAATCTCCGATAGAAACCAAATAATATTTCGAAGCTATTTTATAGATTGCAAGAAATTAAAAAATTTGACTAAATTGAAATATACGATAACAAATGTAAAAAATTTTCAACCAAAAACGTCCTCGACGTCTTATAAGCACTTCAAGTCAGAGTTTAATGAAAACCTTTCACGACGACTGTTAGTTATTGCCGTGCCACACATGGCTGCTTTCGATTGCGATAAAAAATGAAATAACTGTGGAATGTTTTTAAATCAGAACGTGGACGGGGGCGGTAGGATGTTTACGGCGTTTTCGATTTTCGGCCTTTCATATGTAGAAAATCTTAGGTTATTCGAAGCAATATTTTTCCGAAAATAAATTTCGTATCCAGATTTTCAGAGTTTCTACTGCATTATTATAACATGAAGACGGGCGGCGTTACATTGCGTCAAGATGATGAAGCACGAGAGTATTCGTCACGAGAGAGAGAGATAGCATTATGCTATTGTCGCTTTCAATTCGCATCGACAGCGCGCGATTTCTACTTTTTTGAGATAACATATCTCATTTTCGAATACAAACATATACGCGGGGTTAGCGATTATTACGTAACTATCAGCAAAAAGGTATAATTGAAGTCGGGCGGTGTTAAATTACGTCGAGGTGATAAAGCACTGGAAAAAAGTAGTTTTCACCGGATTGTTATGACCGTGGAACGACGTTGTTTTAACATAGAACAATAATAAAAAAAAACGAAATTCAAACGGGGGACACGACCCCCGTAACATTCTCTTTTTTATTAAAAACTGTAACCCTTTCCAGAATAATACTTATATGAAGTATTTCAATTTACTTTACGACATTTTCAATCCAATACGACTTATTATAGTTATAAAAGATTATAGAAGGCAAATACAACCTGATGATCTTCCAAAGTTTTGTTTCAGCATTCTTTTTCGCAAAAGGGATTCAACAGGCTTATCAGCTTTCCTGAAAAAGAAAAATAAAGTACTCAGTCTCAACCTTTTTAGACATATTCCTCCCATTACCCCACTATTTTTCTCAGACGATCCACCCAGATACTTCCACTGCTTGAATTGTTCATTTGTCCATAAATATGTTTACAATATTACTAAATAATATCAGTATTATAGACTGAATAGAGGGTAATAATTCTGTATTTCCTCCCAAAATATCGAAACTCTTTGCTGGAGGCAATATAGAAAGGACCACAAATAGGAAAAAAATGGGAAACTAAATACATATGAAAACATGCAAAGCTAAAATTAAAGTTTAATCCATTACTCTATTACAAATAAGTTTTTAGAATGAAATAAGGAACGAACTTCAAAGTCTTAGGGGAAGTTGATAATGCAATTTCCAATGCTCCTTGTTTTAAAGAAGTATCACTTTTATTAATATCTTCATGGTTCGAGGTGGATTCAATTGTGGATGGAACTTCTGATGCTACTGAAGGTAGATCACCGGGCAAAACAAAGTTGTATAATTTTTCTGCAAAAATAAGACAAGATATAACAAAGTGCATAAATAGAGGATTTAGTTAAATTTCAAAGATTTGTGTTTTTGATCAGAAATTTCACAATGAACTATATTTGAATGATAAAAATTTGAAAAAGTTGCTGATCCAGTAAATGGCTTCAGACAAGGTGATTCACTAAACTAAACATTTTATATTATGTACTGTTCGTCAGTGTTGGATAAAAGTCTGTAAAGCCAGAATTTCAGAGTCAAATTTAGCTAGTGATCAACAGAGTCTCAAATTAATCCCTAGATGAGTCATTGTACTTCCAAGTTTACATTTTTCAATTTCTGCTCAGTGGAGTTATTTAGAAAATCAAACTAGTATTTAATCATGTCTTGACAACATTTACATTAGCATCAACATGACATATTTGGAACTCCTGTTGCAATGGGCATACGAATTTTCAGATTAGCTATAAGATAAAATCATAATTTATTTAATATTCAACACTTATGGAAAAAATTTAAGGTTCGATATTAAATTTCTCATGGGTTATGAGTCACTTATGACTATGAATTTCACAAGGGAAAAAATATTTGGGAATATTCAAAATTGGTTATACTTGATAATTATCGTTAATTCTTGATTTAGTATAGAGTATATTTTTCATCTGAAAATTTGTCAGCATTCTTAGCATTTGACATCTCAAACAGAAAAACTGTTCCTCCCTACTGTGTAAAAAAGCATTTATCAAAACCTTTTCTACATTAACAAATTTAATTTCTATGAATTTATAATGGTTTGTGTAAAATTCTGTACATTATGGCCCAATTTAAAAAATAATAAATATTCCATATTCTAAAATCCACATTTCGGAATACATTCGGAATTGTAAATCGAAAATCTCTGAATATGAATAGCTCACCTTTTGGAATATCTTTATTTTTAGGAAAAATTGAAGGTGTTGGCACTGCATGATCAGAAAACTGAAATGGAGGTGTGAGCGGTAGAATCCCAAGATCATCTGTATTATCATTACAATTATCTTCTTCAATCTCACTGCTTTGAAACATTGGTTTAGGTAATCCAGCAATTGAAGATTCCTGGCGAGATCTTTCTCGATTTCTGTGTAAATCATCTACTCTTGAAGTTAATTTTTTGATCTTTTTAGCAGTCTCAGGAGCATTTTCGTTCAATTTTTTCCTGAAAATCAAAATGCTTCAAAGTGATTTAGAAATTTTGCAACATTCATATAACAAATGGATTTGATTGATTTGGGTACGAATCACAGATAATATATACGAATTGAATATTCGTTGGACCTAACGGTGCTCCTGAAGTATGTGTATCAAGGTGGTGCACAACCTGAACATAGTATGTGTACCAGGTTAGGGTTCAGGTTATGCCTCAAACTGGTACACACACTTCCGTAGCGCCGACCTGAATACGTAGGCATCATTCACAGGTTACACATCAAGGACTTGAATCCCATGGCCAATATCTCACTCAGGGTGAATAAATGGGGTAGGCACTAGGGCTAGGCAATATCGAACTGGAGCGATTTCAACTCTTTCATTAAATAGTGGTTCTTCACATATCGTCAGATGTCAGTGGATGCTCATACAGAGCCTGGTTCAGAGTGAGCAGCACGTATAGCGTTGTAACCTCATAATTTTGAAAACAAGATGTTTCATGGAAATAGTCTGGTCTATTGAGAGTAAGTAAATCAAATTTAATATAAAATTTTAATTCGCAATCAGCAATGGGCAAATAAAATATACTCTTACCGAATTGTATTCAATGACTTGATATTTTCTTCACATATATGACTTTGTGCCTTGATGTAAGGAAGCTGGCCCTCGAAATTGGGAACACCAACTGCAAAACAATATATACGCTAAATGTTGAAGTTTGTGTAAGATTACAAACAAAATATGTCATTAGCAGTAGCACCATTGTAACATGTTCAGAATATACTCACATCTACGATAACACTACCTACCAGGGCCATGGGAGTCTAAATTTGGCATGTTTATAATGGGGAGGGACTGCAGTCGTATTTTCGAACTCCCAAGGTACGGAAGTGAAAATTTCAGACACATTTCAGACTTTCAATGGTAATGAAGGAATTCAGGATTGAAAAAAAAACTCAAGAAGCATAACGTTTACTATGCATTCTTAACAGTCTATAAAATGTTTTTAGTTTTTGTCATCAATACTTGATTTCCTTGGATTTTGGAGTCAAATTTTTACAGCCCATCCATCACCAAAGTCAGAAGTCTAAGTCAGAATTTTTCTTAACCCAGATTTGAAAATCAAAGCAAACATTTTTTCAAAGCCAATAGTAAATTTTCCTAACTTGGCAGCTGGTGAACAGATAGAGAGTGTAAAGATGTGGGGTAAGATTATGCACAGAAGGATTCATGATCTCCAAAATTGGTGAGATAATTTGCTATAATTCTGCTTCCAATTTATCAAATTGAACTATTGCAATCAATACACTGAATGGCTTGATTTGGTAAACAACAAGACACATTGGTATTCAGGAGACTTCAGAACTTGATTCATTTTAATCCCTTGAGGTGTAATAATAATATTAAATTTCAAATACCTTCATGTAATTTCTCAATGAGTAAATGTAAGGATAGATTGAAAAGTTTCATCAAGCCACAAAGATTTAATTGTCCAGCTTCATAGAGACTCGTTCCCACACTCTGGAAAAAAAATAACAATATGAATATAATGCAAGATTTCGATAATCATGTAAAAATAATTCAATATTCCAGTATATAACATAGTGAATATATAGTGATAGATTCGAATTTAACACTGGAAGAAATGACTTGTTTTTTACACAATGTCTATCGTCTATTCATGTCTTTCGTTCCAGCAATTGTTTCAAAATTTCGAGTAGGGTGCAGTGATTATGCAACAAAACACATACGGTATATGAACTTGACATACAATTACCTTATAAACTTTGTTGGTACATTGCTGCAGCAATATTGCAGGCACTTTAGGAGCAAGTTCTGCCGCATTCAATCCTTTAGTGTCCCCATTCATATTTAATATTGATTGCACAATTTCTCTCTAAATATTAACACGTATATCAAACCGTATAAAAAAAACGAGAAACTCTGTTATACTTTTTACAACCTGGAAAGGCATATTTAGTTAAAACAACCAAAAAAAAAACATATAAAACACATTTAATTTGACTACAAAGTAGAAAATAGAAGTAAAAATATGGTTGTCAATAAAATGGAAAGATAGCTACCTCATCATGTGTATTCTCAACAGCCGTTAACAAATTCTTCCATAATTTTCTCACAGTTGCTTCAGAATTGTTAGTTCTTAAAAGTAAAAATTTTTCTGGTGTTTGAGGTACGGAATGACTTCTGGAGGGAGTTCCTTTCGCAGAAAGTCTGGAAAAATTAAAAGATGAGACTTCAACACTGAGAAAATAAGTTCAAAACTGACGATTTTGAATGAGCAGAGAATCTAACAAAAGGAAATATGAGAAAACGGCGTAATCAAACACCTATCCGCCAAACAAGGCTCTATACAACCAGCCACCAAAACGTGAGGAGCTACTTTATTTTCGAAGAACTGGAATCACTAAAACCATGGGTGAGGTGGTGGAATTTGAACCAGAGTTTATAAAATATAATGCCATCCCAGTTATGTCTAAAACTTAAATCATTAGGCCACTGCACATATCCTAAGGATGCACCTGGACGACTGTGCTATCTTCTGCCGAATAATGAATACATCCGAAATATTGGGAAAATTACCTCTTATACGAGGTTATTTAACTAAAATGATCCAAGTTATAATCAAATTTAAAAAGAAAAATCAACCTTTCTGCTGGTATATGCAATTTGCTAAGTAATTCTTTTTTCTTTTGCTCTAAATGTTTCTTCAATTTAACATTATCTCTGTATTCATCAAGCATGGAACTGTAACCAGAAAAATATATGTTAGTAAATAATAGTTAATCAAATATCTTGTTGGGTTTGGTCACGATGTGCATATGATGACAAGTTGGAAATCTGAGGTTGCATTGCAATTCACTATTATGGAGAAAAAGTGGGCTGAACTTTTAAGAAAACAGAAAATGTGTTACATGGTTCATTGGTTCTCAAACTTTCATGATTTTTCAAGACTCAACATTGTGGGAGACTTCTATAAAATCACATAGTTTTGATTTTAATATGGTTTTATCAGATATTTTATGTGCCATGTTTAAACTAATCTTTTTGAGTATATCATTTTCAGATAAGATGCTCAATCATTAATCCGATGTCATGTAAGAATTACCTTGCAAGTTTATTTGCCTCCAAATCAGATTGTTTTGAAATTTGCATAGTGTGCATCATCTTCACACTCTCACTATGAGCAGCGATTTTCAAAGCAATCACTCGAGCGGGATTCAATCCTTCAATTGTTTGTTTCATATCTGGAGGTAAAATTGTGCTTTCTTGCCCTTTTCCTATAAAATATAGGGATAATATTCAGAAGCCCCCAATACAGAGAAACGTGATAACATAAACTTGTCCAGTGTTCTCTAGAGATGGGACGAGTCCGGCATTACAAAGATTCGATGAATCCGAGTAATAGGTCAAGACTCGAATCCTCCGAGTCCGTGACGTCACAATATAGAAGCAGAAAAACACGTTTTTGGCCATGCTACAGCACCGTGCGCTCACAAACACGCGTCATAGCTCATATTTTTTGCATAATGGTTCCGCAGATAGCTGTTGAATCATTTTTAAAATATATTATTCCTCTTTTTTGGCGGCCATGATACAAGCGTAAACGTGGGTCAATGTGCGCGTTGGCTGTGAACTGGATTTCCAGCCCACCACTTCGCGTCAATTCTGGGCGGCTATTCAGAAATTCTCACATGGCAATATGAAAAATGAAAAGCTTTTGACTACAATACTTTTCCATAGTTACAGATATTTCTAGCCGTAAATTTACTATGTCACGTGCGCAAATGGTAGAGAAATGCCACTCTTAGTCAATGCAATGTTGTAAATCTGCTTGTAACTCAATTGTTCCTGTAAACGTTCTAAAACTCTCCATGCTTTCCATTGCTCCCTTTTTAGAGAAAAGATTACACGTAATAAACTGCAAGTAATAAACTCTATTTAAAAGAGGAATTGATGAGATTTCCCATTGGGTTGATCCAAAGCATGTTTCATTTTTACGCGAATCAAAAACTCCACAAACTTTTACGCTAACACATAATTTTTGCGAACCACAGGTCCACATATATACTAAAAAGAATTGATAGTTTGAAGGCGACTGGCGCAACATCATTGTTATAACATAAGCGATCAATAGTTTTTACCTTGTGTTATATAATCTGGATATCTGTCGTCATCTTTATTAGGAGTGGCAAAAGTACAAATATAGGCATAAATTAGTAAAAACAGAATTGATTATAGACTTGGTAAAAAAATGCCTGGATTCGACTCGAATCATAGTCCGGATCCGAATCCTGGCCCATCCCTAGTGCTCTGTGAACTGGAATTGGGTATTGGAATTAAATAGGTATTACTTATTAAATTTAGATAATACAGGTATGTAGTATTTACATTAGTTTTGTAGGTATATTATTTAGAAGAACATACTTGGTCTAATCAAGAAATTAGAGCAAACAGTGTGAAATAAGTGTCATATCAAAATACCCGAGAAGCAGGACTATTACTGATTCCTTAGATTAACTTGTTACATACCCACAAAACATACCATTGACAGAACGATCAAGTCTCCTTGATTCCATGAAAAGGACGAAGTTGGAAAAATAAAATAAAATTTTATAAACTTCAGCACCGGTCGGGCTCATAAGTAATGTGTTGGTAACTCGTGGAAAATTGAACCTTGGGTGTTCCTGTAAATAAAGTATAAAATAGAAATAATGAATGAAAATGAAATTTTTTACAAAATTTCATGGAAATATGTAAGATATATAGGTGACATAAGACGATTAGCTTTATGAGTTTCAGTCACCTTGGAAATTGCACAAAAATAACAATAAAATTACTTATACATATGGATTTATAGTTATTTGGGCTTAGTTAAAGTTAAGTCTGCACGACTAATAATTGCAGTGTATTATTTTTAAACAACACCCCAGGGTGACTAAAAATCAAATTCATAACTCAAATTGCCTATCTCCAGATCTCATGGTCCAAAAAGTCTTTAAACACGTTTTACCAACCTCCGATAATCTTTTCCACCAGTTCAGACAAACTGTTCGAAATTGCTGACATGCTTTTTTATCTGATACAGGGTAACACAGTCTAAAACAAAAACTCTAAATATTACAAAGTTTATAATGCATCGCAACGAAACAACAATACCATGATGATATACAGAGAGAGAGAGAGAGAGAGAGAGAGAGAAATTTATTGCCACAAAACAAAATCAACCCTAATATAAACATAATACAATAACGAAAAATATTCCACAGTAATTGATTATTGCTTTGTGCGGGTCGGTGTGCAAGACCGATTAAAGTCATCTAGGCTCCCGACCCTTGTGTATGTGCTATATATAAGTTCATCATAGGTGTATACAAATGAGATTAAATATAAATATTTAAAAAATAAATACGAGGAAAAAAGGAAACGAGTCGGCAATTTAATGGTATTATGGAAGTTACACCAGACATAGCAAAAAATACAAAAAATTTAGAAAAGATCTACCTGAAAAGTTCAGTTGACTTCGCTTTGTCAAGCTTTGTAAACAAATAATGACAAATGATTTCAAATCCAGCTTTGTTAGGTTTATCAAACATTCCACAATGAAATGTCATTCTAAAAATAAAGTTTAGGTTAAATAAATAATAGATAATAGATTAAATAAATTTCAGGATATACCGTAGCCTATATCTTCAATAATGCTGCATTATAATTGCCGTACGAGACTCTAATTTCTGGTTTGCCAGTAGGCAGCATAGACTATCGATACTTTGCCATCACAAATTTATGAATTTGCAGTTACCAGGTTAATAAATTGTAAAATAGTTGTTGTATAACAATATAACTACTCAGACATCTCAGTCTGTCAATTCTTTATTTTCAAATCCTAATTTCTAAATATGACTCCGAAAAGCGTATGAATAAATTGGAACACTCACTTGTACTTTTCAGCCATTGAAGTGCAAGGAAATTTTAAAATAATCAGGTTTTGAAACCATAATTTCTGCTTTTCCTTTACAACACGAAGATTCAGCGATTTTGATTCTTTTTTCTGTCTCCCCTTGTGAAACGACATTTCAGTACACGATTCTGCACAGTAACACCAAAATCCCAATGGTATAAACAAAAACCCAGAGTCCCGAAAACCGAAATGAAAGTTAAAACTCAAGAGCACAACCAGACAACAGCATTCACTTCAGTGCTTTGAACTCGGGAACTGTACAAACGAAATGATTTTAAACGTTCCCGCTAGCGGTCCGTCAATACAGACCCTCTATAGTGGTGGTAACATAAAGGTCATATTGGGGATGGCAGAATAGGGATGACAAAATACGGTCGAAAGGTGGCAGATTGGGGATGGCGAACGTTTGTTCGTATATTAAACAGTATATATTTACGATTAAACCACTTATCACCTTTTGCGCAATGCCCAATCTAGCAATCAGTATAGTTTTTCGTGGCTTCATTTTTCTTAAAGCTTTCATGGCTTCATGAGTATGACTTTCGTCGCAAATTTATTACATTCCACTCCTCACCTTATCTTTGCATGAGGTTGTAGGTATTGGTCATTATCAACGTAATTGTTGAACGTACAACAGCCCGAAAGTTTAATACTATCGTGTATTTCGTTTGTCAAGTTTGGCCCAAGTCTCATTTAATTGGGCTTGTGTTTTTGTGTGCGTGCTGGTGGGCAGGCACGTGAGATACTTTTCATGTTTTAAACTTTTTTATAGGTTTTGCTTGCCCTCAAGAATTCCTCATTTTTAATTTATGTTTGTTATGGAGTTTTCGAAATAAACTATCTATCTATATATCTTAACCACTTACCACTCCACCTTCAATTAGAAAAAAAATTGATGGGAACACGGCAACTTGGTTTTCTTCCATTTCCGTTTCTTTCCTCAGCTTTACGCTGTTATAGTGTTACCGTATCCTTGTGTGGTTGGACAGTGTGCAGGTGCTTTGTGAACTGAAGAAGCGGTTCTCTGCCGCAAACTCGACGATGAACCAACATGGAAGTGTTCGAAGCCCTTACCAACCTCAAGGTCCCTTCATGAGGTCGAGACCAGGCGGCTCTTCATCTCCTTACCCTGCACCTGGACATCAACATGCCAGTGGGCCCATGCGTGCTGAACATTTGAGGAAACGTCCTGGTATTCATGCAGGAAGTCCAGCAAGCACACCTGGTGCTCCAGACAGGTGAATACTTTTTAGGTCATTTCAGACAGTCAGACATGATTTTGGTTGTCTGGCTGGTCATTTCAGACATGATTGGGTTGTCTGCTGTGATTATTTCTTTGGAATTTACTTATCGTATTTACAGTACGGTACGGCACACTATTCAAATTCCAAGAATGTCCGTCATTTAGTTCAATACAACAAACACTTCATGTGTCTCACAAACGAGGGTCGTCTGGCACAATGGCAGATGTGTCATATCGCGCCATGCTTGTCTCGATAATAATCTAAATTAATTGCAGCCGTCATGTGACCAAAATTGCTTTTTTTTGTACAAAACTCTCTTATGCCATGGTAGAAAAAATATTTCCTTCGGTAAATCTAATTATTTTTTCTCAAGGAATTCAATGATGACATTTTTAGTTTGCGCTTTGTACTTTTTTGCGCAACTTCAATTTATTGTAGTTTTATCGATCTTGAGGGACCATGTCCAGACGTTCCCTAATCATCTGCAATATAGATTTCTCTGAAACGAGACAATGTCGGTCGATCTGTAAAGTGTGCCGTACTGATTTAACAATGTCCGTTTTATGTTTCAGATCTCGACAACCTCCTGTTGTGAAACGCCGACTTCTTTCAGACAAGATATTACCTGATGCTGTTCGAAAGTTAGTTCCTGATTCTCAGGTATTTCATGAAATACAAAAATAATAAAAGCCTTGTATTCATATTGATGAAATCCCTCTTTTATTACTTAATTGCTCTAATGAAAAATAATTTCTGAATCATTTTTTTCTTAAGTATATCAACATATTATTTCAACATCTTGTTAAAATTTTAAATTCCAGGCATATATGGATCTTCTGGCTTTCGAACGCAAGCTTGACCAAACAATTACAAGAAAAAGACTCGATATTCAAGAAGCACTCAAACGTCCAGTCAAAGTCAAAAGAAAATTGAGAGTTTTTATCTCAAATCAGTTCTATCCACCTAAAGAAGTGGATGGAAAAGATGATGCAGGAAAGGTATGAAATTGATTGCAATGATTGTATTGTGCTTCTTATAATTGTATAATTATCATTTTTTCATCTAGGCCTCATGGGAACTGAGAGTAGAGGGTAGGCTGTTAGATGATCCACTTGCAAAGCAACATGAAGCTTCCAAACACAAGCGTAAATTCTCATCCTTTTTTAAAAGTCTGGTCATTGAACTAGACAAAGATTTATATGGGCCAGATAATCATTTGGTAGAATGGCATCGCACTAATGCAACACAAGAAACAGATGGATTTCAGGTATAGGTTATCATTAGTTATATGAACAAATCATTATATCAAAAGTGAGGATGTGGTTGAGTGATTGATTCATTAGGCATAATTGAGATGGCATCGCATTTTCAAATATGTCCAAGATTTTCATAACCACTCCAGAGTATCAAAATTTGTTAATATTTCAAAAGTTACTCAGACTGTCTTGAATTTAATGGTATAAAAATATATCAAAATTGAAAGATGGCAGATTTTGAAAATTGTGGTATTAACTAGTATCCCTGTCGAATTACATGCTTATAAAAGTGTAGTTTCGTTTTAATAAACCATGGTATGCGCTGTTAATGATGTGTGCTGTCACTTACAATATTGCTTTGTTATCAGGTCAAAAGGCCAGGGGATAAAAATGTTCGTTGTACAATGCTATTTATGCTCAACTACTTGCCACCACAATACAAATTAGATGGAAGATTAGCTAGATTGCTTGGGATCCATACACAGACACGACCTGTTATAATTCAGGCTTTGTGGCAATATATCAAGTCTCATAAACTGCAGGTATTCTATGATTTTATTTACCATTTTTTATCAAGCTGATGGAGCAATATGGCCATTTAGTGAATGACTTCGTAAGACTTTTGTCTGCATTTCATCATGAAATTTATCTGCCACAGGAGAATGTTTGAATTCAATGCTACTATATAGGATTAATTAGGATATCACAATTTCTAAATAATTATCTTTATATATTTAATTTAGGATGAGCATGAGAGAGAATTCATCAATTGTGATGGATATCTTGGACCTATATTAGGAGAACGTCGTATTCGTTTTGCTGACATTCCACGGCTACTTGGACCGTTACTTCATCCACCAGACCCAATCGTTATTCATCATGTTATTAGTGTTGATCCAGCAGATGCAAAGAAACAGTCTTGCTATGATATTGAGGTAATTTTATGATAAACATTTTAATAAGTTTTATGCAATATATATTTTTGGATTATAGTTATCAAGTCTGTATTTATTCATAGAAAAAAGTACCAAAAACTGTTTTACTGCGTATATTTCTTAAGAAAAATAAAGTACATAAAATATTTTGAATTGCAATTTATCTATATCATATATAATGTATATATATGGCCTCTGCAGGTACATTGAATGAAGTGGAAAAACTTGAATAAACACTGATTGAAAATAAAACTCATTAACATACTTTATAACCAATCTGTATATTAATATGTGATAGTTTGTTCCCGTTTGATTGACACCATTTTGATTGATCAAACAGTCGAAAATTATGGAAATCTGGTATTTTTATCATTTATTTTACTAGGTTGAAGTTGATGATACACTAAAGACTCAAATGAGTTCATTTCTTCTGTCATCTTCGAGTCAACAAGAAATAGCAGAATTAGAAAGAAAGATTACTGATACTGTTAGCAGCGTACAACAACATAGAATACAAAGAGAATTCTACATGGGATTTTCTGACAATCCACAGGTATGATGACATATCTGTTTAACATTTCACAATGAAAATATATAGCAATCTTGAATATAGCAACGTGAGAGAGTGATTTTCTTCATTCGAACCGCTTTCTAAATCCTATTTGCTGCATGTTTTGCATTGAGTGCATATGATTACATATACGAGCAAAGAGTATTTACTCACTTTTCTCCAGTTTGTCTAATCATAACCAATTATTTTGTGAATCTAAGAATGTCAAAAACACCAAAATTTTGATCTTTATTTAGCCAACAATTTCAGAACCTTGTTTCACAATATCAATTATCCTAATATCACAGGAATTCATTGGCGATTGGCTTGAATCTCAGTGCAGAGACTTGAAGACAATGACTGATGTTATGGGCAGTAAAGAAGAAGAAAGACATGCTGATCATTATTTTGCACATTGGTCACAAGAAGCTGTTACACGATACTTTTACACGAAGGTGCAACAACGTCGACTGGAATTAGAGCAAGTGTTGAAAAGTGCGAACGTTTGAAACTATCAATCATAGGTTTGGGATGCCTACTCTAACGATTACATCAGGAGACTTGAATCTAAATACCTAGTTATGGTTTTGTCTCAAAGATCGATTTGTTAAACCAAGGGGTTAAATTACAGTGTCACACTTTTTTCAGTCTGTTATGTTTATATGATATGAATACATCAGAAGACTGATACTTAAGTTGTGGTCATTAGACCCAATGCTGCCTTCTGTTATGTTGAACTGGGGATTTAAATGCAATGTCACACTTTTTGTCAGTCTGTTTTGTAATAAAGGATTTTCTTATTAAAGCCTCTTGCAGTAAAAAGATGTTTATCATAGACAGAATGAGTCTAGTAGAGTTGTTCATTAACAGCTAGGTCTTGTTACAATCGTCAACTAAAGAGTCTATTTGTAGCTGTATTGTAAGAGTTTGTCTTACTGTTCCAAGGTATTTAAATAAAGAGCTTGGGTACAGACTACATTTTACAAGAATGAGATCTTTGTTTACATCGCTTACCGACATTTTATAAAAAGATACCAGAACAGTTTGGGCTAACTTGCTGTATGACTGGAACAGTTTCTGTTTGCTGTAAAAGGAGTGAGTGTCTGACATTCGGTACTGAAATTTCAGTTGAACAGCTATGTGGTTTAAATGCATGTCATCCAAGATATGAGTTACATTTGTTTCTCACTGGAAACGATTGTGCTTGTTTTAAAGAGATTGGGTGGTAACTGTGATCAGAGGCAAGGTTTTAAGGTTCGGCTTTTGAAACGAAAAAAAAAAAGAATTTTTCTCTATCATACATAGCAATTTTTCATGCCTTAAATTCCCTGAAAATCCACATTTTTGGTAATTAGAAATTCCAGAAACCCTCCAAAAATCCTTGTGGTTCATGAACGTTGACACATGAAATTACATCGCTATGAAGTCTTCAAACAGCTATTGAATCAATGTTTTAAGCTCCCAAGTCTAGCCTATCAATCTAGAAGTTAAAATTGTTCCAGTAGAATTAGACCTTTGCATCAGAATCGCTAATCGTTACAGAAATCCCCACCATTATTTATCAAAAACAAAACTCTCAAATTGCCTGTACATTTTATATTGTAGAACGGCGTGATGCCATACTCAATAATATGTCACTATCATCAAAATACCATGCAGAGAGAGGCAGCAATTTTGCACACGATTCTGTGGGACCAACTAAATGCGCTGGTAGACAAACAGTGCATCCGCAAGCATACTTTCAACATAACAAAAAATATTGCCATCAGCCAGTTCCATGAGTATCAAATACCGTGTCTGTATCATCAGTAGGAAAAGTTTTCTCATATTTTGAGCGAGTCTCTTTCCGGGCTTGGACAGTCAATTGTTTACCAGTGTACCTTGCCTGGGACTTCTTTTTCAGCATTCTCCGCATCTGAAATGCAGAGAGACTTGTTTAATCCATTCTAATTTTTACAATGACAGAAACCATAATTCACACCAACTTACAACATTAGGAGATGTATAGTCCGGGTTTATATACAAGACTGGTCCTCCAAAGCTTCCACTCAGAATTTTCGCAAGAATCATTGTGAACCTTGGCCCTGTAAAAATTGATATATTATATTTGAATAAAGATTGAAGTCAGAAAATCGATATTTTGTCCTGTATAAGAACAACTTTCCAATAGGGATTAGACCTTGGGGTCTTGACATAAACATGTAAACTGCATGCAGTGTCACAGAGTGGCTCAGGGCACACTTTCACTGGAATAAGAGTCATATTTTTGACTCTGCGAAGTCATTGAGTCAGAATTACAGACTTTTTCAATGGGATGAAACACAAAATTTCAGACAAAAAATCATAAATTCGCTGAGCATTTCCATTGGTTTTTCAAAGAAGGTATACATGTGCCAAAATTCATTTAAATTCGACTCTCTTGGTAGTTCGGAAAGGTGTTAAAATTGTTTACAACCCTAAAAGAAAATTTTCCAGTCAAAATTATTTCAGATGTAAATTTTTGCCTTCAAAGCCCAGTTTCAGGCATCACCCACCTTAACTAAGTAACATAACCTTCACTGTTGTACGAACATCACAGTTCACAAGCTATAATACAGTTTTACCTCTGATCAATTTTATTTACTGCACGGCACTTAAGTCATACAAGTTTCTTACCAATTTCAACCAGGTCACCATTCTCTCCAACAATTTGGTAATTGCGAAACCAGATACGACCATCTAGCAAACTTAAAGAAATAACATGATCAACAAATGGCTGGCTTTTCGGATGATATCTTGGTGTTCCGAATATTTGCGTAAACAGTTCTTTCAATAAACGATTGTGTGGTTCATCATCAAATGTCTGAAAGAGCAGAAAAACAAATGAACAAAAAGACATTGATAACTCATAAGATTTGAATTAGAAGGACTTATACTAGGACTAAAAGTACTTGTACAAATGCAATACTTTAAAATGACTACTATTTTGTTTATATGATGTTTATTCACGACTTTGGTTCTGAACTGAAAGGCTCTCTACATGAAGATACTGATATGTAATGTGCCACTTTATTTTGGGAAGATCGGATTCTTTACGGTTCGCATTTGCCCACCCAATTTGAGGTATAGGGGATGGGATTTAAACTAGAGATTTCAACCTCCGATTCCATCATAGTTAAGTCTAATACTTGATCTGCTAGGCCACCGCTATTCAGTTAGATCGCATTATGTCTATATGGAAGTGCTATTGTAGATGAAGCAAAGTAAGGGAAATACGATACCTTATCAAAACACAAAACTGGTCTTGAACCTTTCAAACAATTTCCTGTAAATTTCAATTCTTTCATCATATTTACTGTAAAAATAAAATGATGAAATTACACAATGCTCTTTCTCTTTTCTTTTCTTTTTCCACAAAGATAAAAAAAAACTTACAATATTCAACATGAAAAAGTGCTGATGGCCCGTGTGGAACATTTGACATCCACATATAAAGATCTTTCTTCTTTTTACCAACTAAAAATATACATTTGTTGCAGTTTTTCATTTCACATATTTCATTGACAAGCTGAAGCTGTCCTTTTCTGTCCATTTTAACATCTGAAAGAAATTTATAATTTATATCCATAATAACGAGAGAGGTGGGATGAACTCAATTGCATGTTGCTAACTTCTTTCCGCATAATCAGTTAACGGGACAGCTGGTTACTATAGAAAGTATGGCGATGGTTGGTTCTACTGAAAACTGGGCAGGACTTCATAAATAAAGAACAAAGAAAAAATACGCCGAGCTGGGCTGAATAAGGTCATATAAACATGGGAAAAGAGAACAGAACAAAGTTAGTATTCGATCCTATTCATTGTTGTATGGTGCCAGTTCTTATATTTGTGGTCCTATTTTTGAAATTTGTTACAACGTTAAAAAAAAGATGATTCTTATTTTACAAATGGTCAATGTAGCGAGACACAGGAAAGTACCGTACCGTAAAAGCGCCTAACTTCGGACAGTTCCTAACTTCGGACAAAATTTTTGAACGGCCATATCTTGGCTAAAACGCGCCGTATATTGCTAATTTTAATTATTATAGGTTGCGCTGTTATATCTACATCTATTCTCATCTTTTTTAATGTTGCATAATTATTTTTTTGGTAAAAAAACGGAAATTTTGCCGAAAATTGACTGCCCGCCATTCAACGGCGCAGAGCGTCGCTCCTACTGAAGCTATCATCGTCGAAATACCATCATTCGGTAGAGGGCGACAACAATGTATATAATTTATTTGAGTGATCGCAAGATGTCGTACGAGATTTAAATAAAACCTAAAATTCTGAATTATAAATTCCGTAAGAATATTAAGATTTCACGCAGCGTCAAAAATTACGTCAACCTCACGTAGATTATTTTTCGCTCACTTCCGACACGACGTCACACTGCGTCGCGGAAATGAATTTTGACGCCAGACACAACGGAGCCAATATGACAATTTCCGTTAAGATAAAGACGGCGTTCCAATGTAATATTTTTGTATTTTGTTCGGCCATGTATGAATATATGCCAAAATTACATTAATGAAAATACATGTCACACTTAATCGATGACGTTAAAAATCGAATATATAAAACTATGGAAATTCCAACGTCCATATGGCACAGTCTCAACCATTATTTTATGATTAGTAGTCGAAATGACAGTTATTGAATACGGCCTGGGTGAATTTTATTCACTCGAAATTAAAAATAAATTTAATCTCCAACAAATAAACGGAACCTACATGTTTACAAGATTAAGTTGAATTTTAAATTAAACTTCACAATCGGATTTTCCGTGTGTTTGATATAAATTATCATTTATAAAGATAACCGCGCAGAAAAAAAAAAAGCTGTCTGTCGAGAATATTAATACTTCAAAGACTTCGATAGAAGCCCGTTAAAATACTTCATTGTGGATTGAAACGGTTTGCATCAGATATATTTACGTATGCATTTCCTGATTAAAATAACTAACGTGTTATTATACTCATCTGAAGTATCGAAAATAACGAACGAAAGATGTAAACATAGGACGACGGAAGTTTCAAATAATGCATTTTCGTCGTGACGTCAATGTTACGTTACGACGACGATCGAGCGTCTTATCTTCACGCAACGACGTGATTACGTCATCCGCATCGGAAGCCTCTTTCTCTCTGTGCGTCGCGGTTGCGCAGTGAAGAAAATGACTGTCCGAAGTTAGGGCAGTGAAGGATAACGGTCAGATGGCAAGAAATATCGATTATTTCAATAGTAAAAGTAGTCCAATTGAACCGAAATTTGCAGGGAATGTAAATTACCGCACGAATGTTTTACCGAGCAATTTTGGCACCGTTTGGACAATAAATGGCCGAGTTATTGACGAAAATATAGTAATTTTGTCCGAAATTAGGCGCTTTTACGGTATATAAACTAATAAAACTGTTTGATAAGCAATTTGTAATCTTGTTTACCTGTTTTGGAGTGAGGCATTAAATTCTGTAAATCTTTAATAAAATATCGAGCTTTATAGCTTGTTCCTCTTGATGTGAATACCAAAACCCTTTGTTTGTTTCTCCATTTCCCCTGAAATAAATAAAACCAGCGATATAGAAAATTTGATTAAGCATTTTAAGCAACAATACACGATTCTTAATTTTAAAACTTTTACACAACTAACTGACCAGGACAATTTAAAATTAATAGGTTCATATTTATCGAAGTACATACCTTTTCAACTAAAGGCTTCATCTCGTTAAGTTCATTTGGTACTTCTTCTTTATCATTTTCTGTTTCTTCTGCAAGTTTTGCAATTTTTTGTTTCCGAATTTTCGCTGAAGCTGATGAATGTTTTCGTTTATGTCCCTTTTTCATTTTGTATAAATTATGTATTGCAGTACTGTACTGGACTATAATACCAAAATATGAATAGAACACAAATATATAACCTACATGCAATCTTCAACTGATTTTCACATGTAAGTGACCTACCAACAGACTCAGAATTTAGACTTGAATTTACTTTATTACAAGTAGCCTACTGATAGTATCAGTGATACACTGAAGTTTATTTCGACTTCATAATTATCATAAAAGAGTAAGACGATAACATAATTGATAAAAACAAAATAAATAAAACTGCACAATAAATCAGGAGAGCACACAAAACCTCAAGAAAAGTTTAAAACGTAGTACCGGTTCTGATATTATATTGAAAGGCGTTTTCAAAAGAACTCTAATACCGTACCAGAATACAGTACGGTACCGGTAATATTTATCTGTATATCCCATCCCCAAAAAACAGTACACAACACATGTGCTTTGAACTTTAACCTCATCTGTACGACCTTTAACCCTAATAAAACGTATGTTTTCGCGAACATCACCTCTGTTTGTTTTTTTTCTTGGAACGATTAAATCCTGAGAATCGTTATGCTATTTTTTGTTACTGAGAAAAAATAAGTTTACTCTTTAAATAGTGGACAGATTGATTTTTCAGTATCGAATTATTGAAGAAATCACTCGAGGGCTATTACTTTGCGTCTTTTGACCACAATATGCGGAAACTATTTTCCCTATTCTTATACTCAATTTTATTCTAATTCTGAATAATTCAAATTATTCGGTATAGTAAGTACTGTTCGCGTTCGACCTTTTGTGTTTGTGCAACTCGATTATTTTATTGGTAGGTGGCGCGTACTACCGACGCGTTTCCCGAAAATAAGACTGGGTCTTATTTCAATTTTCTTCTCTCGAAAAATAACACTAGGTTTTTTTTTCATGGGGTGTCTTATATTTTCATTTATCGAAAACTAGATTACAAGGTAGGGAGTTACAAGATTGTCAAATATACAAAATATGAAAACCGATATCCATTCACTTATAAAAAACACGTTTTTATTCAAAATAACTGCAAAACATAGATTATCAATCATTTAAAACAGGGGTTCTCAACCTGGAGTTCGCAAACCCCCAGGGGTTCACGAGAAGATTTCCAGGGGTACTTGAATGGCAGCTTTCATGTGTTGCTATTTTTTATGTCCTTTACTATCAGAGGAAAATGCGTGCCGATTGGAACTCGCGTGGATTTTTCCTGATCTTGCGTTGTTTTTACTCAACAATATGAAATCCACAGCTTTGCAGCAAAACTGTGAAATCTCAAAGTGCAATATTTGCAATAAACAGGGACATCCTTCACACCAATGTTCTGTATAAATGAAATGAATAATTTTGTTTAATATCATTTAAAACAGTGGTTTCGTTTCTGACGGACCGGTAAAATTAAACAAAATTTACTTGCGGATCGGCAAAAAAATTGAAATGAATTGAATAGAAAAAATAATAACATATATTTGCAAAATGTAATGCAATGTCGGGCACTCACTATGCTTCTAGGTAACAAAAGACACACTTGAAAACATTTCGCATGAATAAAAACAAATAATGCGCTGGCCAAAAATTGAAATGATTGGATCAAACTTTGTCCAAAAGAAGACCCATTGTCATCCTTCTTGTTACAAAATATCGAAATGCTTTGTCGGTCAACTGATCTCATATTGAGCCCTCTGCAGTTATTCAACGCCTCAAACAAAATTTACATTAAGATGACAACGTCGTCGGTAACTTGGCACCAGGTTCCCTGCCCTGCTGTGCATCACCTAGAAAAGATCTCAACGGCCCATGCTTTTGTTGCACGTCTTGTGACCAGCTCATATTTTACTGGATGTCAAGACGAAGCCCTGGAATATTATATTGCCCTGTTTCCTGGTTTGAACAAAGTATTCATAACCTTTTAATTGGATGTTCATATTAAGCAGAAAAAGAATGTAGAACAAAAAAACACTTGTGCCGATCTTTGGGTTTTTGAATCTTGCGAGATTTGACGGACGCTTTCGCGATGAATCGGAACCGAAAAAGCAAAAAGTATGATTACTCGGCGCCATGACGTCGTCGGGCCATTAATACCGCAAACATCAATATGTCGGCGGAAGAGAAATTGTTTGTAATAAACAAACGCAACGTCGTTATTTCGGGTTCGGTAAAGCGATTGAGATGGCAGAAAAACAACAAGATTTCTCGCAGACCGAAAAAAAGCGTCCGGTGCCGGCCCGCGGACCAGCGGTTGGTAACCACTGCTTTAAAACACAATTTAAAAATTGTTAGTCAATATATTACAACTTTGTTTAGTGTCTGATTATACTGGGGGTTTGTGTTGAATATTTCATGACTCGGGGGTAGTTAACAGGAAAAAAGTTGAGAACCACTGATTTAAAACGTGTAGGAGAGATTTCTTGTTATCGACTGGGTCAAAATACTATTTCGCGTTATTGACTAGGTCTTATTTTCGGGGAAACACGGTAGCACGTTTTAAGTTATGCCGAAATGGAAGACATTGTCATTCGACGAGGCACGACGAATTTAGATATCTGAATCAGAATCACATCCTTTTTTATTGAATGCGGCCTATTTACTTATTTTTCCATTTTCCACAGGATGCACAAAATGTCAAGTACAAATAAGAAGTTGTACATGGTAACTATGAGTTACGTGGACCACGTAAATGTTTCATTGAGTAAATCTGGCATTGAATCATTTTGAAAAATTTTCTAGCATATTATTAAACAAGAGTACAATGATCAAATATATGAACACAAAGCTTCGATAGCAAGAAATCTTTCCTACTCGTATTAAAGGAATAATATTCTATGTTTAGCAGTTATTTTAAATGAAATCGTTTTATTTATAAGTAAATGGATATCGGTTTTCATATTTTGTATGTTTGAAAATCTCGTAATTTGCTACATTGTAATTTTGTTTTTGATAAATGAAAATAAAAGACATCGGCCCAAAATAAGCTCTAGTGTTATTTTTCGGAAGAAAATTGAATTAAGACCCAGTCTTTTTTTCGGGAAACGCGATAACACCATTTAGGCTTTCAACTTATTCAGGTTATCTTGGAGATGATTCGAGCTTGCTTGTATTATACATTCACTTGTTTAGTAGTTTACGGTTTTAATGAAGATGATGAGGTTTTAGTTATGTTTCTTTATTTATTTTGTTATCAATGGTCTACATGCGAAAAAGGGATATAAAAAATTTAAATCCGGATATCTCAAGTTGCATCATTGTCATTTAACAATAGAAATACCTAATCAATATTCAAGAGCGCAATGCTAAAACATATGGACACGAAAACCAAAATGAAGTATTACGAGTATGAAATGTTTTACTACAGCACCCGACTTCGATTGACCCCCAGATCGCAACGATCGCGAACCAAAAACTTCCACGAGGGGCGCGTTTTTCAACTTTGTGACTTCATCACATAAAACAAACGAATCCCATAGAGTCCATAGAAATTTTTGAAATAAATAAAACTAATACCAATACCGTTACTTTAGTTATATTTACGTGGTATTTTAAAAATCGACATACGTGTCGAGTTGCGCCCCTTCGTCTCGTATTTTTTTATCGTGACGGGCTTCGATTTTTTAACATAAGATGCAAGAGAATTCGTTTGTTATTTTCAAGCATACCGAGATAGTGCTATCAAGCATTTTATCAATAACTTGACGCCAACAAGCATATAAACAGTATACGTAGGTTCAAAACAGAATGCCGTTAAAAACAGTAGTTATCCACCTAGTATCTGCGGTAATAAAAATAACCATGATTAGCAAACAACACAATAATTATGGCGATATCAAATCTAGGTGTGGGAATCAGTAAAAAGTGCAATTTAGTAAAATTTAAATTACGTTCCAGTTTAGGAATGGTAAACGAGAATATATAATTGGTATAGATTTGGCGACAAACGATAAGAAATTCCTGGTCAAATATGAAATTTATAAATCTCTTTCGAAGTTTTTGGGATATTTATTTCAAGCTAGAAAAACGCGATACTAAAAAATATTTCTCGAAATTTACCCGATCAATAACGGAAGAAAATAAATTTATGACAAAAAAATAAGATTGTTGAGTTGGAATAGAAGTCAAAAGTTAGCGTGTCTGGTAATAACAATGAACAAGCTATATTTTTGTCCAAATATTTTGGCGGTAAAATGTGTGATCGATAATATTTTCGTTAAACACTTTTGCCAAATTAATACGCATGTAAAAAAAATTGTTGTATCGTTTTTCGTGCCTGGTCATGCTTTGACGCATTCAAGTTCTTGTTTACACAGAAAAGTAATTAATCGACTCCGGTCTTTGATTGTAAATTGCATGGAATACGCATATTTATTTAGTTGGGCGTATAAAAGTACCGAAAGTGAGGACAGGCTATTAGATATTAGAATACTTCTCCGCGCGTGCGATAATATCTGGAAGCATTTTTAGACCACAAATATGGCTGTCTTATTCTGTAACATTACTGTGACAAAGCACAGTTGCCGAAAGCGCGCGTGTTAACGGTGCCCTGAAAAGGTGGGTTTTAAGCAACATGTAATTACGGTTTAGTCGACAAATAGAATAATGATGACATAGTTTATTAAAATCACTTTTACCAATATAAAAATTATTACAAAGTGATTAAGGAATGTGTCTCAGACGTATTTGTAACCGGCAGTCGGGATGAAACCCTGTCAGAAAGTCATGTTTTGCTGATTGCAACTACGATAAGCTTTCCACGAGTTTTCTCTCTAGCCTGTGACGTAAAACTTATTATCACCACAATGCGGTTGTCCAAACATAAAAATATATTTCATAAATTTAAAAATTTGTTTTCAATTAGCCCAAGCTAGATCAATTTTGGGTAGATGATATAAATATATTTGAAAAATTAGTAATGATGAACGTTTTGTAATCTGACGTTTATACATACAAAATTAGCCTTGGGCAAGGTGGCTTTCATCTCGCCTTTTCACCTTCCCGTACGTTATTATGCAGTTTAGAAAATTTCCCCAGCGCATCCAATGTGGTGAGCTGTTTCTCCCTATAACTTAATATCAATTACGAAGAAAAATTGGGTACTGAAAGGTTGATTGTAAATAGCTGCTAGATATAATAATCTAAAAATTGTATATATTGAAATATATATTAGCAGTATGGTAAAACTAAAAATATAAGATATATATACTTGGTAAATGTGTCAGGTATATAATGCTTCACTCACTTTTGTTCGGCATAATATTGCAGGGAATGGAAAAAGCACGCTTTGTTATTAGATCGTTAATAAGTAATAATATGGCAGCTATTTATTTCACGGCCAAACTTCTGATGTCGAAATTTTGCTCCTTTGCTGTTCCGTTTATAAGTTAATGCAAAAGTTAGTCAATCTAACGCCTAGACAGTGTGGAGCGATATGAGTCCATAAATCCTAACTGCAAACAAAAAATATTAGTAAAATCATTTTTGGCGAAATATTCTTAAAATTGAAAAAATTGTGTCAAGCGCCGTCATATGTATTACCAGTCAAGTACGTAATCGAGGCGTCACATTTGTGCCTAATAATTGCAAGAAATTTTAGAAAAGGCAATTCGGAGATAAAAATCATAATTTGCTGTTGTGAGGCTTCGATAACTTACACGTGATTTGAATAACGTGAATATATGCTTAAATAGACGTTTGGTGGAAATTATCAACGATGTAAGAATTCTTATACGAGATGGTCGCATGCTGTAATGCTTATATATCAAATATCTGATACAGCAGGCTACAACCACCGGAATGCAACCTGAAAGTGAGATTAAACACATAATTAATATTGAAATGAATAGAACATGCACAAACTAGCTGCAGGCGCATGAAGTTATGCACATTTCCTACGTAATCAGTTGTAGCTTACAACATGTGTCTTTTTTTAAATTAAAACATGGCAAAGGTAAGCGATCAACATTTTAGAAAAACAAAACGAATCGTAGGTTTTACTCGGATTTGAGAACTAGTGACTTCGAATAAATTCTATTCATTTGAAATCAAGTACTGTCACGTGACTTCATAATTCGATGGTCATTGACGCCTCATTATACGTAAAATTGCGTACTCGCGTTATAAAAGTACAAGCGAAATTTTGTGTATCCTTATTTATAGCTAATATTTCGTGAGGGCAGATAGTTTCATGTCTCTGAGCAGTTAGATACTATAGTTCTGAGCAGTTCTACTCAGTTTCAGGATTTGACCTTAAACGTTTACCTCTGAGCGGAATATTAGGTCATATATATAATGCAAGGAATTTAATCAATATAATAATATTTTATTTTATGTAACGCATCAAATGTTACAATGTCATTGCACCAATGTATGTCAATATATATATCTTTTTTCGTTTATTTAAACCTTGCCCATTCGGATAGGAAATATGAAGGTTTAAAATCCTTTGCTTTTTAACGTTTCGCTTTCTGCTTTACAGATAACTATTTAAAGCATTACTCATCTAACTCATGTACAATAAATATAATAAATAATGTTAAAACGACATATGATCAAAATCATATCAATTCTGTATGTGGTGATTCCTTATTGCATAGGTAAGTGAAGTTTTTTTTTTCTACTAATTGTTTATAGAAAAATAGTCATTATGTTGAATGCGTTATTTACCAGAAGGTCTCGAATATTAAAATGAAAATCCAGTCAAAAAACATGTATATATTTGCTTGAATGTAAAAACTTGATGATTCTCATGATTTGATACAAGTGGAACCAGAATGAAATATATATATGACTGCAAAGCATACACTTCTTATAGTATGTTTTACATAATTTGCTAGAATATTAAATACAGTTTTAAATTTTATAGTTTTTACTGCAGTTATTACGTATGTAAATGCAAGACTTACATTGAATATTAAACACGGTGGTGAAATAAATGCTTGAACAATTCTATAAATTAAATAAATATCAATTAACCTGAATATGTTAATGGAATTATTACGTCAATAATTTGACCCTTATCACGTGACCTTCGACTTCATTTCCCGTTTCTTATACGCGATCTCTTTATATTCAAAATGACATTTAAGTAAGGTGACAGTTTGAGTGTTTATAATGGCCGTCACATTGTACTAATTATATGTTGTTAGTGTTGTAAAAACAAATAGTAGAAATGGATCATTTTTTAAGATGACAATGTGCCTGTTTAGAGTTACGTGGTATTAAAGGTATTTGCCTCCATAACATTACTAAAGTACAACTGTATGTGGCGGGCAAAACTGTTTTACAATAACAAACCTTTTGCCACAGATAGGAATCTGTACTTCCTCCGGATAGTTTAGCGTGGTTTTGGTTTTAAATTCCTTGTGGTTATGCATATTTTAAATTCTAGAATTACCATACTAGAATACCACTTTGAGGGAGGATTTGCCATTTTTATCAAATGTAGAATATTGGTAAATACACAAAAGCAATCTCGGAAAAAATAAACAAAGAAAACAATCGAACCGGAAAAATTTGGGATAAAACTGCTGGAACATAATTGTTGAAACTTTCTGCTAGAGACATTTATGGTCGTGGGCTGTATCCAAAATATTCCAGATTAGTACTGAAGGTTAAATAATTGAGTTTTGACTATAACTTCTAGAAAGGTTTCAAACATATGCAAATCCTAATGAACGATTTATGCAACTTTTCATTTGCTGCAGCTACTACTTGTTTAATATGTTCGTCGTCAATATCAAATGAAGATTGTAACGCGAAAGGAGTTGTTCGGCGATGTAGACCTTATGAAGTAAGTTTTTATATCCGTCAGAGTAACAAAAAAATATTTCTGGCAAGGGTTGTTGCAAAGTGAAACTGTTAGCAAGCTTGCACGCTTCTATGTGTTTATATATACTCATCGCCCATGGCAAAATATAACATGAAAGAGTTCTTGAAAAGCGCATTGGCCTTTGAAGAAGGTCACATATTTGAAAGCAATTAATAAAACCAAATTTTTTAGTAAGAATCCCATAATATACTATCATTGGCTAAGACCGTTTATGGATGCGTTCAATTTCTGTTTTTTTTTTAATGAAACCAAAGCAATCATAAATTAGGAATCATTATTTTGGTAGATCAATTTCAATTATCTGTGGAGCAGATTTATGGTGGATAACAAAACGATTGATTACAAAATGTATTAAACGTATTATATATATCAGTGTTTCAAATTTAATTCTTTTCGGTGGTAAATAACTGAGAATTTAACACAGAATTTCGATACCAAAGCAATCATAAATTAGGAATCATTATTTTGGTAGATCAATTTCAATTATCTGTGGAGCAGATTTATGGTGGATAACGAAACGATTGATTACAAAATGTATTAAACGTATTATATATATCAGTGTTTCAAATTTAATTCTTTTCGGTGGTAAATAACTGAGAATTTAACACAGAATTTTGATAAAATTTGATATTACAATTTACGTTCATCTGATAAGCAATACTTAGACAAAAAGTTGTTACTGTCAAATTGAAAAAATCTTTCATGATGAATTAAATAAAACTTCACAATACGAAGATCGATATATACCTAAAATAGTGGTACAAGGTGAATGTGCCTGGATGTAGTTTACAGCATTGAGAATGAATATGTCAATGCCCAAATTTATGATACGAATAAAATTGTTGTTTTGACGACTGGTTTATGGCCATTGTAAACTTGCTTATCGTTTATTGAATGCGAATAGGTTTAATTCCTGAGCAAATTAGCGACATATCTTGGGAAATCAGCTACAGAACTCATTTAGGGAGAAAACAAATCTGATAAAATGAAAGAGGGGGCAAATTGAGACAATGTAGTTTATTCATATGTAATTTAAAACGTTCAAATACGTAATTGATAGAATAATACGCATTTGCATGATAATGTTATTTTTCAAATAACTGGCATTTCAAGAAATGACAAAAAGTCGGGCGTTATAAGTGTATTTTGCTTTGTTATCGACACAAATACGACTTACATAAGTGGGTAATTGGTATTTGCCGTGACGCATTTGTAGACATAATACATGTAATGTTTTAGATGGATAACCAACAAATCAAAAAAATATATTGATGCTACAGAATTTGTAGCATCATAAATTTGTACTCATATTGATATCGTCAAATAATTAAATTAACAGTAAGTGATCTTTGCATTAATTCTAGTTGCGATGGAACAAGATTTAATTAATAATGCCGTAAATGAGTTATTGTGAGGCCAGTGTTTTTATAAAGGCCGATTTACACATTTCGGCACAAACAAGGCCATGTTCAAGCTTCCACTGATACCTAACGATACAAAAATGCTACTAAAGTTGAAATTATTCAATTTAAGAGAGGTGGTGGGCATGGGATTTGAACCTGAGATGTGTAACCTGCGACGTCAACGATGTTAAATCTAACGCTTTATCCGTAAATGTTCTGTTATTGTTTTGGATTTCGATAATCCCGAATGCAGATTCTTTTCAGGCCGAGATTGAGAATTCGAGTTCAGTATTTAAACGTTGAAAAATTCTTGTATCATTCTGGAATACTTTTTAATATTTCATAATAGGATTTCGTTTCGCACCTATAAGAAATAACTACCCAATGTGATCCTGCGAAATGAGATTTAGTGCAATTATAAATCAGTCACGCCATATTTTTTTATTCTGCAACTTTACAACTTATAATTTGCACAGGTATGCGGAAATAAAGTGACAAGGACTTCTACAAGAATGCTAATAACGAAAAGATGTACTGTCAGGCGGTCTTGTTCTGACAGCGTAAGTTGATAAACAGTCAAAAGTGTCTTGAGATGTAACGTGACAAAACTTAATCTAATTATTCAGAATCCATATCGTCACGCTAATAACCAAATTGCGTAAGTCATTTTTAGCAGTTTTGAGAAAAACGTAAAAAACTTCCTAATGATATTGTTATGCCATTGAGAGTCAATAATTTGCCAAGGTTCAATTTTTTGATCGTAGCCGGATTCAAGTTAATTTGTATGACGCAGTTAAGTGACGTCATAATGGCGCACTGTGACTTAGGCAGAAATGTGTCTATGACTTGGGGACATACGCAATTTTGCAACTTTACTATATGCACCAGTCTTGAAAACTGAACATTTCAAAAACGAATGTAATTCTCAGTATCTACAATGTCTAATCCCCAAAATAGCTAATCAGTTTCAATTTCATTATTTTTTTATGTTTAAAAATATATATTTCATCAATATAACACGTTCTGCACACCCACCGGAATAAGACTAAGATTAAATATAAAGAATAAAACAGCAATGCACCCAATATAAAAGCCAACCAAAGTGAATTGGACTCGGACAGTGAATATCACAAGGGCAATATCACAAGTCTTCCTAAACTGTAGTATAAAATCAAAATAATACGCGCTAAGCTAGAATCCCAGATGCAAAAACTCGAAAATACTTCGCCGAGGTTATTTTGCCTTTGTGACGTCACAATAGTCCCGGAATAACAATGATAATTCATTATGACGAAACAATTGCACAAATGTGCATGTCATACAAAATCTCCATTTTCATGGGTTTCGGAATTCTTAAAATAAAATCTGAGTTAACCGACAGGTGCGCAGCATTACATAAATACTTATTTAAAAAAAAAACTCAAAATCGCCAAAAATGACTTACGCAACTCGGTTATTAGGGTGACGATATGTAAAATCATAGACTAGATACTTTATATTTCTTTGATAAATTCTTATTTCAATTTTTAATAATCAATTTATTTATTGATATTACAAGATTTTATAAACTCATTTGGTCTACAACTCTACATTATAGGTTCAAATTTGAACCAATACAATTTTATTTTTTGTAAACTTCGAAATTTAACAAATAATCATTGTTTGTAAATGAGGAAAACATGAATAAATCAATAGAATTTATCTCTCTGAAATTTCAAAAACTCAACTATCTTCCAGCATATTTAGGGAAAGTCGTAGGACAATGGTATGTTGCCTTCTAAAATTATTATGACGTCATCGGGTTTTCTTATTTATGACGTCACATTTTTTTTTAATTGTTGTTGTTTTAACTCAAACTCAGTGTAGAGAACGAGGTCGAGCTGCAGTTTGTAGCAAATGCTGCAAGTCAGATAGCTGTAACCAAGGTATTCTTGCACCTGAATCAAAAGTATTTTCATCCACACCGGGTACAAGTCGGTCATCTTCAATAAGGAGAGCAAGTAAGATAAAAATGTAGTTAGATTCTTGAATTGTGAAAATTTATTTAAAAAAAAAGTAAAATGAAAGGGGTCATTCATTAGTTCCATTTTGATGAATTTGAAGTTGTTGTATACACTACAATATACAATGTATGTTCATACACACATTAGAATCAGAGGTTAGCTTTAAACCTCAACAAAACTGAAAAAATTAAAAATTTCAAAACAGAAAAATGACTAGTTTTTGATTAAACGTATGCGGAAAATACCAGACCGTCTGTTTAAGATTTGCGGCTGTGATTATCGGCAAGTGTGAATATGTTCAATTTGAATTTTTATTGAATATACCAATTAACAGTTACATTGCTACTCATTTGAGTAACAAAACTAACTTGGACCGGTTACCTATTATTATTTTATATCAAAGACTCTGTTCTCCGCCCTGTAATTACGCGTCATATAGGCTTTACTCACCCTTGAAAAATATGAAATCTCTCTCAGTAGGCTATTCAACAGACATGGTATAGCATCAAATTTCGATTACTGGTCGCTATTATTCTCCACAAGCTAACCCCCAGTGAATACTGAAAATGTGGACAAATTACAGGAAACTGAAATGGCAACAGATCAATTAATAGTGGCTAAAAATAGCATAATAAAATCGAAAAGAAAATATCGGAATATTTTATCCGTGACAAGATTATTTAATCAAGTAGATTATGACGACATACTTGACATTTAGCGTAGGCGCACCTTTGATCATTTCCCTTTAACTTCACGACTGCATGGAGAATAGGAACTTTGTAGGCTGGTTTCTCAAACGTTTTATACGATATTAGGATCATGGGTGTTAGAAAAATAGTTTGTATTATTAGCAGGGCTGTGCAGTCGACTCCGACTCCCAATTGAAAACATTTTGACCTCGATCCTCAGGCTTGTCTATGGGAATCACATAAGGAACGACCCATGGGGTAGCAAACATTTAGATTTTCCATAGAACAATAGCCATGTCATACCAACTCGATTACGTCAGAGCTAACCTTTGTCTTTATACCTTTTAAATGTGTTTTACTCCTCTTCTTTCTCCATGTACTTATTATATCGTGGTAGGACACCGGTAGGGTTGTCCATGTCAATCGAACTCACATAGAAATCCGCAGGCATGTTCATGAGAAACGCTCCGTGGGATGGGACAGAAAAATTTGTGCGTTAGACAATCCTGCAGATCCCTGACACCGATTGTAACAATTTTGACTCTAAGTCCGTGAAATTTGCTGTCCGGTATATTATATGCTTTACCGAAAAGCGTGCCCACGCCAGCACTAGTTTGTGGTACCCACTTTCATTGAAAGGAATATTGTGCTACGCCATGAACTCTTGAGCAAAGTAGACGATACTCAAAACAAACTATTTGTACTTTTTGTTTTTAGTGTTTCCAGGCAAAAAATATGAAAATTAGAGTATTAAACAAATAAGATAAAATTGTCTATAGTTTCACATCGGTTTTTATTCTAATTTTTAAATTTGGATTGTGACAAAATAGATTTGACATTTAACGAAGGTTCTGATATTGAGATAAGCCATAATCACAATAATTAGATTCAAGTATCAGGAATGCTGTCAACAGCGATTTAATACGTTCAATTTATACGCAAAGTAAATAAAACTTACTTATTATATATATATATATATATATAGTACCCATTGCTATTGCCCATTTTAAATTTAAATTTCCGCGTGATTGGTTCAAAGATTAGCAAATTAATCAGTTTTCAAAATGAAGAATATTACTTTTAAAATGTCCCATTCAATAACATTTTTGATATTGGACAACAAGTAAAAATATGAATTTTTTTTGTACTGAATTGTTGTTATTGTCCTTGTGAAAACAGCTTTCCTGTGCAACAAAAGGATCAATCGATTCCGAATATTTCCAGTACCGAAGATGCTTGACGCGGCCAGGGGCCTATTACTTATTTTTTTTAATTCCCCAGAGTCTACGAGACCTGATCTTTCCATCAAAGTCTGTACTCGGCCATAGGGATCACTGCGTACTTTACTGGCGCGATTTTCGTGTCTATGTATTTGAGCATTGCCCCCTTGCTGCTCGCCTTAAACAAACACTTCCTTTCACATACTACGAAGATGTTAAATTATGGATTGTAATTCCCGACATCTGAATTTAAAATATATATATTTCAATTAAATTCACAGGTGCGACAACGGGATGCAGTTCACTAAATGTCAGATCTGTTGCTATGCGATGCGTTCGATTAAAATCAGGAAACGCTGCAGGAACTACATGTTTGTTTTGGTGCAGCAGACACGGTGAGTAGTTTAGCTTCAACTTGAGGTAAACCAATGCTGTACAGAGAAGTAAAAACACGCAGCGGATAAAACACCGCAGAATTTGAGTGTAATGTTTTTGCGGTAAGATGTATAAATAACGAAAGAAATTTTTATGTACGAGGCACCATTGTCCAGGTGTTCAGGTTTCAATAATAGCTTTTTGAACTCAAACCTCTCAACCTAATCGTTGTTTTGCATATAAGCATGTCGAAGGGCATTAAAACTGGGGGATTGATTTATGTGTTTGATAACCGGTTACGAAATTCGTGTTTTATGTGTTATTTCTTTACTTTGAATGAAACTTTTAGTCTAACTGAAGACAAATTAATTAAGAATCATAATTTGAAAATATATACCGTGTTTCCCCGAAAATGAGACCTACTCTAAAACTAAGACCTAGCCTGAATTTTATAAATGTTTTTATTATAAGCCCTCGCCTAAAAATAAGACAATAACGCGGAATTTTTTTTTTGACCTATTCAATAGCAAGAAATATTTCCTATACGTTCTAAATGATTGATAATTTATGTTTTGCAGTTATTTTGAATAAAAACGTGTTATTTATAGGTAAATGGATATCGGCTTTCATATTTTGTATATTCGAAAATCTCGTTATTCTCTACTTTGTAATTTTGTTTTTGAGAATTGAAAATATAGAACATCCCCTGAAAATAAGCCCTAGTGTTTTCAGAAGAAAATTCAAATAAGACCCAGTCTTATTTTCGGGGAAACATGGTATGAAATACAAATTTTTCATGTCATAGGAAGTGATTCGGAATTAATCTAAGGTTGACTCCAAGTGCTGAATTGCACATGAGTAACATAAACCGAATATAATTATTTTTTCCAAACTGTGACAATTGGATATAAGGGTGATATTGGTAAAGAAATTACAAACCCGCGATAGCGTAAATTTCCTATTCGCTTCTTTCAGAGAATTGAGACATCGCTTACGTATACAAAGATAAGCTGAACCATTGTATATCGCACGCATCAGATGCAAATGAAGATAATCACCCAGGATACGATTACATACGCTTCTAAATTTATCAATGAAAGACATAAGCGGAAATAAAAACTCATTACGATATGCCCTTTGCTTACAGACATTACGGACCTAATGTTGACACATAAAATTATAATATGTTATGCGAGTTTTTACTTTCGACTGACCGAGTAATGCTATTTTAATTTTAAAAACATAAATTGGCCATTTTAAACATTTATTGAAAAGCATTTTCTCCCTCGTATAGCCCTTAATTTAGACATAATGAAAACCAAAGTCAGGATTAGATTTTTAATTTTTTAACTTACGGGTTAACAGATTTATACCCGTAACAGAGGGATCAGTAGGCAGCCATTGGCAGAAGACTTGTGACAATTTAAGTTTGTCACGGAAACAAGAAGAAGTGTATTCCACATAGCAGTGGTTTCCCTTTCAAATTCTATTATTTGTTATATTATCAATTTTTATGTTTTTTTCTAGATTACGTTCTCAGAGGGCCATCGAGGATATCGTGCGTGCCAAGTAATGATGGATATACTTGGTCTCGGCGTCCGCCGATCTGCATCAGTGAGCAGTTTGTAATTTAATATAAACAAGATCATTTTTCGATTGATTAGATAAATTTTTCAATTCTGACATATTTTGTTGGATTAATATAGTTGTCAACTTTGAAAAATATAGGGTTTGTAATCAAACTTCACAACCAACTTCGAAAAATCATTTCTGTTTTTTCGTGACGTTCCAAATTACGCCATTAAAATCGATAATGTATACATTCTAGTAAATCGCTATGTTTCTTTCCTATTTTCTCATCCCGTGTAGAATTCAGTCACTCTATAATATCGCCTAGATAAAAAAAGCAATGCGCGAACTGAAATCTCGGAGATGAAGCAGACTATACGAAATGCTTCGTCGGTCGCTAACCATTTCAGTTAATTTATACTGGTACCTGCTATAGCTTGCAGTCGACCGCCATTTGTTGTCCAAATCAGACGGTAAACCTAACATCAATGTGTCAGCATGAGGTAGATCTCACTTTCACTTTGAGGAGCAAACTATGTTTTAGGTGCGGTAGCCAAGCCCTTCTCAAACGTTATTTTTGCGACCATTCTGTGCTCACTGTCACGTTTCAACGATGAACATGCCATTCATGAAAACGAGCAAAATCGCTGCATTTTGACGGTATATGCCAATAAATAGACCTTACGCGATAGTAACAATATTTTACTTTTCGACTGGCTTTCGGCGTCGATAGTAACTTCCGTCGACAGAATATTATAATTAATTCCATAGTTCCAAACGTTTCATGGAAGCTCGCAAAGGTATATGAAAACTTCAAAATAAATAACAAGGTCAGCGTTTGTAGCTGTTTATACTATTAGTTGCTGTAAGTAGACTAACTTTGAACTGTTTCATTGTTGCAATATTGACACCAACAATAATGGGTTAAACGAATAATATATATAAAGAGAATGTCTTCTACTTGACCGACGACTTTTATACTATTATCATACGAAATGTGAGTCAAAACCACCCTCTGGCGACGTTTCTGACGTTTTCGACGTACCATGTTATTATTGAACCTCTACAAATACTTGCTCTTATTATGTGGGCATCACGTTTATATTCTGTTTATAATGAGTAGGAATATGCAAATAAATTTGTATCAAACGTCCAACCACAAAAAATATGAAATAATTTTCTTATTCGAGCACTGAGCCCTCACAAACCTAGGGAAAATGTAATAGTGTTATATTACGCATATTGTTAGTTACACCCGGATACCAACACCATTTCGTGACGCTCGTTTATCTCCTCCGTTTTAAAGACATTACAAGGTTTAAAAAATATAGTCAAAGTTACAAAAGCAAAATCATTTGTAAAACATATTACTGCTTGATGATGAATATAAAATAGAATACTAAACGCTTTTGACTCATGGCAGTGGTTATCAAACTTCCATGCTTCGTGATTCCTTTTCGAAGATTTTACACTTGTCGCTCTCTTCAATAAATAAAATGAAAAAAATTTTGTTTTTAACGCGTTCCTATCAAATATTTTTTCCACCACGTTAAGAATGAAAATCCATTTAAACCCAAAATCCAATTAAACAAATCAAAGTCAATATATCTCGAAACTTTACCAATATGCTTTATTCTTTATACAAGGTCGAGATCAGGCTCAGCATCACGCAACACCGGGAAATTGCCGGCCTTTGGAATATGAAAAATCGAACACAATCATGCGTTGCAGCGACGAGTTCAATTTTAGAAGTAGATGCACTTTTACATGTAAGGGTGGATACTTCATGGTAGAAGCAGATGTCAACAAACCTATACTTTCTGGAGTTCGCAACTCGGTGTGTTGGAGGGGAACACAGACTCCGGTTGTCTGGACTAAACAAGTCCCGCGTTGTATAATGAAGAGATGCCCAATTTTATTGTAAGTACTATTTTATTCATAATTGTATCAATCTTATAGTATATCCCAGGGGATATGGGGGCAAGAAAATTTACAGTCGACTCCGGCCTATAAAAAATTTTGATAGCAAAAATTCTTCAATGAACTGTTAAGAATGCTTAGAAAACGTAATGCTTCTCGAGATTTTGTACAAAATTTCGACTCTTGTTATCAGCATTGAAAATCTGCTATTTCGATTTTGAATTCACAATTTCGCCTATGAAATACCTCTTTTCCATGCGGAAATCTCAATATGATCTCTTGTAATTGTGTCTGTAACGATTCGTCTCATCTCTTCACAGAAAAGAAAAGTTTAGCACTGCTGTGTGCACGGATTGGATATGGGTAGACTCAGTATGTGATTTCTCCTGCTTGCCTGGCTATGAACAAGTAGGACCTCGATTTATCTCCTGCATTAACTATGATGAAGAAAGTCCAGACGGTCCACAATGGAATGACACAGTCCCTATTTGTAAACGTAAGCGTGTATTTTGGTACATAGATGCCTTTTTGGGTACAGTGGTTTATATTTTCTCAGTACTTACTTCATTCATTTGAAAAGAATTTCTTGATATTCCAAATCCGTGTGAACATATTAATGATTCTTGAATAACTGTTTTTTTCTTCCCTCACGAGATTGTTTTCAATTGTGGAGAGTTGAATGCACTTGTTTAATACATCTACTTTCGTTTGTTCTGCCATACAGCTCGAAAATGTCCGCCGCTAGAATTACCTCTGGAAAAAATTTCGGTGAATTGTTCGGAAGCGAATTTTTATAGCAGTAAATGCAGATTTCAATGTGCCAAAGGGCATTACATGACGAGTAATTCCGGGTTCGAACCGCTCCCGGAAAATGGAAACGTTTCAAGGTGTTTGGTATCAAGAAAAGATGAAATGTATTGGAAACCTCCAAACCCAAAGTGTTGGATAAAAACTTGCTCAGAAATAACGTAAGTTCATTTCAGTATATTTTTGAAGAAATATTCTGTGAAACACCTGATTAAATTTTTTTAAGACGTGTCTACATGTGCAATCTACATATACGTTTGGCCGATATCTCTTTTGACAAGTGAGGTATTAAATTTAACCAGCAGAAGTACATTGCGATATGTTCCATTTATTTCGAGAAGCCGAGAGCAGGATAAAATTGTTTTAAACCACTGACCCCCAACGCCCCCAGTGTGCAGAGCTATCAGAACATTCAGCATGACCTTGAAAACCTATTCAACATATATACATAATCAGAAAATTAAACTACTATTGAGTATGTATAAATTTTTAAACAAGAAACCTTCGGTTACAACGCTTTTTCATTTATCTATACTAGTGCTGTACCTTGATTTCAAGATAAGTTGAACTAAATAATGTTTTTGTAACTACATTTATAGGAAATACAAAGGGAAGTCACATAATAGTCCATTTATTGGCTTAATCAATTATGTTGCTTAACGTATTTGACAGTATTGCCTTTATCTGCAGCCATATTGACGATGGTGTAGTATCTTGTACAAATGGAAACAACCACAACTCAAAATGTACATTTACTTGTTCGGATGCATTTTTATTAAATGGTAATAAAGATCTAACTTGCATAGAAGGAGATCTGGGAAACAGTGAATTTGGTGTGTGGGACGCAGACGTACCTTGGTGCAGACGTAAGTACAGAACGAGGGTAGGCATTCGAAACTGTTCAGTAAATTCATAGTTCTTCTGTTGCTAGATAGGTAACGTCAAGTGTAGTTGATCTGATCTACATATGCGGCAGTAGTCACAGAAACAAAAGCACACCAAATGAGAGCCCTGTGTAATATTATACCGGATAAACTTTGTTACGGTAAACAGTAAACACTACTTTAAGTAATTATGCTTGACATGGCATCCGCTGGAAGTTCTCAAAGGCTTATGTCACGACTCATAAATAGAAATGCAATTATCTAAATTTCGTATTCAAATATTTCAATATCCAACTCCTGTTTTCCAAATCAGCAAAGGTTTGCGATCCACTAGTATACAACACTTCCAATACTGAAGTATCCTGTACCGATGCTTTCAAATATGGAACTACGTGTACATTTTCTTGTTTTGCGGGACATTTCATGACTACGCCCGATGGATTGAAGCTTATAGATACCGGAAAATTGGATACAGAATGCATAATAAGTCCACAACGAACGGTTGTATGGACAGAAGTAGCTCCAATGTGTCACTTGAAATCATGTGAAGAACTCAGGTAAATATATCTATTACATGTATTCTCAGTCAACAGAATATATTCATGTAATATTTATAGTTATTTTCAAATAAATTTATGCCAATAGAGAACCGAAAAATGGAATGTTCACCTGTACGGATGGCAGTAATCATGGATCAGCTTGCACATTATCGTGCTTGGCAGGATACGGTGTACAAGGTAGAAAAAGAATCAATTGTGTGGATGTGGGAGCGTACATTCCAAAGTCTAAATGGAATCATGATATTCCCCGTTGTAGACGTAAGTGAAGACTTTTCATTTTTGAATTGTCACCACGTCCAGAATTATATGTAAATATATATTATTTCATTTTCAGCGAAGCCGTGTCCGACACTCGAATATGACCAGCCTACGACTAATTTGGACTGCACTCAGGGAGATTCATTCAAAAGTATATGTACATTCACGTGCAAGGAAGGATATTACATGCCTTCGCCAGAAAGACGAGGCGTAGTTATTGGGAACAGTCACACAGTTTGTATTCTAAACAACCTGAAAGAATTGCAATGGAGTGACAATGCTCCACAATGTTTGCTAAAGACCTGCAGTAAACTGAAGTATGATTTTTGAATATTTCAAAATAGATGTAATTGTGACAATGATATTGCTCTTTTCAACGGTTCATTTGTGCAAATGATAATAGAATATCATTTGTAATTCGGTAAAAATTTCAAACATTTATCGATTTTCAGTGACCCAGAAAATGGAAAAGTACGTTGCAGTGATGAAACTCAATGGAACTCAGTTTGCAAATTCAGTTGCGATCCTGGCTATGAAACTGATGCGGAACCTACACTGCGGTGCATTGATGACGGTTTTAATAAAAAAGAAGGGGTTTGGAACAACGATCCTCCATCTTGCATACGTATGTGTAACAATTTTTCCTAGATTTTTACATCTTATATTTTGCACTATTACACCTAAAAACAAACGTTTGGAATAATCCAAAGTAAAATTTTATTAGCAGAATAAGATTTATCTACAATTTCATATATATATGCTTTTGGAATTCAACGCTCAAACGACGCGAGGATATTTTGCTGTATTAGGAGTGACAGCAGTCGACAGTAATTTCAAGTCCGTTTCAAATACTTCATCAAGAAACTTATTTTTTTATTTTCAAGGAGGAAGTTTCTGTTTTAAATACTTCAACAGAGAACTTTTTTTCAGGAAGAAAATGTCCTGATTTCGTTCTCAATCTAGAGGCAATTGGCGTGCTATGTACTAACGACTATAAATTTGAAAGTAAATGCGAGTTTCAATGCATGGTAGGACATTACATGACAAGAGACTCGGCTATAGTATCTTCTGCCAAATCAACGTGTGGAATAGAGAGAAATACAATGATTTGGAGCGAGGCTCCTCCGTTGTGCAAATTGAAATCGTGTCCTGCAGCGAGGTAAAAGTAAAGAGCAATTTATTCATCCAAAATTGTTTGTTTCAACACACACTAAATTCAATGTTATATATTACAGGGAACCAGATAGAGGTTTACTTCGTTGTAATAACCGTAATGAATTTAAATCAGCTTGCATGTTCATGTGTTCTCCGGGATTTTATTTGTTAGGCGAGAGAATTGTGACGTGCGAAGATAATGGAATAAACGATCCATTTGGTGTTTGGGATTTTGATATGCCAACATGTGAAAGTAAGTATTTGATCTTGGATTGCTTTTTGTATTTTTGAATTTCGAAGAAGCTTGCTCGTAGCAAATGAGAACATACAAACGTGAATTAATATGAAACAACATTATATGACTAACAAAATATATTTATGGTTGCACCAGTCAATAGTAGTGAGTAATAACGATGAGGGTCTCTCTATTATACACTGGTAGATGTTTTGGGTGAATATGTTTCGCTTGAGCAACCCACTACAAAATATATATAGAATATATAAATACAAATCACAGAATGTCGTTGATTCGAGTTCAAAATAATAAATCACAAACGACAGGTCACCACATACTCACAATCAGCGTTCTCACTTTATTTAATTAGATTAAACATGTTTGTTAGGAAATTATGACCAACGAAGCGATTTTAAGTCCATCCTATTATTTCCAGGAAAATCATGCGAAATACAAGAGCGGACAAGTACAGACAGATTGACAGAATCTTGTACAGATGGTTACCTGTTTGAAACCATATGCACCTACAACTGCGATCAAGGGTATTACATGTCTAACAAAGATGGTGTCACTGAGAGCAATAGAGATCAAGTGGAATGTGTTGTATCCGGTAGGGATATGACTTGGTCATCAAACCTTCCTTTATGCACATTGAAGACATGCCCAGACTTAAGGTTTGTTTGATATAACTCGAAACTAGTGAGACACAAATTTTATTTTAGCGCAATACCCCATCTAGACTAAGCAATATACCTGTCGAAATACAAACAAGGTGGGGGGGGGGGGATTCTCAGAATGAACACAAATATCCAATGAGTAATGGCAGTACTGGTAGTCCACGCGACTTTCTCTTTCTCGTTATATGATCTACCCGAAGCTTCAAATCCAAATATAGTCCAACCGCTGCAGCAGTTCCTATCGCCACCGGTAAGACCATGAAATTCGCGCATCATCATCGGTGCAGCTATTAAGCAATGGGTCTGCTTTGCAGAAAAGATTTACGGACAAGCGTGAAGGAGGCGGTTATGCATGAGTGATAAATATTTCAATTCTGCTGATGTTAAATCTTCATTGTACAAGAGATATATACATTCTCAGGCACAGGTATTTTATACGACCTGTTCCAAATTAACACAATAATGTTACATATTCTGTTTTTGACAGGAATCCTGAAAATGGTGGTAGCACTTGTACTGGTGGAAACAACTTTACGTCAATCTGTACGTTTTTCTGCGAGCAGGGGTACAACTTGCGAGGGAGTAAATCTACAACATGTCAGGAAAGTAAAGGAAATCAGCCTGTTGGACCGTGGAATAACCCGACTCCGCGCTGTGAACGTAAGCTGTTCAATGTTGATTTTTATTTCATTGAAAATTTCACTAATTAACATACAGTTAGCATGTTAGAATCTGTATTCTTTACGGTTCGTGAAGTTATGAAAATCCAATGTTAATTAAAAAATAATATTTTTTGTAAATCAAACGATTCGACTCTTTTTTAAATTTGCATGTCAGCACGATCTTGCGGACGCATATCATATGATCTTGATATCCTCACGATGGCATGCACACAAGGACAAAAATTTAAAAGTATTTGTGAATTCTCTTGTAACGTCGGATATTATACAATTGGAGAGGATAGCGACGACTTTTTGGCACGGGCGAACGCAACTTGCACAGTTCTTGAAAATGATGACATGGTTTGGTCTCGAAAACCACCGAAATGCCAAGTAAAATCTTGTGAAACTCACAGGTTTGTATTCATTCAACCCGGCTTTTGTAATTCTAGAAGGGGCAATGATTTTTTTACTGTTTATGATTTGTGTAAGTATTGATGCGCCAGTCCGAGGGTTTGAACTTGCTATTCAAAGTTTCCAGTAATATTCATAATTAATTTTACGGTACTTGCGCCTTTCAAACATAAAAAGAGATATTGTGTCTGTACATTTTAAAAACATTCAAGAAGTTTCGATTCATGCTGAAGAATGATCATAAAAAACCAAGCAGAGCAATCAAGAAAAGTATTTTTTTTTTGTGTTCAGTGATTTTGCAGATGGAAGAATACGGTGCACAAATGGAGATATTTACAAATCAGTATGCACATTTGAATGCTTACCTGGGTTTGAACTGATTGGTCAGCGTAAGACCACATGTCTAGATCCTAATAGATATGATCAGTATGGAGATTGGAGTTCTGAACAACCAATATGTCAGCGTAAGTTTTCTCATTTGAACTAAGATTTAAGCTCGTTAACACCTGTAGGCTCTAAGCAACACTTTTGTCATTGCAGCAAGACCTTGTCCCGCTTTGCAGTATGAGGAATCTAACACCAAGGTTAATTGCACGGCTGATAATATGTATAGAAGCGTTTGCAGCTTTAGCTGCTTCCATGGTCATTATATGACGACGCCTAACGGTAAGCAAGTCGTAGATGAAACCTCCACACAGTGTGATGTCAGATCGGATAGAATGTATTGGACTAAAAAGGCTCCAAAATGCGTGCTGAAGCAATGTGTCAAAGCAAGGTAATGACATTATTTTTATGTATTCCGTTTTAACCAAAAATTACTGAACAAACAAAGGAAGTGACAGCACTTGAAAATTATATGCACTATTCCAACAACTATTACCAAAAATTGTATCAGCAAAGTGATTAGTCTTCACTATATCTCTCAAGTGACCTCTCGGTTACCATTCACTATTTCACGATGTTATTCGTTATTGGCCAACACCTTACAAACGTTTATAATTGAGTGAAAGGCTCTCTAGCTAGCATACCATTTTACATAAAACACACAGCGAAAATGCGCTGATCACTTCGTACTGAATTTATTGTGTGCTGCGGTGAGCTTAGCTCGAAGCTGTTTTTAGAAAGGCCGGAGTGAGCTCTACAGCTCTATACTCTTAAAGGATGAATGTGGTATATATATATCATGATAGTTTGTATGAATCGTAAATAACGTTTCCGATTATCCTCAGTTTGTAATTCGGACTGTCGTTGTGTTTTTACAGAAAACCAATTGATGGAAATGTGGATTGTACAAACAAAAATATCTTTGGATCTGATTGTATGTTTTCGTGTTCTATAGTTAGAGAATTGAAAGGCAGCGAGATACTAACATGTGACGCTGACGACAGAAATGTACCACAAGGCATATGGAGTGCGGACTTTCCACAATGTGAACGTGAGTAACTGAAATTTTCACGGATAGGTCGAGGGCTAATACGTTCCGTAGAAGAGAGATTGCAATTTTGAAAACGACGCCTACGTACTCAGGAAGAACATTGTCAGTGGAGTAGTACATACTATACATTTGTAAGGTCATCCAAAACGTCACACGATTTTGTAAATGACAAATCTGCTTCCCAGCCGAAGAGGGGATAATGTTCATGTAAACTTGTTCTCGCTAATTACTGGGTCGCCTCCTCAGAGTTGCATTTCATAATAACACTAATGGCACGAAGACATCGCAAGACCAGTACCATGTATTTTAATTAAATATATATAAATAAAAGTGCGCATTGGTTTGAATATTGACCGTGTCATAACACTATTAATCAGTTAGAATTAGGAGTATGGACGCCCGACAATCTAGAATATCTGAAGTCTCGCCTATTCTTTACTAAACACTGTAATGTTTTAATGACCAGACGCTTTGCTTCTATAAATAACCATCTAGGTGGAAATGTAGCAGACACGTCGATATAACTTAACTAATAACGTTTTCAATTACGTTATGACCGTGACAAAAATCAATCGAAGGGGTCATAATATGAATTCAGTAACTTGATGGATTAAAAAAGCATAACATTATGTCACGTACTAGACTTTTTATCAGACGAGAGTGTTTTTATTTTCATGATATATTACCTGGACTATTGAGACAATATAATGTTTTAAGATTCTAATAGTAAAATACCCCTAATAACTTATCAGTGATTAAGATAAATGATAAGTTATCTCCAATTCTTTTGTTCTATGTCTTGAAACATATAAATAAAAACATCAAAATGAACTTTATTTGAATGATGAACGTACGTTTTGTTAATTATATCCACTTTTTACAGTGCGGTCGTGTCCAGACTGGGAAATAGAACGACGCGCTATCGTAGAAACATGTTCAAATTTTTACAAGTATGGCAGTATGTGCACCTTTACGTGCAACGAAGGGTTTTATGTGCCTGCAGCACCTGGAACCCTTGTGAGAGAAACCACAACAGCCCAATGTGATCTTGAGGGAACAGCCATTACATGGGTTGGTACTCCGCCACCATGTAAAATCAAAACGTGTTTACCCCTGAAGTAAGTAAGAAATATAATATGAGATTGTTGTGCACTTGCAGCCTTTTATCTCCCCTTGGACATTGTAAGAAAAAATACAATGTTTCAATACACATTAGGCTTGCACGTAATTTACGGATTTACGGAATTACGGAATTATTTCGAGTTACGGAAGCGAAGTTACGAATTACGTAAAGTCGTAATTATTGGTCGAGCGCTTTCGCGATTGAAACGAGCTCTCTTCAGAGCAGTCAATTCCGTCGATTGTAAAAAATTAAAGTTCAAGTAAAAGAAGTTAGAGTTCCGGTATTCGCAGCCGTTTTCTCTCTCTCTTGTTAGGCAGATGGGGAAGGCATAACGCGTCATTTACTAACCTATCGTCAACTTATCTAGGATGGCCAATGTACATATTAACCGTAGATAAGGAATAGAATTGTGTTGAGACCGATGGACGTCAACACACCTGGTTTCAACTGTCCGTGAGGCTTTTCTCTCTTTTGTTAGGCAGATGGGGAAGGCATAACGCGTCATTTACTAACCTATCATCAACTTATCTAGGATGGCCAACGTACATATTAACCGTAGATAAGGAATAGAATTGTGTTGAGACCGATGGACGTCAACACACCTGGTTTCAACTTCTTCGGGTGAAATGACTAAAGAATGTAAGAGATCAACTTATAAAACATGGTCTATTTGTAAATGCCGTGATAATTAATGTCGCGCTTATCAAACAGCAATATAAAGACGGAAGAGAAATTGCGTAATGAACAACGCAACTTAGTCTTTTCGGCATCGGTAAAGCGATTGAGACGGCAGAGAAACAACAATACGACGGGATTTCACGTGTTTATTCTGCGCGAGATCCATTTTCTATTATAAAATCTTGATGTTCTTTAACCGATTTTATCGTTATATATCTGTCCTTGGCATTGCTCAATATGTTTTTCACAATGCCTCGCAATATGTCGGCCAAATACGATTACCTGTCTTTACCAAATGCGGCAAACTTATTTTGATTTATCGTCGACTCGAATACCACCGGCACTCGACCAAACTTGTGTCAATCTTGGCAAATAGGATTGTCGACTTGAGTTAGAAAAATAAATTAATATTTTCATGAGTGCAAAATAAATGTCACAAAATGCATTGTTTTGCGATATAACTTTGTATTTTCGGAGAAGGCATGTCATATATATAAGTACGGTATTTTAAATAATGCGCAAATAATTAATATTTGATCTAAATTTATCGCAAATAATGTTATAACTTTTAGGCCGCGAAATGATTTAATGTAAAATGAAGCATGGAATTCGGAATATCGTGAATAAGTCGGCATCAATAATTATTATAAAATGCTAACTAAGTAGTAAAGTCGGATATTGTAAAAAACGGTGAAATAACAAGTCTTCGTCGCCAGGCAAGCGAAAGTATAATCAAACGAGAGAATACGCTTGTAGTTGATTAATAAATTAGCAACCCGGAATTTTTATTTAATAAGAAAGTCGTATTAATACGTTCATACGATTTTAAAAAAGTGAACTATCGTTTCTTAAATATATTACCAGTGTTGGTAATGATAAAATTGATCGCATAAAATTTGGTGATATAGTGGATAAAAAAAATCAAAGCTAATACAAAAGATAAAAATCAGAATAAAATTATTTTGAATTCACTCCTTGATATTTGTCTTTAACATCTGTCGCCGGCGTGTAGTACTGCCGGGAATATGAAAACCAAACTTCGATGTCCCATTCGGAATAAAAGTGGATTAAATTGGTTGTTATGATAGGTTTAAATGTGTGAAAAAAATATCGCAATTACGGGGTCATTACGTAATCGATTTGGCCGTAATTACGGAATTGATTTTTGTCAATTACGTGCAAGCCTAATACACATTGTTTTGAAACATTATATTACTTTGAGTACAGAAGAGGGACCGATCACCGGCGATATCAACTACAATTCCCACTCGCAGATTTTTACAATACCATTATACCACTCTTTTCCTTTACGTTATGTTAGCACAAATCTAATTGTACTTGACAAACCTGATCACAGTATTACAGAAGGATTAGGAGTGTGTTCTTGTGTGTCTGTGATCACCTTACATTGAAACATGAAATTACCTATATTCCAGATTTCCAGGAAACGGCACGTACGATTGCAGTGATGAGCTTGATTACGACACAAAATGCATATTCTCTTGTACACGTGGTTATCTGTTGATCGGCATACAGACTTTCACTTGTGAGGATGATGGCACTTCTGGACCAATGGGGATATGGGACGCCACTGAAGAGCCAGTTTGTGAACGTAATGTATTTTAACTTTATCGCCGTGATTCCACAAAAATATAGTTATATATATGGGCTTGTGGGTTATACCCTCACATCTGCGTCTTGTAGTTGAACTTCTCACGAATCATTTTTTTTGTATGTTGTCGACGATATATGGCGCCTAGTTCCATTATATATAACGCAGACCAGACCGCAGATCATTTTAATCTAAACTTCACCGTGCTAACGTAAAATGTCTGTGAAATGTAACCGAATACTGTAAATGATATGTTTAAAATATTCGCTTGTACCGGTATTTCGACATCTGGCGTGTTTAGGCGTCTCACGTTACAAAAAAACCTTATGATTGTTACATATTATTGGTGTGTTGTTTAAGACCTAGTACAATTTGTGAATTGCATATAATAGTTTTATACTCTTCTGATCCTATTTCCAGGATATTCTCGCAATTACGGTTTTCGACCTAGACGGCAAAATTATAGTTTACATCAGAGTTGACTACAGTATTTTCAAATTTTTGTGCAATTTATACATGAGATAGTTTTGATTATTAACAAAAGCTTTATTTATTGCAGCACGCTCGTGTAAAAAACTTCCATACGATGTAAAGACGCAAGATGTTGAGTGCAATTTTGGAATAAAATACGGAAGCGTTTGTAAAATCACATGTGTAGAGGGTTACTACATGACTGCTAAAAACGGCATTGATCTGATAGATAACGCATCTGCTATATGTGATGTTGACCCGAGCAACAAGAGAGATGTTACATGGGATCACGATGAACCAAAATGCATAAAAAAGAAATGTCTACCTTTGACGTAAATGTTTATGTGAATCATTACATCGATGAATACCTGAAGTAATTTGTTATAAATGAGTCACTGGATTGAATTTCATGGCAACATTGTATTTGAAAGCAATTTAGTAAGACTGAATCATACGTAATGTTTTCACTGTATATATTATGAAATACATCTTCACTATTATTGCAAAATATTACTTCGTATAATACTGCTGATGCTATGTCTTTGTGATTTAATGTCATTTTTAATTTCTGTAGACCACCGCTCGACGGCAAAGTGATATGCAAGGATGGTTTAACATTTGGATCAAAATGTATTTTTGAATGTCAACCCGGATTCAAACTTATAGGATTAAGTACTACTTCTTGTAAAGACGACGGACAGAATATACCAACAGGAGTGTGGGGCAAAGAACCACCGTCATGCGAACGTAAGTGTTTTACACATGCACCCTCCCCAATTGAGTACATACCTGGTTCAGTCGGTGGAATTGAGTTGATATGATGGTATAGCGGGGAAATATATAACAAATCGTGGATAAAGTATTGGCATAATGCAATATATTTCTTCATTGTTAATTATTTATTTGATTTTCATTTTCAGCAAAATCTTGTGCTAGATTGATAAGCAATTCGAACACAACAAATTACCAATGTACCGAGGGGTGGAAATACAGAAGCATTTGTACTTTTTCTTGCAACAAGGGATATTTTATAACAAAGGGTGATGGAAGAACCATAGTGGAAACCGCAAAGACTCAAACAAGATGTGGTCGGGGCATTGGAGACGGAATGGCCTGGTCAGCTAACCTTCCAATATGCAACAGCAAATTTTGCTTAGCTATAAGGTGACAATCTACTTTTTACTTGATGAAATTTAGCATGCGTGGGTAATTTTCCTTCTTTTTGGGGGATATAACCAGTGGTGAGATTCAAATTTTTTGTCAGCCGGTTCCATCACAAAGATCATACTTTTCAGCCGGTTCTGTTACAAAAAGTCATGTTTTTTTTTTCAGTAATTCTAACCGGTTCGCTGATCTCATAAAATTCCGTAAGACGGTTCTATAGAACCGGTGCGAACCGGCTGAATCCCATAACATCTCATATAACGTATGGCTATGGATATATATCAAACTTCTGTCCATGCAACGGAAGTGTATTGTCATTAAAATATGGATGTTCCAATGCCACTAAACAAATATAGTACATTTTCACCCGAATCTTTGATCAATCACAAATAGACAAATGGCCTTCAAACCGAAACTGCCATGTCATGTTAAATTACCGTGATTGAAAAGAGGTAATTAACAATACGTTTAATAAAAATAACCGACGTTTGGTAAATTCCTACTACAGAATGAAAAATTGATGACATCAAGTTAAAAACGCGTTAAAAGTATTTCAAAGTATCCTTTCGACTACAAATTGAAGTTGGCTTTCGTACTGTAGGTTAAATTAGAATAAATCACTCGAATTTCAAATTTCTTACTTCCGGTTAATGTCAGAACTTCTCTGTACAAGTGTATATAAAAGTAACACTGCGACGTATCAGAATATTATAACAAGGTCACTTTGGTTCAAAACATTATAAGTATACTACATGCGACAGATCACTTCATTAGAACAGTAGTACAAACTTCCAATCTGAAAACAAGAACGAAATATCAAAACCATGACGTAGAGGGCACGAATGGCAAAACAATTATTTAGATTTTCGATTTTTGATCGTTGTTTTTATTATGCGCATTGAAACACAAACGAAGTACCGCATTTTAAATTTTGCACGAACTACACTGGGAAATTTCAATATTTTTTTTTGTTCATTGTAACTTAAACATTTTACGAGAAATACGTGCCAAATATTCAAATGGTTGCATGTAAGAAAGTGAATTTTTAGGCAAACCTACAGCAATTAGGAAATCTTCACAGTTTCGGTAATATATACTTAATAAATGTTTCTTTAAAAATAATAAATATTTGTGGCGAAACTAATTCTTCAAATATAAGTATTTCAAGTTATGAAAACGCGGGTACAGTTAAAATAACCTCAAAAAATTTAATTTTATTGCAATTTAGTGAGCTTCGTTATATGACGAATTAAAATAAATTCCAGAATTTCTTATTTAGACCAAAGAGAAACATGACTGTTTCTTGCACCGACAAATTTAAATACAGCTCAGTGTGTGATGTTTCATGTGACCCACCATTTAAACTGTCTGGGCCACCAAGGCTTACATGTATAGATGACGAAAACAGTCCATTCAGCGGAAAGTGGGACGAAAGACACTGGGGCTTGAGATGTAGGCGATAGTAAGTGCAAAGTCTCTTTTCCATTTAATTTTTTCCATAATTCGATAACCTAGATTCACAGCGAAATTATTTCAATTGGCCATGAAGATTGGTGAACACTATATCAAAAAATGAATATCAAGAGTGTAATGCTCAAATACATGGACACCAAGGCCAAAACGAAGTAATATTAAAAAAAAAAATTACCAACGTCTGAACACCAGATCACTGAACCGTCATACGGAGCGCAACGTGATGACGTCATCACACAAAACTTGAAAAACGAATCCCATAGAGCAGCGACTTATACGAATAAAATAAATGCCATTATAAATAACACTCAATTTTGTGATCGTCGATACATATGTACTCCATGCCTTTTAAAGTTTGTATACATGTAGGCCTAACGAATAAACACACAAGGTAAACCTTCTTTCTCAACTCTGCCTGATTCTCCTTTGAAATACTATTTTAATAGTATTTGCTATTTTTACTTAGCAAATCGTCCCTTTTGGGAACCGCTGCCATAAAATCTGGAGAAATTCTCAAAATAAATAAAATAGCCTACCAGAGACAACAATCTTTAGCCCCCTAAAATATCAAAGCAATTGGTCCAGTAGTTGAAGAGAACAGCGATTTTTTTCACGACTACAACAAGTACATAATAATAAAACCATCCACAAGTTCACTTCGTGACCAACAAGTGTGAATACGTGCGACCGCTCTTTTCGAGAGTAATTATTATTTATTGGCGAGTTTCACAAAACGCACAGACCCATAGTTTGAGACTATGATAAAGGAAACAGTCGTGTTACTCTACTAAAAATTGTCTACTATCCTTGTATTTACCGTGTTTTATAATTTGTGTACAGGTTTCAGTTAACAGGATATAATAAACCAGGAGTAAAAATCAGACACTACTTTGTTGACTGAAAAAAGGTTCACGAAGGAAATGAAACTGGATTTCATTATAGAAACTCTTTTGACGTCTTCTGTTATTATTTAAATATTCCGGCAACATTATTATTAGACATCCTATATACATTAATCAGTTGGATTTTATCTATTACGTCATTGCGAATTATTACTTAGCTGTTCCATTGGAATAAATTGAATGCGATATTTGAAACCTTCAAAAATGATTATTTTATCTTCTCAGTGTTTTATACTTTCTCATCAGTGTTTTGTTAATATACTTAGATAATTTCCGCTCTGTAGCAATATGCCAGGAGTCATTTGAGGTCATTTGAGATGTCATGTCAAGTTGTCACATGTCTAATTTCAGGTGAAATATCAATTTGTGTTACTATAAATATGTTAGACAAATGTCCTGTGGACATAATTTATAACGCTTCTTTGGGCGAGCATATTCTATTATGCAAATGCATTATTTTCTTTATACCAAAATGCTTTTTCTTAGTTGAACCGACACGAAAAGAGAATGATAATATGCTCAAATAACTGCAATATATAAGTAATTTTTACATATTTTTATACTGACACGAGAACATCACAGCCAATATATTGTACCACGTTATTAAATTTTGATATGAATACTGCGTAATATATGATTTTTGTCGCTTTGTTAAATCATGGTAGTTTCCGTTTCGTCATTGAGTGCAGCAAGTGCCAAAATTATTTTTGTCGTTAATGAGAAGTTATTCACCGTTGTCAAACACACACTTATATTGCCAAATACTGCTTGATTGTCAACTTATATATCTTGTTGCAATTTTGTCAATAAATTGAACATTTTAAAAATTATCCGATTGGTCAATATGTAGCAAAATGGTGAAGAGATTTGTATTAAAAGCGCTAGCGAAGTTCTAATTGGATGTTCATGTTAATCTGTGGCGTTATTTGTGATATATACCTTTGACTGAATCAAACGCTGATTATATTTAAATATCTGATATTGGATGAACATAGATCATTACAGAAGCCCACGCAAAATTATTATTCAAACTTCGAATAATATTCCTCGTTTTCGAAAAAAAAACAGAAAGATACGTTATAGTATGATTTCATATTGGGAGATTATTTAAGTCAGGTAGAGCCCTTGAATAATATTCTCGAACTTGCGTAGGATCCCGCATTGAGCAAAGCCGTGAATATTTTATGGTGTATAAATAACCGCATATTAGAGTTCACATTGTTCTTTATACCGCTTATCTAGCACATAATCTTTATTAAAATGCTTCGTGCCATTTACGTATTTCATAGTGCTATTTTCTAAGAGGAGTTCATGTAATTGAATGTTATATATTATATCCTATAATCTATTGCTACCTTTGAATATTGGTTGAACATTGGCGCCGGCGGCGATTGTCAGATAATCATCAAACAAACAATGACTGACGCACTACTCAACAAAACTTCCAAGTTAGGATACTTATGCATAAATGTAAACTCGAAACATTCATTTCAAAGTTTTTTGTATATGTAGGAGCGAATCGATCGATATTACGATGCCGTGGATCGTCGAGGGAAACAGTAGATCCAAGGGAAACAAAATCCTAAACTTTTATTCTAGAAATCCAATATCATTTCAATAAAAAAATGAAACTGAATAAAACTATAGAACTTTTGGGTGATGAATTAAAATATATAACTGTTTTCTTGTTAATATATCGTGAATATATTGAACCAAAACATCATTATAAAATCTGCATAATAATAAGATTATTTTTTATCTAAGCTTTTAAATTACTTCTAATATTTGCAGACCAGGCCCATTTAAAATGAATAAGTTCGGATGAAAATATCAAATGTCAAGGACGAGGTACCACCGCAATTCAAATTTCATCCGAATAATAAATAGTTCCGTACTTAAGTTATGCAAAATCTTTAAACAACAATTAATTCTAATCCAATTACTTAAATTCGAAATTGAATAATTTTATAAGGAAAATTGAATACAAAAACAATAATCCTTCTCTAATGAGATTTTGAACTTGCTCTCAAAGTTTAATCCCGTGATTACTGAATAACTCATTTCGAAAGGTAAAAATATGAACCGTAAATTTCAAAACATGCAACATCACTCAAGTCACACACTGAATACTTTTAATTCGCATACCTTGTTTTAATACCTAATGTGTGGGCGTTACCGCTATTAAAATATGAAAACTTTGACCTTCGTAATCGAGTAACCAGGAAACAAGTATCAAAGTAAACCATTGTGTTTGTGGTAGTCCAAAAAAGTTGTCTGACGTGTTGTTATATATGTAGTAATGGTAGTAACAACATATATATCACTAAACAATCGGAGATTTTCGGAAGAAAAATAAGTGAAAATGATGGCGTGGCGTGCTCGAGTTGGCACCGATTGAACCACAACCGCAACTGATGACTCGAAGGAATTTCGCCATCAAAATAAACAAATGGTCAGATTAATTTTGATAGAGAGTTATTCTTGTTTCGGGCGTCAGTACAACTGCAGTAGGTATTCACAATATGCGTTTCAACTATGATAAAACATTTTTTTATCATCAAATCATACATAATAAACAAAAACTAGTTTTAGGTTTGAATTTTATAATTTCAAAAATGATATATATTCGCAATACAAACCGCGTAACCTGTGTGTCCGCTATATCGAATGAACTACAGATATTGCTTGAGATAGAAAATTCTATGCATACCAACCAATGAAACAAAAGGTCATTTAAATAAAGTAGGATTATTATTCTTTCTACTGAAACCACTGGGCAATTTAATATATGGCACAAAAGAAAAAAGCACCATCGTAGATAGAATCTCTCTGTGAATGATTGGCGTATTTTGGAAAACAATTTTATTTTTGTACCGGAGATGAATAACGCTATAAACGACGAGGGCTTTAAAAATCAGTTAAATGCATATAAAAAAAATGCTTCATTGAAAGCATTCGAGTATTTGAATTCATTTTACTCAAACGCCATACAAGAAAGATGAAAAGATTAAATGTTTGAAGAAATAAACAATTACTCAAAATTATTCTAACTATGAAAAAGGATCGCGAGTTGTAATGATATGATAAATGACTTAACGATGAAAACTGCGTCCAATTTAGTCAGTTCGAGTTTTACTTTCTAGTTTCAAGTTCTCGAGATGAAGAAGTGGATATTGTTTCCATGACAGGTGCGAGTTCCAGCTACAACATGTAACAGAAAAAAGAATTGATTAAAAGTATTCCGGCGCCTTTGTCATGCGCTGAATTTCGTAATCATAAAAATTGCAATTTAGAAGTAACCGCGTTAGATAATATATCAAAACTCTGTGACAGATATTGGCTGGACAGTCGTCTTCAGTGGAAAACAAAATATACGCAGAGTGACGCAAATTAACGTGAGTCGGTAAATTACGGTAGTATAAATATTGCCTGTAGTTCATATTTTGTCTGCATTCAAAGACTGGTCGTCTGTGGTAAACAAAGGAATTTAGTCATCTGACCGAGACAGATTCATAACGGAATACATGTCTAAAATGGATCGGATATTATTATATGCTATTGCAGCATTGTACCTAGCCAATTTTTCAAATGGTACGTCATATTTCTTATATTTAGAAGTGAAGTTTTCAAAGTTTGGAAGTTTTTTACTCTTTCTGATTTGCAAAGTGTAGAATATAACTACGTTATATATATTTATATAATATTCTGAACAGTATTTTGTTGATTGGTATAATCACTAAATTATTTTTTTAAAGTATGCAAACGTGAATAATTTTGTTTATTCATTTGTTTATAAATATGAAAATGAAAATTCTCTAATCAATGAATACCGCTATTGAATATGTCAATACAAACTGATCAACATTTTATTCAATCATTTCCTACAACCGTGACAAGAAATTTATGAGTTGTTTTTGTTTTGATTGTCAAATAGAGAATGTTGTGGTAAATTTCTTGCCTATTCATTGAACTTAGAGATATGGCTTTTTAAATACTCGAAAGAAGAAGAATGTGCGTGGTTGTAATCGTATTTACCTGTTTTGTTGAAAAATAAGTCAGCACAATAAATGATTCAAACTTATATTAAATAACGAGTGAAACGTAAATGTTTTTACGAAAACATATTGCAGTGACCAAAACAATATCACATTGCTTCTCTTTTCATTTTAAGGTATAACTTGTTGGATATGTCACCAAGCAAGAAGTAATAGAGACTGTATCATTCGAGGGCACGCTAAAAGATGTAATGCCTACGAGGTGAAATTTAATATTCTAATCATCTAATATGCGACACAATTTTCATACCGCAGACCCGTGGTTTATGTTGTTGATTCCATGTCAGTTTGTCCCTTGTTACCAACTCCTTTGTTGTAAGTAGAAAAACTTTTCGCAAGTTCAGGCGGTGTTAGAAAAATGTTTTAGTAAATTCTTGTCTTTTGAGTACTTTAAAATTCTTAACATTTTATGTTTTGATACAATTACAACGAAACGAGTTAACACGCCAATTTTCACACGATTGGTAAAAATACAGATGTTGCTTGCTCACTTTCTTTTGCGCAATTGTGGAAGTTAAACAGTAATGTTCAAAGTTCATGGCCTTGATCTCACATTGCTGTCGATGGCCGCACGTTTCCGGTCCGGTAAATTGTAAACACGTGCAACGTGCCAAAGACATCTGTTGTCGCCAAATTTTAATGTAGGCTTGCAAAGACGTGGAATGTTGAAAACATTCGTACGAACGATGCTAAAATACTAATATTTATAAAAACTAGATCGGCAAAGAAGGAGTATTGAATTACAAAACCAACATCTAAAACCCCGAATTCCAACCCTGTAACATTTGAAGGAAATTGACCCATAAATACATTTTTTAGAAAATTAAAATAATCTAAAGGTAAAAAATATTTAACATAATATGTTGTTTGACCTATTCAAGCGGGCTTTTTCGGTGTCGCTGTCATTTCCGGGAAAATAGGTTATTCATCATGCATAGGATACGAAACCCAACAACAAATTAATTTCATAACAAATTTTGTTTGGTCATTAAAATTCCAGAATTTAATTGAAAAATTTTACCATTTCAAAATCATGTTCAAATAAGTTCATGAGCTAAGATGCTGACGTTTGGTTGACGGTTATCATTATAATTAAAATTAATGAACGTTTTAAGGTAACTATAGAAACATTTTATCACATATCAAATCTTCAGTAAATATGCAGCTGCGTACCAAAAACACAACTGCGCCCACTTATGTAGTAGTTTGTTAAAGTACTCATTGACCACACCAAAAATCTTACATACCCGCAAAAAAAGTTCATTAAATTACTGGGCAATACAGGATGCATACAACTGTTTTTCTTGTTTCGATTTATATACGCTTTAACAAAACTTAAAACAAGGAAATCAGGTTTCCTTCTCATTTTTTATGAATATCACTAAATGTGTACTTTTATCACAAATATTCAAAGTAATTTTTTTTTTTTTTCAAAAATACATCGTCATTTCAGTGACGTAATGTGCTAGTAGGCACACCAACGTAGACTGCCTAAGCCCTAAGGCATGAATGAATGGCACAGTACTTCATATACAAACATGAATATATAATTTTATCAAACTTTATTTGAGCATTCTGAAGTTTTCTGGAATGCAAATCTAATATAACCACAAAAACCTTCTTGAACTACAACTTTGAATGACATATTCACTTGGTTATTTAAAAAATGGAGGACAAATAATGCAAGTAAGGTTATTAAATTGAACACTACACGTAATCATTTTACTGAAATGCAATCTTTGTAATAGGAATTTAACTCTCCAAAATCATTTTAAGTTTCCAAATTTTAAAGGTTGCGAAGAAGTTTCAGCTTTGTGCTTCATCTAACCTGTCGGTTTGAGTTAAATTTTAACAAAAATAAATAATCGATTTGAATAGCAAAGAGGTAGATGTGGACGCTTAATATGGAAAGTCATTGTGTATTATTATCGTGACCAGACAAAATCAAATATACCGTCGTCTGGTCTCTCAGACAGGTGACCTCATATAACTCAATATGTATCCCCATGAATCCTAAATGCACTAGTCTGCGACTTTTATAAGTGCAAACATATTTCATCAACTTGTTATTAACCAATTAAGGACAATGGCATCGTAATTTCCGAAATGACGTCAGTTATTTTTATCAGAACTAAATGTTACATGTATAAGGGAGTTCACGCTGTGTAAGCATTTTTAAACCTACCGTTTTATTTATGTTAATGATGTAATGGGCTGAATATTTCCTTTTATGGAAGATCCACACCCCAATAAAATGTCAAACTTCGCGACGGCTCTGGTACCATGTACTTGTAGTCTGAAAATTAAAATACAGCCGGAAGGTTGCCAACTGCGCAATACGATAATAGCGTTTGATTTATTTATCTAATCTTTGAGATAATGCCGGACTTTCCGTATATGCTAAGTCACGGTCATGAAAAGAATGTACCAAGTCTAATATCGTACTGAATTGATACTAAAGTTCTAGGTGGAATATATGAGTAAACGAAAAATGCTTTCAGCATCATTTTCCTATAATTAGTGTTTTTCTTGGTCATGTTTGTCACAATTGCTATTGACATTTTCTGCTGTACTGTTATCAGTATTGCACCCGATTTCCCGTAAAAGTAGGGATGTTTTAACCATAGTTTTTGCTTCGCAGGGCTGCGAAAACGAAATTCGGTATTCCAACAACAGGATCAGTGTAACAAAAAGATGTAAGCAAATGAGAGCATGTAGCAACGATCAAATGCAGGTAATTAACTTGAATGAGATGGAATATTGAATAATTTTACAGAACTCCACTTTTTTCTCTATTAATCAATACAAATATTACATTAACTAAGATTGATAATACGACTATGACAAATTTACTATTTTTTGAATATTGCTATTCAGAATTCAATGTTGTCAAACAACAGATACAACTGTGCTGCTGATAAAAGAAATTCAGTTTGTAGATGCTGTTGCAACGGCGATAACTGCAACAAAGATCAGTTATCTTGTCTCGAGCAAGGTAGGTAATCTTGAGATGGGCGTGAAGTTTTATGATTCAGTCCTAAACTACATATATATATAAATTAGAATCGTAACAATGTATCATCACTACAAATGTATTTGCAAAAAGAGAGAAGAATTATTGATATTTCTTTGACGTACACAACAGTGCTCACGATTTTTTGCATAGACTAACATAAATTAATCAATTAATCCCTATCGAAGAAGGCGAACAAATCGCACCCAAACGAATACTGAAAGTTTTATCGTGCATCGAGCGTCAGATCTACAACGTCATAATAGTCGAGACGAAACAATATATGACCTTTATTTAAGCCAAGTATTGTCCAGACACATTACACAAAGACAACCAGAACAGCCGCAAATAACCATACATTTTATTTGCCTGCCCACCTATGTACTGCAAAATTTACTAATTGGTCTTGTCTACCACGCGAGGTGACATGTACGCTTCAATTTACATGCAAATACACCAGAGTTTCATGTTATAAATAGCCGAACATGTAGACGTCTCGATCGAAATGTTTTCCGAGTGATATATCATAATTTTTTATTTTATATATTAAAAATCTGAAGTACCAACTGCAAATATTTCATTCCTTTGCTACTGAAATATTACTAACAAAGTTTTGCACCTTACTTTTTACTATCAACAAATCATATAATACCTTGAATATCTATCACACACGTTATAAACTATTTTCAGGTTTGCCGCAATGTCGAGTTTTATATCTTCCTAATGGTTACACTAAATGTTTTGGATCTAAAAGTGGAGTATCTCTAGGCACCACGTGTCGTTTCAGCTGCAAAGCAGGTACAATTTCACATATATATATATACTGGAAATTTATATGCGAATAATTAGTTGTAGTTGGAAGACATGCAGCTTTGAAACATTACAATACAAAGTTGACGTCCCATTTTCTTCTTATTTGCTTTGACTATGCGTCATATTGTGTCAGGATCAAGAATTCCCGAACAATTTTCAACAAGAATATACATACTCATCTAATGCGGATATCAAACTTTCACTCACATCTTCAAATATATTAAAAGTATTATATTTTTCAGGGTATGAACGAATAGGAGCATATGCAGTAACATGTAATAGACGAGCAACAATGGCAGAATGGTCTGAACAAATTCCCATATGTCGGAGTAAGCTTTTCAAGTATTTGTTAATTATGTACATGTAGAAAAGTAAGAGAATCATTTATCTTGACGTACATTTACTAATATAAAATATTGGTCCACGAACATGGTATGGCATAATTTGCGGCATAGTGCGACAAGGCATTTTATCTTTTTCATATTTTATTTTCTCCAGAACGTCCGGCCTGTATCAGAATATTTGATCACAATCTTTCAAACGGATTTGTCAGATGTAATGGCGCTTTCGGCCTTGCTACTTTGGGAACCACGTGTGTATACAGATGCAACCCACGTAAGTCCTTTAAATATACAATTACTCAACAGTCATTAAACAGTCATCAATGCTAGGTATATGTTATGTATTCATTGTACTTCATTAATGCGATCCCATTTCGTTCACGGAAGGTTACTTCATGGTGAACGCTGAAAAACGGAAAACGGTTAGAAATTTTCAGAGGACCGTTTGCACGATGGAAAAATCTACTTTGATTCCAGTATGGAGCCAAAAACCACCAAACTGCATTGAAGAAATGTGCCCACCAGTAAAGTAAGATAAAGATTTGATTTGACGTAATGGTAATGAACGAAGATTACTAAGATGTGAAGTTTTTCATTCTGTAGAAAGCATCATTATAACGATGTGTTGATCTCTACGCGTAAAGAACTGAATTGTAATAAGAATACGAACAAATCAAAATTGAATAAACATGAATTATGTATTTATTTTCAGTCGCTTCGATTATGGTGTCTCATCATGCTCTGATTTTAACAAACTGGGCTCAGTCTGCAATTTCAGATGTTATGCTGGATACGATTTGGTTGGCGAAGAATCGATCAAATGTATACAAACATCTGGAGTAAAAAACTGGAATTCACCTGTACCAATCTGCAGACGTAAGACCTTCAGTTTTCCGAAGACAATAGAACTTCACTATTGACGCACCCATTGTATTAAAAGGCAGCCAACGCCGAATAAATTATAATCGAAACAATTAGTCATTATATCCGATTGATTTGAATCAAATAAATTGTCTTTTGTTTTCCTTGAAAGAAACGTTCAGTTGCACAAGTCTTTGGTTAAATATATATCAACATAGGCAAAATGTGCCAAAGATTCGAGAGCTATTTTTCCCACATTCGTCATAGCGTCACGATATTGTAGTTCATGTCTACAACAGAACCGTTCGACATTTACCAAGATAAATGTCAGCTACATCCAATATTGATACGGATAATATAGGAATGGTCGAAAAATAGAATATTCGTGATTACTAAGATTAATGTCTATATAAGATGAATTAATAGTTCATCACTTTGTTTTACAGCAAAACCTTGCCCGTTGGACACATTCGCACGACCCCTATTACAGTCCGAGTGCACAGACTTGAATCGATATGGAAGCGTGTGTTCAGTATCATGTAAAAAAGGTTTTTACATGGCTGACCCGAGAACAAATACACCAGTAGACGCATATACACCAGCATGTGTATTGGACGACAAAGGTGGAGTGTCATGGTCAATAGGCCCTCCAAAATGTCACCCCAAAAAGTGTACTCGTGTGAGGTAAGAAATCAAATTCTATTGTCGTAATCTGTCAAAATAACGGACATAATACCGCAATATAGTTTACCACATACATCGTAATACGCTTGGAGCGCATTATTGTGATGGAATACTCAGAGCTGCGGTTATTGTAGAAGTATACTGATGTGGCATTCTAACCAAACCCAATTCTGTTTTGTCAACTATTGAATTGGTTGACAAGGCAAACCTAACCGCAGTTGAATCATCAAGCCTTCCTCTCCTTACACTTTGATGAAATGAAAGTCAATGTTTTCTTTTTGGCAGAAAACCAAAATATGGTGAAGTGAAATGTACAGCCAAAACGGATTATATGTCACGTTGTTCATTCGATTGCACGTCTTTGGTACATGAAATATCAGGGGAGAAACATATTGTATGTACTGATGACGGAAGAACTGGAAATCCAAGCGGTGTATGGAGTTCAGATAACCCTACATGCGAATGTGAGTTGAAATTACTATTTTCATTGTTTTATAAACGGTATCTATTTCAAGTCTATCCTGATCAAAACACTCCGAACTATAAGCGGTATATTTTAAAATGGATGATTTCAATTCGTGGCGCCAGTGAAATTTCCGATTGACTATTTTGTTCAAATTTTTCAAATGAAAATTTCTCGAAATGATATCAAATAAGGCATTCCAATGACTCATATTAAAATGGACTTCAAACAGCACCACTTCATTTACGCAGATAATATGGTCGCTGTTAGGAAACCATACCAATCTGCTTATTTAGCTGATTTTCTATGAAATTAACTACTTTTGATAAGTCTAGATTATGCCAAAGATAACAAGCGTAACAACAATTGGTCTACATTTAAGTGATGACTAACTAACTAAAACACAGTAGTTTGAAAATATCTATATCTTAATATATGACCTTCACAAATTGTCAGCGATGGCATTTTTGGTCGATTAAGCACAAAGTTTTTGATAGTGATTGATCGAAGTATAAACAAGTAAAAATAAATGTGCAATAAACTATGAGAAAATAACAAAGACGTTATCAAGTGGAATGTACCAAACGACCATGACAGGTGGCACTGCTTGGTGACACAATATTTAATATGTTACCAGCAGTAGCACTTACAGCATGTATTGATTGGTATATTCGTCCGCGTCAGTGAATATCAAATTATTCTAAGGAATGACATCGAATGAGCCACGCAGTCGTTAAAAATTGTTTTGTTTATCATGCGGCAAATCAAAATTATATTTTATCTGTAAGTGCTACGACCACTCACTTCTAATTATGGGAATTGTCTAATCTTAAAAAAATGAATTAAATATTGACGCATTAATGTGAAGAGGTTTGGATTAGCGTCAGTGTGGTTTATGGCGCGTTATGGCAACAGAGATAAAAACCCAAACACCAATAATGCGTCACCACTACTGTTGCGCCAACTAGCATGGTGTTGTTTATTTGACGCCCGGAAGAAAATGTGGTTACTGAGAAAACAGAACCATGAAAATTCTACAATGCGGCCGGGCAATGCATTGTTAGACTGTTTAAAAATGTTTGACTGTAAAAATGTAAAGTAAAGCCTAGAATACCCTCGCTAAGAACGAGAATAGTTCTGAAAGTTAAATAGCACACATACTCACCCATATATTGAATTGGGAATACTGCTGCTTGGAACTGGTACTCAGGAAAGAAGCATTACCTTCCGAGATCCGCCGGCATTATTTGCATTCTGTCATACATCCCACACAAAGTTCCGCTTTCCTTCGACAGCATTCTGTCGACCCATCCGAACTACGAGAAGACATCGTGATTGCGTTCCCGCTTTAATGAATGAAGCGTAACGACTAACAATGGATGTTTCCACCACCTTTGGCTCAAGAAAATTCTTCATATAATTTACCATTTGATTGTGCTTTTGCGAGCTGGCCCTTCTGAAATTGCTTACGTGTTCAAAACCGACATTTAGAGTTTAAAACATTCCGCTTGGTGAGAAAAAGCACCGGCAGCTAATTTCAACCTACCGGTTGTCTGCATCAGTGTTCGAGACCGTTTTCTGATTTAACTAATTTAACTCCTTCAGAAACAAAACGACATTTTATTCACATCTTAATTTACTAAATATGTATATATAGCAGTCGGAACTATAAATGAATCAATGTTTTATAGCCAAGTTTGAAAATTTGTGCGGCTGTTTAAATCTTAATTGTTACGTCATCATTAGGTAAGTTATTGCTGATTGGCCACTGCTACATATATATATACAAAGAAGTGGATTAAAGGGGAGGCATCCATTAACATTAACCCCAGCGAAGTGTAAAATCTACACTTCAAAATTGAACTGACAACGATATGACATCTCGATATGTCTATACAGAGGATCCATACGAATATCGGAGGAAGCATCCATTAACATTAACCCCATTTATCTCTATTTCAAACCAATACGAAGTTGCCACTCTCACAAAAACTCAACATTACCTAATTTTCACTTTAGTGAAGAGTTGTCCACCCATAGACGCTGACGCTACTGATGTCAAATGCAACAAAGGATATGTTTACAAAAGCACTTGCACTTTCTCGTGCAAAAAGGGTTACTTTATGATAGCAGCGGATGGAATCACCATAACAAAGTCCAAGAAAGCGACAAAAACAACGTGTAAATTGATAGAACGTGACGTTGCATGGTCAAGTGAGCCACCAAAGTGTGAACAAAAACGATGCCCTGATATAACGTAGGTTTTTATCATTATTATAATATAAATAAATTCATATTATTAAACTGTATCATTAATTAATGATCTGTACTCAATTGATCAGTTTGAATTTACTCGAATATGTGAAAATTACCGGTTCAAATGCGAACTTTGATTTTGCAGACAACCAGATTATGGCACAATGACTTGCACCGAGCCCTTTAAATTAAATTCCAAATGTTCTTTTACGTGTAATGATGGATTTGAAATGGCTGGAAAATCGACTGTGGAATGTCGCGATTGGAAGAAAAACAAAATTATCGGTAAATGGACTGCGCCAACGCCAATATGTAAAAGTAAGTAAGAATAAGAACACTGTAGAATAATAACAATGGCCTAAGGCAGAAATTTTGGTATTAGAATATAATCAACGATTTCAATAGCATTTGGCATGTGATATCACTTAGGAATGTCGAAGAGTGCTTCGCCACTCCTAGGAATTCACTATCAGGGATGAGTAATTAAGAAAGCACCCTATTGCTGCAGAAAATCTACAAATTAGATACTCTTTGTTGATGTCCAGCGCATTGAATTTTTTTCTCTCTAATATAGGAAGATCTTGTGCGACACTTCACTATGACGAACATACTAGCAGTCTGACATGCTCAAACGATGTCAAATATGAAAGCGCTTGCAGCTTGCGTTGCAATGAAGGATATTATATGAGAAAATCGCCCGTGGAAGAGGTGATAGAGCGCACAAAAACAACATGTTTGTTTTCGGAGGGCGGAATGACCTGGAGTGCACGAATGCCTGCATGCCAGCCAAAAACTTGTAATCCAATAAGGTGTGTTCCTTAATTTTTGTGCTATTTATATTTTTTTGATAGCATATTTTTTTTTAAATGTGAATAGCTTCAATTACAATTTGTAAATGTTGAAACCACATTCATAACACTGACCCTGTTGACCTTAAAAAAAGTAAACCTTTTTGCATATTTTGCAGGCCTATTTTGAACGGGACAATGAAATGTTCTGAAGAATTGATTTACGGTGCAAAATGCCAGTTTTCTTGTTCAAGAGGGTATGATTTGGTTGGCGAAAAGACAGTATTCTGTCAAGACGATGGACGCTCTTCTCCTGACGGTGTCTGGAGTGCTTCAACGCCAACTTGTGAACGTGAGTTTTTAAGTTATACATTCTATTAACCTAAAGCAGCCGGCCCGCAAAATTGATATTAGTTGAATTGAATCGAGTGAATTTGGATGACTCGGGAGTTCTGTAATAAAATTTCGTTAAATTGACCACCTCATAGATGTGCATAGTTATGCTCTTTTATAAAGATGTTTCCTCAGAATGTCAGCAGTGCCGTTCCCACCACAATTCAGTGACAACTATGAATAGTTAAAATATATAAGCATAAGGTATTTTCAATTTGATTTATCATATTTAAACTAGAAAACTTTTCCTTTTTCAGCAAGAAAATGTTCGTTATTAGATGTTCACTCGATTAAAATGACAGCACATTGCGACAAAGGAAATGAATACACAAGTCAATGCAATCTTAACTGTTTACCAAAACATTTCATAAAATTGCGGGACAAGAGTGTAATGCATGCTTTAAATATCAGTTGCAATTTACAACCAAATGATGATCTAATCTGGGAACCGGAACTTCGAATATGTGAACCGATATCGTGCCCTATGATGTAAGTTCCCGCGATCTATTCGCTCACATTTTATTTAGTGAAAGGTCATTGCATTATAAATTGAAGATCCATATTTTAGTTTAGACAAATAATTGCAAATTGTGTTATGCAGAAATGATCCTGAAATGTACACAAGTTGTTCAAACGGAAATAAAACCGGATCCCACTGTGTTTTCTCGTGTCCTATTGGATACGATTTAATAGGAAACGCTACAAATAAATGCCTACCAATTGGAAAATTTGATGCAGCTTGGAAGCATTCGATTCCGTATTGCAAAGGTAAAAAACTTTTTTGTCATATTTATATGTATTATGTATGGGCATCAAATTTCATTTGCTATACAATACTCAAATTTCTGCCGGATGCCTATTACATTTGCATAAAACATTGATTGATTGCATTTGGAAGACTTGTAATATAGTCTTGAGAATATATCCACATGAATATCAAATACCAGTTAAAATCGGGCTCAGAAATATTTATTCATTTCCGGCTAGTTTGGCAAACCTTAAATCAAATTAATTCAATGGTATTATATCCAACGTAATACACAACAATTTTCTATGCCATAGTAATTAATAATTCTGTTTTGCAGTTCGAACATGTCTCACTCTAGTCGATGAAGAAGATTTGAATATGACTTGTACAAGAGATTCTGATTATAAAAGTATTTGCTCCTTTATGTGTCATCAAGGATTAGGGTTGTTTATGACATCAGCTCATGGAAACAAAATTATCGACACAGGAGTGTCTAAACTGAGATGCGATATCAACAAAAGAGGAAAAATGTATTGGACCGGCGAATTACCAAAATGTCACATTAAATATTGTTTAGTTAAAAGGTAAAATTCACTTTTGTTCATCATTGTAAGCAAAGAATGCAAATCTATTGATCATGTTTGGTACGGCATTCAGCTTTGGCATCATTACTTATATTATTAAAACCACAAAAAGCTGATAAACACAATAGGCCTACTGTAATGATGCGCACAGCACACTTTATACGTCATGTTTTCATCTCACGTTGCAAACAAGTGGAATGACAAACATTAGTTGTTTTTTTTGCCTGTAAAACTCCCTTGCCGATAAATGATGGTGCCGAACATTAGTCATCAGGTCTTAAAAGTTTTCGACCAGTTATTAGTTGCCGGTTAATGTGGTTTCCAGGTATCAAACTTCAAAACAACTTTTGTTTGTTGTGCATGCCTTTGCATGGTAATGCACATTTATAAAGTATTGTGAGATAATTTTATCAAAAAATCACAATAAACTGCATATGCTTAATTCACGTTGTGACGATTATATTATTTAATTTCAGAAATCCGAAAAACGGAAGAGTAAAATGCTCCAACGGTAGCAAATATCAATCTCGATGTAGGTATACTTGTAATCGAGGATACAAAAGAGTTGGCGCAAGCGGTATAACTTGTGACGAAGGAAAACCTCATTCTCCACAGGGTGCGTGGAGTAAAAAAGCTCCCACATGTAAAAGTAAGTATATGTTTTTTTCCTACCTATTAATGGGCGTTTAAGTATTTCTTCTATTTTTTCGTTTAAATACCCATATATACCAACTCGATCGAAAACTAATACATTTCCGCTGTCCCTACTTGAAGGGATAAAAAGATTAGTTATCTTTTAAAAGTTTATTATTTTGCAAAATCTCAAACTATATAGTAAAACCCTCGCCCTGAAAGCTAGGAATATCAAATTCCCGTTTAAAATATTTCAAACACACGTGTAAAATAGTTATTTCAGAGTGAGCTCTATCTATTATGTCCATTCTATTGAAGTTCTTGAAGGAAGATAAAACGTTTATCATAAATTCAACGATATACAGCTATTTACCATTAATTAAAATAATATGTGACATTGACAAAACTTTCATACTTTTTCTTTTTCAGAAATGGCAGGATGATTTCCAGGTCATCAGTTACCAAGCAAAGGCAACAACTGTTGAAACATTGAACCAGTGGCGCAACACGGGCGGCACCGGATGTACTTACACAACTCGAATTTTAAATTATTTTTGACATATGCCAGATGGCAGTCTAATAATAGCAACTACAATTTCTAATTTTTAAAATTTATTGTGAACTTCTTTATTAAGCGCCTTACTTGCGTATCTTGCAAGAACGAATGATAAATTTTTCTTAAACTGTCGGTTCCACACCCAATCAAAACTCCTGGTTGCGTCACTGAGCAATTGCATAAAAATGACAAAACCTTTAAATTTTAACACCTTGGTTAAATTTTTGGTTCAAGATATTCCAAAGTCGAAAAAATGACAACTTTTTGTCATAGTATGTTGTTTACAAGATTTGACGATACATTTTTAGTAATGAGTAAATTGTGTTTCTCTCGACCATTACACTGATATGTTATTTTTCTTTTATCTTATTTCATAAAATGATTGCAATTTATTTCTCTTTTATTTAACATTGTAAATTATGTAATACAATCTCTTTTAAATTTATAAACCGTTTATTGCTCACATGACATCAGGCAGGGATCAATAATATCATCTATATCTAATTGTCTCAGCGATTCAATGACAGTTGGTTGCAACTATTATTGTAACAAATATCTATATATCGTTCATAGACAAGTTAATCAGGTTATGAACATATTTCACAACGTCAAAAAATGTATACAAAGTCAAAACACAATTTGCGATTAATTATAACAAGCCCAAAACCTCATTATCCATCTCACAAAATAGGCAATAAAACTATTTTGGAAAAGTAACGACAATCCCCATCAATGAAATTCGAGGGATTCAACCCAAAAGAACGAAGCTTTTTTATTAAAATACGCTGGTAAAAATATTACCTCAAACATTATGTGGAAAACCAGCTGAAATAAAATTTATATCTTCCATATTTTTTTTTGTTCAAAATTCCAACATTCGCCTATCTGTCGACATAGCTCATCAAGTTTCGTTGAATTGTTACTCAATCTTGGGTTGCCAGTTTTGTAATTTCTGGGTTCATTTGCATCAGAATGACCCTGAAATCGTAAATGATAATAATTGTGTTCACTTGAATATAACAGCAAATGCACGACATTCCCGACAGTGACCCTAGCCTTCCACTCAGGAGAAACAGAAGAATCAATCCCATATCATATATTAAAAATCCACTCTGAATGTTGTTTAAATGAATGTAATTCTAGTTATCATGGTCATCGAAGCGAGAGATGTGCATGCATTTTCTTATTTACTACATTTAGTTTAGACAAATCTTCAGTATTCATGCATACGCCTTTGGCGTGTTAATCTCCGAAACGGCAATAAGAGTTTCTATCAAATATTCATACATAATATTGTTTCGGCGGCTTCTCAAGATAGATTATTACCCCAACCGACATGTGTGACTTTAAAGACTATTCAGTCATAGATTATTTGTAAAACAATCTGTTACAATTCAGCAAATCGTGAATGCTACAATAATGGGTGCTGATAATGACATGATTAATTTTTCATAAAAAGGCATTTGCTTATGCAATAGTGTTTAAGTCTTGATTTTAATCCTGATATTATTACACTTTTACAATTTTTTCGTATCTAGCATAGCTTCGAAACAATTGCCACCGATGTGTTTAGTATTCTGTATCGAATATCAATAGCACAAATTTATTCTTAACCTTAGGGAAGTCAAGGAAAACGCCGAGAAAATGATTCTCATGGATAGTATTAATACCAATGGAAAAACTTCGCTACATTCGGTTCAAATCGAAAAAATCAAAGTGGATAGTACGACAGAAGATGATGAACTATTAAACTTGATGTTTATCATCAAATGTACTCTCTTCGCAATCTATATATGCTTTGTATTGTTTGGATGCATATACACCATGATTGATGCGCGAACGGATGTGGAAGAAAATGAAGAAGATTTTGAATTTGCAGATATTTACACAATCTAACTGTTCGCCTGATTTTGCTTGGAAAAAGTTAGGCAATTTTAGTAGATGAAAGGAGAAACTATCATTATTTTAATCCTTATAATTCAAATCATCCTGTTTAATTGTTACTGTATACCAGATCTCACGCCACCATCGAAATAGTTTTTATTTAAATGTTAATGGTGATAATATTAACTCTCTACAAACATATGACCTGAGGTTACAGGCATGAAATTATCCACGGGCATAAATTAAATATTTTGTACTACATTTCCAAAACTGATCGACTTTTGTGTGGTATATGTGTGGTGTGGTATCATATTAGAACGAAATGGTGCATCATTTATAACGTAGAGTGTATCACACTAAATAAAATAATATATATATACGTGTGCATGACTCTGAATCGCTTTAGTATTTTACATAAAATTTCGTGACGCACAATTCCTGCTAACGTTAGCCATTCGAATCATTCATATTATGAATACATTTTTGGCAGTTATAGAAAATACGTAAAGGAAGGCGCGCAAGACAGTCAGGGATTCCACGGCATCAACTTCCTTATTTACTTCCGTGACAGTGGCTAATCAGCAAGGTGCCAACGATGTCATAACAATTGAGATTTTAGCAACCGCTCAGGCGTTTTTCAGTCTGATAGATTTTCGGGCGTGGTGCTTAACATTAGCTGTTTTGCATGCTGTGGTTTTGCATGTTATTTGCCAGTTTTTAGTTGTATTTCCGAAATTTAGGTATAACTAATGGCTGTCATTCAAGAAGATTTAGTTCATTTGCATTAATCAAAAATGGGTCCCGGAAAGGCTACGGATAACTGGTCTAAAATTAACTACCAGTAAATGGCATGTGATTTAATATATCGAATCAAAATGATGATAATGAACATGCAAATCAGTTAGTAGGAGCCAACCGCTTTCAAAATGAAGATTTGAGAATTTTGCAATGACGAAGTAGAGAAAGAATTTTGGATCTCAAGGGATTCAATGTTCGGGGGAAATATACATCTTCTTATCATTCTACATATACCGTCATACAGCTAACAGGACGCTGACAGATAATACTGACATAGAAAATATATTTATGTTGTAATACGTTTTGGTAACTAGACATACAACTATATGACTGTTAAATCATAGTTTGTAAGTAAGGCTATTGTCACTTATAACGAAACTAGCATAAGCGCGAATTATGTTTTGTCATAAAATTCAATCCAGTTTTAAACTCAATAATTTTACAATATGCAAATGTGAATTGAATATCATTGATCAAATTAAGGTATTACATATTTTTTCACATAGTTCAATACAGTCTTGGGCATACTCTTGATGCGTGCTCAGCAGTGTTCCCTCTAAAGTGTGCGCGTGTGCGCGCGCACACAGCTTTTAGGGGCTGCGCACACGCATAGATCTACAGCGCACAGACGTATTTCGATTTAATGTAACAATGTTCTCGGTTGGCAGGTTGAAAACGTTTGTTGTTGGCTCACCCATTACCCGGTTAGAACGCCAAAATTTCTTCATTCGTTTTTGCACAAATATTAGTCATTTCCAAAAAGTGCGCACACACCAAAACTTCTGCGCACACATACTACAAAAAATTAGAGGGAACGTTGGTGCTCAGGATTAAAATGGGAGAATACAGCAGCCCAAAGGTCGTGGAAGAATACGCGAAGAATACTCGCGTTTTGGATGAGGCGATACCTTTGAAAATAGTATCCGAATAACGAAGTAGCTACGGGATTCCTCCAGAAAAGTGCTTCGTTTTCCAAAGATGATAGACGTGGGTTGTGGAAGTGGATTATCAAGCAGACTTTTCTCGCCATATTTTGAGTCAGTCGTGGGTTTTGACCTCAGTTATGAACAAATCGAATTGGCAAAAAAATCGGAAACAAATTCAAATATATCTTATTTGATGGGAAATTCTGATAACTTTGCTTGTAGCGACGAAAGCGTGGATTTAATTATAAGCTCCCTCTCTTTACATTTTGTTGACGTGAAACAATATGCAACTGAATGCGAACGAGTTTTAAAACCTGGAGGAATTGCAGCTTCATACGGATTTGTGTTTAGCGACATTTTTTTAGCCAGTGATAGCAAGAACACTTTTTCTGGTTTTGATGTTTTTTATAGATATTATGTTGAGCCGTTGACAATGTATCTTAAAAATCAAAACCACCCGCAATGGCATATAATTGACAAATATCAGACAATTTACGAAAATCTTTCTACGAAGTTGCAAAAATGGCGAAACGATGATATAGAATATTATTTTTATTGCACCTTAGCAGAAATGAAAGCTCAATATGACTGCATTCCAAATTTTCGGAAATTTCATGAAAGTTCCGCAGAAAACCCACTTGAAGTTTTATGTCAAAAACTGAAACAATATTGGAAAGTTTCAGAAAAAAATGATGAAGATATTTGTATTAAAATGAAACGAAGGGTTATCATTATTTTTCTGAAATAAGAATCAAAAATTGTTCAAATTTTCACAGACAAACAAGAATCAGAAAGCGTATTAAATTGTCTTTTGAAAAGCAATTATACTTAAGCAATTCTAACTGATCTCTTCTCACTATGTCGCAGTATCGCGGGTCCCAAAACCAGAAGTCGAGTCATTCCATTTATATGACATTAGCTTTCGATAAATGGTTACTTGACTGGTGAAAGAATCAAAACTTCCAACACCAGTAAAGTAAATATGTTATTTTGTCAAAATAAGCTATATGATCGCTTCGAATTTGAAATTTATTTATTATAATTCAAAATGAAAGCATATTGGTACTGAATATTATATGCATGCTCCTCTTGAGTTTGGAATTTCAGTTAACCTCAAGAAGACCACAAACTATTCGTTGTGCCAAATATCGTGACGTGCATTAGAGGCAATGCAAACATGTTTTGAAGCATTTAGTAACGTGGCAACTGGCAATGCTATCTGATGTCATGCTATTTTGATTTCACGCCCCCGTTTCAAATTAGGGACGCTGATTTGTTTCATTTCAAAAAAAGAAAAATAGTTATAACCATTTGTACGTCGCGAATGCCTAACTATAATAGCACCAGATGAAAAACAAGAAAATTTCAAAGCAATTGTTCGAGTAGTTGAATGGAAAGGCGATTTTTTTTTAAAAACAACATAAAAACAAAACGATTCATAGGTCCATTTCGTGTCCCAAAATTATATATATATATATATGTTTAGTTGTCAGCGCTATCCAGATTACTATCCCAAGCTCGCGATATTTATTTTGAGTATAAAATCTTATCCTCAATGAGATAAAAGTCCCCACTAATTTCAAAATATGCACCGCTGTGGACACAGGTATTAAAAAAGTGTCCATTTTATATCACTTCGTGGTTATGACCGCTACGATGTAAATATCTGACATCCGTATAAGGCTCGAATGGGGATGTTATAGCTGGTAGACCGAATGATTATTTTGCGGTTACCTTGTCCATTCCGGGTAAAGGCATGAAAATACATTTCTAATTTTAATTTCACTTATTTGTTGTTATTTTATTGTCCTCTTTTGCTTGAACGGCTAATGAAATTATAAAAAAAAATTGATTGCTTGATCTAAATCTAAGGTAACCATTCAATTTTAGGCGCTTTGGATAAAGGCGATTCCGCCAATGACTGGCAGACTACATTGTTTGTAGTCTAACTGAGTTTGGTTACATCATTTAATGTTGATATATTAAATGTTGAGCAAACATGATAATCACCGCGTCCATTGGAGATTGAAATTGGCGAATGATTTTAACTATATTAAGTAGCGTTGAGGATCCCAGCGACAGTCGTAATTTCTTCCTAACGCTATGTCAGAAAAAGAGCGTATTTGCGTTAATAAGTTTCAAGTCAGAGTCGAATCTCAGCCTTCGCTATTTCCATTTCCCGGTGAGTCTGTGGAATAAAAATGGCGGTATGTAACTACGAACGTGAAAATGAAATACGGGTTATTGATTTTGAAGACATGGAATTTATTGGCCATTTGGGACGAGGTGGAATGTCGAAAATTTCTCTGTATAAATGGAAAAGAGAAGAATCTACCATACTGGTTGCGATGAAAAGTCTGCTGAGCAGATTTATAGAAGACAGGTAAGTCAAAAAGCGTCTCATCAAATCGACATCATAAAACTCACAAAATTAAAGAAGGGGATAATTGAACGAAAATTAAAAATTTTCTGTTAGCATCTTAAATTGATTATGGTAGATCTTTCTATTGAAAGTTGCAACAGAGTTCACATTTTTGAACGCTCGCAAAAATCGGAATGAAGCCCGATGTAGGTATTTTGGGATAATAAGAAAAATAGAAGAATTTAGAGCTTGCTTAAACTAACATCCACCAAAGAAAGGGGGAATTATATGAGGAATAAAAAATTGGAGAACAAATTCGTGAATCGATTTGCATCGATCTTAGAAATACCCAAATACTTGAATATAGTACATGCAAGAAATCCTTTTTCATTTACATAGATACAAAATATACCTTCAACGTGAGATGGCAATACTGGCAACATTGGAACATGAAAATATAATTCAAACTTTCGGTGTGGTTGAAACAGATCAAATGTTTGGACTTGTGATTGAATATTCTCCCTTTGGGTCTTATAACAGTTTCTTTCGCTATCTTGCCGAAAAGGAACCCACAATCTCGGTTCAATTAATGGTGCCGATTAAGATTCAGATATTGAGTGAGGTTAGTTTGATTTTTTTACATTTCGTTTTCATCTACACTTTGAGTTCAACAAACCATCTTTATTAACCATCAACCATATTACCATGGTGTAATTAATTATCTTATAGATAATATCGGCTATGAAGTATCTCCACAGTCTTCGGCCTAAAAGAATTTTACATTTGGATTTGAAAAGTGATAACGTTTTGCTGGACAGTGATCTTCATGCTAAGGTATTTTGCATCATGTTACTATGCATCTCCAACTCGCTCCTCATTCTCTGATTTTTTATTGAGCAGGCGAGAAGTATAATAAACACCGAAGTATGATCTATTATAATATACAATGCTAAGCGAAAAAGGTCAAAAACATCTGAATATAAACACGTTTCTGCGATAAATATCGTAAAAATAGTCAATTACCAGCCAGCAAGCGCAAATTATTTAGGATCATTACATGAATAAATAATCAACTATCAATTGAAATTTGAGAATTTTTTGATTGAGTGTATAGGTTGTTTTTGTTATCAGTAAAATGCGTTGGCTGAGCGATATTGACATTGATCAAACAAAGTGGGCATGGTATACCCTAATATTATCTGAATATGGTAACGATACATGTCAGCTCTATCGACCAGTATTCATCTGCAACCCATTGTTATTTGATAAATATAGAAACAGTGTCTACTATCAATGTATGAATTCGCCGTTGGCAAAACGGAAAAAGCAAACATAGCGCTTTTTAAATAACAAGAGAAAAATGCTCAAATATATGGACACGAAAGCCAAAACGAAGTACTTTCAAATTATTTACAGTACTCGTACCCTATTTTATTAAAAATCTTTCAACTACTCTGACCAACAGGTCGCTAAAATGCGATTTTGGAACCACCATACGGTGAGCAATTTATAATTTTGATGACGTCATCACACAAAACTTTAAAGTAAAAAAAAATCCTTAGAGACCACAGAAGTTTCGAAATACATAGAAGCAATAGCATTCTAGAGACAACAACAATCTTGAACTACTGATAATTTCAAAGCAATTGGTCCAGTAGTTGAAGAGAAAAATTTTCCACAACTAAAAGAGTAACCAACTTACTAACAACAACAAAAAAATAATAATAACAAAACGATCCATAGGTCTATTTCGTGTCAAATAATGGAGAATAATTTTTTCCAGCTCTGTGATTTTGGATTGAGCACCATGTCTACACTGACTGAACTTCGAACCAGTTCAATTCTCGCAGGAGGTAACATTACATTTTCTTCAGCACAGTATTTGTATACACAGTAGTTTGTAAACAATCATGATATTACATCATTGTTTCTAATTCCCAACAAAAGATTTCAGACGACCTCGTTGGATTATAACTCAAATCAACTTTTTCATTTTTATATGATGTCTACTATTATTTAACATAGTGGATATGATCAAAAAAAATAATGGCTGATTGTATATGTGAATAAATTCGGACTAAGCATGGATATATAGTTCATATCGCCACTTGAATGACATCTTCCGCGAAGGGACTACTGGGGTGTACAAATCAAAATAAAGAACACATTTTAAGATGTCTCAGTAATAATCAAATATTTATATATACTCGTCGGTAAGCTATCGATAGGAATTAACAAACACAATGACATGACCGTGTACGAATGTTAAATAAATTTATACACAGCCTGGAATTTACTTTGATGACTTCATACACAGCAAGGCGCATTCGACTGTTATAGCAAATTTTTATTGAGTATTGGATAAATGTAATAGCATTCGTCTATGAAATCTTTTGAGTCATAACGGAATACGATAAGTAATGATAAAATGCTTCCGATCGTAAAATAAAATTTATATTTGACACAAATATTGTCACAACATTTTACGACGGAAATGTGGAATTTTACGAGTTATGTTCGATAGTAAGGTTGACTTATTCATATAATATACCAACAACGCACCCACTTAAAATGTTTCGAAATTCCCTTCTAGTTAGGCTTACCATACGTCCCGGTTTAGCCGGGACAGTCCCGGTTTTGACAAGCGGTCCCGACGTCCCGCCTGGTAGCCTTAAATGTCCCGGTTATGCAGCATAGCAGTCATTAAAACATTTATATATATATATATATATACAAAGTTTTTTTATTTAACGGAAGCATCCAATTTATTTCTGATTCACTAGTTAACAAAGGAAGAACTACTGTGTTGTTGTGTCATATGTATTATATGTTCATTGCAATAATTTGAAACCCAACGTAAACAGCACTGCCGATATCTTATCAAAAAGCCAAATGGGATTGTAGAAAGACGAGTGGCAATAATGTTTCCTTAAAACTTAAACCGAGCATTTATGGGACCGTTATAAGATGTGCGCTCATTTACTTTAAAACTGAATTCATCATCATTCCGCGGATTTGCCCGTTTGAGTAGAAAGTCTTGTTGTCAAATTGTATAAATTCACACTGTTCAAGTAACAGAGCAGAAATCATTTTGACATTATGAGTACAACTATTGCAGTATGGCAACGCAGGTGTATCTCTTATGTCGATTATTGAAATGTTCGAATAATTGAAAAGTTATTCTAACTCTCAATGATATTCTGCTTTTATACAAAATGTTTTGCGACCCCGCGTACGAAATAAATTATAGCTAGTTTTGAAGGCCGGTATCTACTCGCAAAGATATGAAAGAAGTTTCAGATATTACTGAGGATCTGAATCGAACCAAAGTTTGTTCGATCCTCACTGTCCCGGTTTTCTGTTCCAGATATATGGTAAGCCTACTTCTAGTGAGAGTCCACAAATTGCTTTAATTTGAGCCTATATAAGATTGTGGCCTCGCTATAAGATTTGATAAGGTTTTTCTGGCTCGTGGTACTTTATCAGTCACTAAGATATTTCTTTTATTTATTTCAAAAATTTCTGCGGGCTGTATGAGATTCGATCATCACTCTGAATTTTTTTTTGTAATGATGTAATCATAATAAAAAATGGCGCTCCGTGCCGTGGCTACGCTATCGCATGTCAGCGATCCAGTGGTAGTCATAGGTGCGGCCTTCGGCCTCCCAACGAGGGGGAAAGCGCTCACGCGCACATTTACAGCTTCCACAATATTTACCCAGGGGAGTTGGATCTGCTGTTGTAGGATGACATAATCGATTAGGCCTACTAAACTATTCAACTTAATATACTATTTATAGGTGTGCTAGGTGGCACTTTGGGTTTTATTGCCCCTGAAAGGTTACGAAACGTTGAGGCAAAGCCAACCACAAAAGCCGATGTTTATTCGTGAGTCAAGTATATATATAGTGAGATTAACTTACTACATCTGTATTATATTCTTCAATACCCTTTTTCATACTCCACAGGTTTGGAATTTTGATGTGGGAAATTATGGCAGACGAACAGCCGTTTGCAGGTTAGGAATGCTATTACTTAACAACCATTATTCGTTTCAGTGGGGGTTACAAAAGATTGGAGACTGTTTGGTTTTTGTCCGAACAGACTAAATAGCATGGAAGTAAAATCCATGTGTCTTACATCCAAACCAGGGGTCACTAAATTACGGCCCGCGGCGTCCTTTCATCTGGCCCGCAATAACACGAACAAAGTGTTGTCCGAATTTTTTTCCAAGAGATGTTTCCCCAGAAATCGACTTCGATTTTTATTTCGTAATATTGGCCAATCAGCAAGATGCAAATAATGACGTAACAACAAGAGAGCTATGCTTAAATATATGGACACGTTACGCTGAAATTCACTGTGGTACGATACGGTAACTCACCAGCAGGCTGGACCACGGAACCTGTTCGCTGATCACGTGATCAATATGTGTTTGCGAAAGCGCCACATGGTGGCAAATTCTGATGACGTCATAGCTCGAAAAAAAAGGAATCCCTAAAGTCCCATAGTATCCCATAGTAGTTTTTGAAATTAATAAAAGTGATAGCCTTCTAGAAAAAAAATTCCATTTTTAACTACTGAAAATTTCAAAGCAATTGGTCCAGTAATCAAAGAGAAAAGCGACCTTTTAAAAACGTGTAAAAGAACAAGAACAACAACAACATAATATTAAAACGATCGTTATGTCCACTAACGTGTTCAATAAGCCTTTTCGCATCCACTCATACAGATTTTCAGTCGTAGTTGTGAAAAATACCTCATTTTTGCGTTTTTGAATGCAATTCGTTAGTTTTTGGTTGTGTTTCAGAAATTTAAGTATGAATCAAATAAGTCAATCATCACTCTGCCTTCTTAGGAGGTGTAGTGTAATTGCTTAATAATCTAAAATTATTCTAGGAATAGCTGTGATATAGTAGGCTAAAATTCTCTACCGGTACGCAACAGTTTTTTGCGAAGGATGCACTCTTGGCGCGTGCTTTCGGCGAAACTGTTACTGTGTACGTTTCTTGTGCTTAAATAAACGTCGAACGTGCATTTTGCGCTAATAGTACTGTAGTCTCTCGTGTACTGCTCCAATTTCACAAATCACATTAACTTTTGTACTGCTCACATGCGGTTATGCATGACAGCAGTGTTTTGCTAACAGCTAACCTCGGGATAGCTTTCTAGAGATGGACATCTTGTATATTTCTTTTTTTATGATGTTCTCGATCTATATTCTGCGATATAGAATTTGATATCCAAATCTTCAGAAATGTAGAATTTATATTGTTGAATAAATTGAATGGATTTCCCGACTTTTGTGAATTTATTGTATTGCATTGAAAAAAATATTTGTCCGGCCCGTTTCAACACAGTTTAAGTCATACCTGGCCGCGGTCAAAAAAGTTTGGTGACCACTGATCCAAACGAACGTCAATATTTGCCCAAGTTCCGCAAAAGTATTATTGAATGAGTGGTTTCCAAAATGTTAAAAATATTACCCGCCTCGCCGCAATATTATCAATTTGTGCTTCCAACTGTATGACACAAAAATAATAATTTCTTATTTCAAGAGGCAGCTGATGTATGACTCCCTGTGATATATATGTAATATTCGGAAATAAATAAATTGATATTTAGAACTCGGAACAAATGATTATCATTTGCGTCAAGCAGAGGAGATGCGACCGAATCCGTCGCACATTCCAGATGTGTTTCCGAATGAACTCTTAACTATGATGCAGTTGTCGTGGTCACAACATCCAATAGATCGACCAAGTTTTAAAAGTAAGTTCTAAGTTAAGTTGATTCATATAAGACAAAGTAATATTGACCCATAAGTAGGTATACTATTCGCAAACTTTTCTACCAACAAAACGATCAAATAATTTTGAAGTGAAATATTAAAACTTCGATTGCATTCTGAACAGAACTCTCCTAGCAGAGTGGCCTATAACACAAGTGATACGGTGAGCATTGCCAACTTTCATGACCTTCGACAGATTTTGTCAGCAACATAATTGAGGGGACGCTGGCCCAACGACTAACATGCGCTTGCCTTACCGCGCTTATTCGTACATGCTTCGAAAAGCTCGCTGTGTGTAAATGTTGATCCAATAGTCTTTTCAATATTATAAATTACAGACTAATATTATGAATACAGACTAACTTATGTTAGGATGCAGGTACAGTACCACGATCAGTTTGTAGGTTGGGTTGAGTACGGTACCGGTACCTCCCAGATAGCACAACTACGTTGGGCCAACGTTATAATCCGCCGGCAACCGTTGTACGCGGTTTTACAACCATTTACCATGGTAAGGCCATGATTGGCCTTCAACGAAACACTTCATTATGCGAAGAAATGCGCGCGCGATTCGAATATAGCACATGAGGTCGCCATTCATTTTGGCGGTACTCGTAGTCGATAGCCTGTTACGAGGTTTTTGTCGTGGATGGGACAGTGACATTGAACTTTTAATGCTTTCATAGTAGAATGGCGAAAGTAGAGATAGCCTAGTTGTAACCGTGTAAGTTAATCTCATGGTACCGGTACCCTAAGTGCGTTGTCAGGTCACGGTTCATAAGGGTGATAGGGTACCATACCGGTAAAAGTTACATATTTATCCCTGGACACCGTACTGCCGTAGGTACCGGTAACGGCAGAACGAGATGAGGTACGGTACCGTGCTTGGTCTTTTGGCATTTATTTGTTAAACTTTTTTAGGTTGCCATCTCTCATTTACCAGTATTCGTTATCGAGTACCGGTACCTATGGCAGTATGGTACCCTAGATACCGGTAAAAGTTACATACCGGTATTTATCCTGGACACCGTAGGTACCGGTAACGACAGAACGAGATGAGGTACCGTACAGTACATTACCGTACTTGGTCTTTTGGCACATTTTTTTGTTAAACTTTCTGAGGTTGCCATCTCTTATTTACCAGTATTCGTTATCGAGTACCGATACCGGTATTGGTCCTTCATCCCTGGATATGATTTTTTATATTTACTTTATTTGTATAAGTGCTGAAGTGCAAACATTTCCGCAGCCCAAATCCAACCCGTTGAACGACTTAATCCAGTAATCTGAATAGTTGTACATTTGTGAACCTTCTGTCTGATGAATTTCAACAAATCTAAATACAGATCTCAATTGGCTGAAATCTAAAATATGTTTTAACAATTGCCACAATCAAACTGAAACTAAAATTTGATGTTTTTGGGTAAAAAATAGCTCAAGGATTATTGTTTTCCCTTTTTGTTTTTGTAACACTTTAAATTTTTTTTTAAATTTTTGTTCGAGGTCCGAGAACTTTGTCCAACCCTGCTCTATTTCATATTTTCAGCTTTGGTGAGAAATAAATTACTGATTTTTGAATAATATCTATTTTGTTTTAAAATTCAATAGAATTATATTGGGTAATCATATATATTAATATGATTTATTTTCAGTATGTATGCTATGTAATCTTACCCAACCAACCTTAATTAAGTGTTATTATATTTTAAAGTGAATTGGAAAGTAGACCTCTAGCAAAAAAGATTCGGGCGATTGGGGGGAAGCCCATCTCTGTACAATGACTGCCAAATGTGCATGCAACTGTGCAATGCCCAGCGACTCTAAAAGCATGAAGTATTGTACGACACATCCTTTACAAATATTTGGACATATTTTGTGTAATATCCATTTTTTTCCGGTTCTAAATAATTATTACCGATTAGATATTCTGTCAAGTGTCAATATTACCATTGTAAGTTTAATGATATATACCATTTTTATAATAGGCCCAGGGTTGTCCAAAACGAATCGAATATTCGAAATTATTCGAATATCAAAGTATTCGAATACCTTTTCGGCTCATTTCCGAATAATTACGAATAGTAGTCACTTTTCGCCGTAAACACGGTGTTTCGTTTTACCGGAATCTTCAAACGACTTTTTACGCTTTCTCACGTATTGTAATGAGACGATGAAATAGAGTCGGCATTTTGATTGTTTATATTCAGCGCGAACGTACGTCGCATAGTGTTGCGACACATTTGCACGTTTGCGTTGGTGGACATTGCCGACATTCGTCTTTTAATTCACAAAATCATTTCCATTAGTCGAAAAATCGACAATCACCGTATTTCCCGCTAATAAGTCGCTTTTCTAGACCCAATTTTGGCTTGATTTTTTGGGGGGAGAGGCGCCTTATTGAGAAAGCATGTTTATTTTATTTCTATGTGGCCTGCTTATTTTTCGCATTAGTCTTCTCAAGCATAATTTGTGTTAACCTTATATTTGGTTCTTATGGGTCTGCCAATCATGATTTTTAATCGTAGGCCGGTTATCGTTACTTAAAAGAGAAAACACGGCCACCGCCACCGAGATAAAGTAAGTGATTTATGACCCTTTGGTTTTGCCGATTCAGCAGAAAACGACAGGGACATGAAACACAGCTGTGAAATAACCCGTGGACGCACCGTGTGGTACTTATCACATTCCAAAATTATTTCAACATTCGGGTTGATAGGTTGTCCAAAATGATTGCCGCTTTATAATTTGAATTTACCGCTTCGTTGTTGAGAATAGTTAATTCCGTGAGTATGGTTCTACCAAACAAACATGATCTGGTTCTGTTCTGACGCTATAAAATTATAGATTGTTCAAAATGATTGTGATTTTTAACTTAAAATTACCGCTTTATTGTTGAAAATAGTTAATTCTGTGAGTATGATTCTACTAAACAAACGTGATCTGGTTCTAAACATTATTATTATCGCATATTAGCATAACTGAACAACAGGGAACAATTTTTCTACACGTCTTCTTGGAGGCCTATATGGAAAACCCCCTTTTTTTGAGTGCTAAAAATATACATCGTCCTATTTGCCATGTAGACTTATTAGCCGGGAAATACGGTATTTATAGCCGTAATTGTTACGATATCCAATAAATTGTCACAAGTTGGGAAACAAGTTGATTTATTAGAAAAATACTTTCACCCGCTTTCTGGCAAATAATTTTGATAATGATGGTCAAAAGTATCGATAATGAAAGTATTAATACCAAATACCACGGGTATTTGTGGGCATGAAATGTGTGGTAAACTGCCCAATTATAATTAATTTCGGATTCGTATTTACAAAATATTACAACTATTATAACTCAAAAATACAACGGCGATTTGTGGACTTGAATGTGTAATAAAGTATAAATTATTTTTCCGACTTGTGACAATTTTTTCGTGAGTACGAAAATAAGAATCGAAAATTAATTATATTCGGGCACAATATCACGGCATTCTGTGGACATAAATTGTGAGGCAAACTCGCGACTGATATTAATTTTTGATTCCTATTTTCGTATTTACAAAATACAACGGTGATCTGTGGACATTGAATGTGTGGTAAACTACCCGATTATAAATAGTTTTTGAACCCTATTTTCGTATTTATAAAATAATAAAAGTATTATTACACAAACATACAACGGCGATCTGCGGACTTAAAATGTGTGGTAAAGTTCCGGAATATAATTACTTTTTGATTCGTATTTTTGTACTCACGAAATAATTGTCACAAGTCTGAAAAAGAACTCATACTTTTATCCCGCTTTTTGACAAATAATTTGGATAATGGTTGGTATTTAAAAATATGGGCGTTTTACTAGGATGATTTTGTGTTGCGCAAGCATTCAAATCCATCACCGATACCACTATTTAAAATGCCTTGTCGTATTATTACGACAACTCATGTTATATAAAATATATTTCGCAATAATCTGCAAACATGAAATGCCTGGTAATATAGCCAGGTTGTAGATAGAAGTTATTCCATTGTTTATTGTATGAAAATTCCTTCATACACTTAGATTCTATCACTGGATTTTATTTTCGAAGTATTCGAAATTTCATATTCGAAAATAATAATTTCGAATGTATTCGAAATAGTGAACTATTCGGTATTGGCCATCCCTGAATAGGCCCTATGACAATGGACTGGAAAATTCACCTGCTTCAATTCCCTCTTTCACGCAATCATACACTGTGTCATTTCAAGCATCTCAATGTTTCAATGCGGACAATGCCCAAAACAGGTGTTTTTGTTTTATAGTTTGATAGTAGCTCCTTGCATACCTGTGCCATAAAATATTGCACAATAGCTAGATATATCGGTTGAATAATTACCTAGTACAACATCATGTGGTTAATACCATATTTTCCGGCGAATAAGTCGCTTTTCTAGACCCAAATTTTTAGCCTGATTTTGGGGGGGGGGTCGTCTTATTAGGCGAGTATGATCATTTTCATTTTTTTGTTGCCCTATTATTGAACCCGGACAATAAAATACCTTCGGCGATAGCATCCCCCACGTCCTCATCAGGTTAGTTTAATTAAATCGACATTCTCGTGCTGTGAATCTGAAATTTCAATGTTGTGATTATCATATTTGCATTATCATATATGGACTGAATATTACGCTACAAAAAAAAGTCATAGGCTATTTTAACCAATGCGCAAACGCGGCGACCGCTCGAAAGGCATTGCATGGTAATTTGAGATTCCCGACGATGATGCGATTTTACTACCCCGACTCATCAGCCGGTTATATGCAAAAACCCATTTTTTCAGGCTTAAAAACAGGCCTCGTCTTATTCGCCGGAAAATACGGTAACTAATATTAATGAAAAATTTATATTCTGGTAATTAGTATAGGCCATTCGTTCACGTTTATCATCTGAAAGACAATCATGTACTATATATTGTGTAACACTAACTTGATTTTCAGAGATCAAGCCATGCTCCAATCCAGTACATGGAAAAATTGTTGGGACAGGCGATAGAAACTCTTATGCTACAAGCTACGGCATCTGCAACTTTCCACTGATTATAGTGTGGACTCGGACTTAAAGGAATTGATGAAATTCATTGTCAATTCATTGTCTGATTACATTTTGATCCAGAAAACATTCAAGGATGAAAAAATCGCTTGTAAGTTGAATACTTTTATAGGCTGATTACATACACTTTACGGCAGTGGTACCCAAACTTTTTTTTCCGCGACCCCAATTTTTGTAATATCACAGACTACAGATACTTGTGACCCCACACAAGAAAACATTAAAAATCAATTTATTCTATTCAATCATTCTGATGAAAATCAACTGTAAGTTTGCGGGGCATTAGTGCAACGTGGTTGTACTTGTACTTAAGTTCAGTGGTTCCCAACCTTTTTACCCCAGCGGCCAGCGGGCAAGCAAAATTAATTTAAGAGTTCGCTGACCGGTAACACATGCCATCGTATGAAGACCAAGATGTATAAATCTCTGAGATTCAGAATATTTGTTTAGTTTTAGTACAATGTTAAAATATTGCAGATTACTCCATAATTAATTGGAAAGCTTAACAGAACATGAAAGTAAAATAGGTGAAAATACCTTTGCTGGGTCTCATCTTATTGAGTGCCTTTTATTTTTTGTCGTTTTGTTTTTGACTGCATGAAGCGCTTCGAATTTATGTATGAAATACAATATGCCCAATATTTTCGCTTCGTGTTCAAGGAAGATTATTTAAATGTCTAAATACGATCTGATTGCAATATTAAAATTGTTCACTTTTATACGAATGGGATGTGGACAAAACACATATGTGTATATTTTAGAGTAGATACTCGCGATAATTTAACATAGAGCTTTTGCAACGGATGAAAACCTTTTCATTAGATGTATTCTTATAATTGTGCTTATTTACTCATTCCAGATAAGATATTTGTCAAGTCTTGGAGGTTGCTCCGAGAAAGACTGGATTGGAGAATCATGAGCTCAGTTATAACAAATTTACTCTCCCGCTCTTTCAACTGTGCAGGACGCGGTGGATAAGGAGTGAGTGGGACGCCCTTAGTTTCTGCTATTAAAGGTACGTATGTAATATGTTTATCATATTGTACCACCATCTTTCTCTGCTCTACCCTCTTCTATTTTATAAGTATAAGATTATTTTGACTCCAAATCAGCTTAAGATAATTCATAAGGGAAATGAACAAAAATTGATTAAATAGAATCTGACAATCTGGAGTGAAAACAAAACCTTAATTAAGATTGAAGCGTAAAGAATATAAGGTTTTGCCAAAAAGATGCCTATCGTGTTCATGAATTAAATTAAGTTACTCACACACAACAACAACAGAGATATAATAAAATAAAAACAGGCGAGAAAATTTAGATAAGTTTGGTAGTAAACAAAATGTACTTGCCAGTTGCCACACCATTCATTTTTATCATTATGATTGTCAAATTGAATAATGATTTTGTAAACAACTGTGAACAGTAAAGAAATTGAATGTAGATTTTGTATACAAAAGTGAACAGTATAGAAAAATATTTATTAAGGAGATATCGCCAAGCTGATTATGGTTAGAGTCAAGTGCCAAATTGCCAATCCAATGTTGCCAGAGTTTGGTGCATAATGGCGAACAGTGGTTTTCGAACTTATTTGTATCATCGCTCCCGTACAGTACTTTTTACATTATCATCCCCCCTAGCACAACAGCAAATGATGAAGTTACAAATAATTTATTGTAAATCAATTAAACAAATAGACTAATCATGGTGCATGATGTTTCTAATAATATAGATGAATTTCAACAAGGAATATTTGAAGACATTTTAGTCAGATAAAATCTCAAATCATCATTATTCCCTCCAACAAATATTCCCCTCAAAACATTGTCTACGCCCCCCTTGCGGAATCAAGAATTTCTGTATTTCTCAATTATTATTGTCTTGTCAATGTAAGCTTCACTCACACATTTGCGACTGCAGAAACTTGGCTTAAGATTCCTACTCTGAAAATTTGTTGGGATGCAGTCATTCAGACTAGGCTTTGAACTCTGGTGCTGTAATTTGCTAATACTGCAATTTAACACAGAATTTTAATATTTTTCAGCTCTGGATGATCTGGCAACGAACTCCGATTAATTTTATTACATGTATACATATTTGTAAAATAAAGACATTTTGTTATCTTTTGTTTTTTATTATATAAATAATGTTAGATTAGTGGGAAATTTCTATGTAGTATAGATCCATACCCTGTCTGTACAACACATCGCCTAACTTGGCCCGACCATGTGCCACGATTGTATTACAACGTGTCACCTACGTAGGCCCGTCCATATGTCACGATTGTGTTACAACGTATCGCCAACGTTGGACCGGCCATATTTCACGATTGTGTTACAACGTATCGCCTACGTTGGCCCGACCATTTGCCACGGTTGCATTACAGCGAAAGGACCGACGTTGGCCCAGCGGCCAAATCTTCGCTGGAACATGGTTGTTCGCCATTATTGGGCCGGTGGTTCGAACAACGTTCGGCCATGGTTGTTCCGACGTAGTTGTGCTATCTGGGCTGTTAGTGGTACACGCGTACCGGGACCTGGTAGTGGTACACGCAAACCGGTGCTACAGTACCGTCATAGGATCGGATATCGTGTCAAACTAGTCCATAATGTACCTTAAAACACTGACATATTACGGAAAATTACTTTAGTACAGTATCTCTCAGATCAGCTACGCCCAACCACATGCGAATGCAAAGCAAAATCGCAGCGTCCCCTCAAAAAGTGGTTCTGGCAGCAGTCTTCACGCTCCGTTGATTCGTATGAAAGTTGGTGATTGGGACTCAAAAGCCTTATCTTCCAGAACTACTGAATTGTGTAAACGGCAGCAAGTCCATATTCCTTATTAAAACATTGCATTAAGTTGGTATGAGTTTAAAATATGGTAACTTTTTAATAAAGATTTGAGATGACGGAAGATGAAAAGTTTGACTTGAGCAGATAGTTGATTACTGTATTCCTATTTTCAGAACTTGATGAAGATATGCTTTCAATAATTGAACGAATTCAAGACTACAAAGGACAAGTTCGGGAGTCCCGAATTATAATTTTAAGATTATACGAATCAGTAAGAATAAATTTCTCACCCAGCCTTACTTCTAAATCATCTTATCCATTTCATGGTAGGCCAGCCATCAGGATATGTAGAGGCTTCTTCGAAGACCGATTCAAGGGACCGAAAGTCCCAGTGTACGCACTGATCTGTGCAACCAAGTCATTCTGTTGTTCCAACACAGTGGCGTACCCATGATCATTGGTGGGAGAGACATATAGTTTCTTTTGAAAACTCCATAATACACACAATTCAAAAATGGAGAATTCTGGACAGCGAGCAAAACCTTTAAAAAAGTTTAAAACATGAAAAATATCATGTGCCCGCTCACCAGCACTCACAAAACAAATAACAAAGATCACAAACCTAGTTAAACGAGGCTTGGGCCAGAAATCGAAACCAAGAGGATTTTTAGCCGCGAACGATTTCTGAAATATTTGTGGTAATGCAAATACTGTACCAGTATTGCATTTGCAAAAAATCTTTCTCATCAAAAGTTCATATACAGATACAAAATATTATAGACCATCAATTTCTGTATACAGCATTCAAACATATTATTATCGTGTTAGAGGGAAGAAAGGTGTCGGTGATTTCTCTAGCCCCACGACCATTACTTAGCTTATATGACTTGAGAGGCTTCCATGAGGGTGTACTTTGTAGACTCATATTACTGTTGAGTGTTGACATTTGTCAGCGGTTACCAACTACCTTTCGTTACCTCATCACACAGGTTATATCTCGCCATAACACTAAAAAAGTTTCAATGTAACGGTTTCAATCGTCCTCATGGATATATATATATATCAAATTCTAACACACCATAACTTTTCTGAGTGATTCAATAGTCTTGCTGCACACTAGCACAATTGTGTCAGTGTGCAGCAAAACTCTCGAATCACTCAGGATAGTTATCTTCACTCTTGCATCCTTGCATTATATGCATACGGATCCACCGGCACAAAGGCGTAGAAGGATGAGTATAGTTGGTCCCATAGAAACCCAGTCGATAGCACATCATAACTTTGTACTTTTCTTTCTTTACTCAGGTAGGTGGTCAAACGTCATCCAGTCTCGGGTTTCACCAGCCATGCGATTCAAGTGTACAAATTGAATCATCTGTACCACAAAATGGAAAAGAAACATCTCCGAATACGTCACCCAAAGCGGTCGAAGAAAACACAACGCAAAAGGAGCACCCTATATCTATGCCCTGTTTAGATAATGAAGAGAGCGAATTTTTCCTCCCTCCTCCCCATTACACACTACAGGATGATACTGTTTTTGTTCCCGATTCCATTCGGGCTGTACGCCCTCTGACTTGTGGTAAGCGTTTACAGTGCATGACTAATAGGCAAGAGGACTACTTCGCCAGTCACTTCTAAAATAGGAAATTTATTTCAGCTATATATATAAGTAGCAAACATTCATATATACCGTATGTCGAACTCATGCATTTTATTTCAGGACATAGACTGAAAACCTTACTTCAGTCAAAAATCTTTGTCTTCATTGTTTCCGTTTTTTTATTATGTGGGATATCATCCGTGGGAATATGGTTGCTCGTATCAGAATTCAGTAAGTAACTCAAGATGACGGTTGTAATAATACACAGGCTACTGCAGTAACTTAGATAGAAACACTAGCAAGTATGACGAAATACTAGTGCCGGGCAACTAAAAATTGTTGAATGGAATGATTTCGACGGACATATCAAAAGCATTTCTTTAAATTTCATTTTCCACTAAAATTCTAGTCTACTTTTGTTTCCAGCGATAAATATTATATATCTGTAGTCCTAATCGGGTATAGAAAATTTCAATATTATCTTTGTCCTATTACGGTCAACTTTTTTTTAGAAGATGGCCAAGCAGATCCGTACAGTAGATGCATATCAATCGGGGGAACTTGTCACAATTGGTATGAGCACGACTGCTCCGGGGGTTATAAAACCGGCTTATGTGACGGGGAGTTTTCGAACACTCAATGCTGTCTTCCGTGCAATGCGGCATGTATGAAATATGTGTCAGATTGTTTTATCTTATTTACTAGTTTGTTAATCATATTAATAAAAACCTGAAAAGTCTTAATGATATAAAGTATTGTTTTGCAGGTAAGGACGCTGAAGCTAGCTATAAGGACATCCCCTGCGGAGAGATTAATGGGATTTGTAAGCATAAAACTAATTATTGCTCACAAACATACATTAAGGAAAAGTGTGATGGTCCGGAAGACAGGCGATGTTGCCCACCCAATCGTGAGTGCGAGAGTATTTAGAAATGAAATATATACAAATATCTATATATTATTATCCCAAGAAGTTTTCAGTTGAAATACTGAAGAAATACGATGTCAAAATTATTCAGATAATAGTTATAGAAACCACCAAATATTTAGCTGCTAAATTTTCTAAAATAACTCTATTATTGACGCGTTCATTCATTTTTAGAAACAAATTACGCTCGTCTTTTCGATGATTGTATGGTTTGTATATGTAACGCCTGTTAAATCGTAAATACTGTATGGTGAAATCAATTGATTTTATGCTGCCTGAAGATACATCGCAAAATATGCAGATCCGACCAATGACATTGACCAACGTGGTACCAAATTATTTGGTCATAAACGCGGTGCACGCTTCAGTGGTAGCGGCTCAAACACTGACATATGTCTATTATCATTTCAGCTGCAGACACAGAATGCACAAAACGGGGAGGGATGTGTCAAAATTGGGTCGAATATACTTGCGTTGCTGGATACAGGAGTGGATTATGCATCGGTGGGTCCGCGATTAGATGCTGTTTGCCATGTGATACCAAATGTAAGTAACTTACATATTTTTCTTCCTACCGCTAGTCAACTTCTGCCATCGTTAATTCTTATTTATGCTTAGTTTTCTTAATTTTAATTTTTTTCCGATCGTAAATCTCAGCATTAAATTTCATCGTGAACCCATACGGTACAGTAACGATAACTTCATACTGACCGGTACTTATGCTATCTTATACGCAGGCTATGATGATGAAGCAATATTTCATGATCCGGCATGTGATAGTTTGCATGGGACTTGTATGGATAATACTAATTATTGTGCCAGTGGATATCTACCCGAAAAATGTCATGGACCGGACTCCAGGCAATGCTGTCCCCCATAGCTTCCTATAAGTTCTAAACTGGTATGTTCCAAGTCAGAGACTCGCTGTGCGTTTATGCATCTCTGTATCATAGAAATGAATACGCAAGGCATTATGCTCCTCACAAAACCTCGTTAATGCAAAATTACATGAGCACAAAATGTTTAGTGTTATGAATCAATGAAATAGAGAATAATAGCAGTGAACAAATATCAAAAAGGGTGCTCCCTGTGATACAAACAATTTAAAAACCTTCATAATAAATACCATGCCGTGACAAGAGTACGGCGCAAACATTTTTATGATACTTCGATTGTGTTATACTAGGATAGGATTTACATATTTATCCAAGGGGAGAGGAAAGTCGATAAGACGGAATCCCGTGGGATGGGATGGGACAGCACAGATTTTATTTCCCATGGGACACGAAAACCGTATGATTTTCGGGGAAATGACGGTAAAACATGGACATGGACTTCTTATCCATATATTCGAGCATATATATCTCTCTTCTTAGCTATAAAGAGCAAAATATATTCAGCATTAACAATATACTTCGTGAAGGGGCTGATGGACTCATTTATAATATTTATGAATATAAAGTTAACGAAGTCCGTGAATTTTGTTGTTTTGTATGTCTCTTCGTACATGTAGTCCTGTTTAGTAGACGCTAAACTTGAATTTAACAATTTTTATTGAATTGTATTCCAATGGGAATCCCATTGGATGGGACAGGCATGCTATGGGATGGGAATGGGACAGAAAAATATGTCCTATGGACAAGCCTGAGTATTTGAAATCAGGTTATAAAAATTTGAAGACCTGAGTGGATACCCCGGCCGATGATCAAGCAACTGCTCCTTTTCAATTAAATGTCATAAGTATGGCTAATGGTACCAATATTTCAGAATGCGGTGACAGAGCATTTGAAATCTGGTTTTCAGTTTAGCAAAATTGTTGTGTTTCTAGTTTTTAGTGTTGCATGTTATTGTATTGAAAATGTGCGTATCAACAACATAATACCCTACGGGTTGCAGTAGAGTGACACTACAGTAAGTAATTTGAGGAGAGTCAGTTTTGTGCATGTATGGGGGAATAGGAATTTTTAAAAAACTGATAAGACGACTTAATTACTCGGTTACCAGTCCGAGTAGATTATGGCAATCGCTAGCCAGCATATTGTTAGTAGAATTAGCCACCATCGACCATCGTTCTGAACGGTCAGCATTAAATGGCCGGCGCTTCTGAAGTATGCGTACCAAGATGGCGGACACCAGACCGCAGTATATGTACCAGGTTAAGATAAGGCCATAATTTTATGTACAAATACTACGGGAGTCACTTGGCTAGTCCCCTGACTCGTAATAGAACTAAAATAAGGAAAATTGGAATAAAATTATGACCTAACCATGACCTGGTACACATACTACGTTCCGGTGTCCGCCATCTTCAGGAGTACAAATTGGCCGGCCATAAAATCCGCGACTTGGCGACTAAACTGCCTCAACGCAATCAAAAAAACAAGAGAACTACATTTTGGAATTAATTCTTCTTATTTTGCGAATAAAATTGACAGATAAATAAACAAGAAAAAGTGAAAACGAAATTCACCACGAGTAAAATAAACCTACTCATTGCTCTCTTTATATTTCATGAAATATGATCATGCACAAGTATTAAATGGATGCAATTGGTTGCGGAAGAGAATTCGGTATTAAACAAGACAGATTAGCAAATAGCAAAAATAAAATGATTGATTTCAAAAGAATACTTTGTGACTTCAAATTACTCTAGGTAAACTATTGCGCCCTACGATTGGACAATCAACAACAAAATATGAAGGCGATAAAGACAGAGCAATAAAAAGGGCGCTGAAATTAAATGATGATTGCCGTCGGTTCGTTAAAATGAAATAAATTAGTGCTAGACAAGCAATCACGTGAATGGAATTTAGAATAATAAGTCTAAACAAAATATATCCCAATATGCAATAAGTTTGCTCTTAATGAATGAATCAAATACAATCAGAACGGAAATTTGGATGTACAAGTGAATGGTTTTAGTCGCTTTTTTCTGGCAACGCGTGACAGATGAGGAAATAGCATGATTATAGTCAAAAATGGGCGTTGCATTTGCATAACAAATCTCAAAAGAGAGGCCAGGCAATACTACGTCATATTACGCAAGACGTCTCTCGACTACATTTTTTATATTCCTCTCTTCTCAATTCGCGAGCACATTGCTCAATAACGCAACCACAAGCCTTCAATTTTAATCGAATTCTCTCGCAAACAATTTTTAAATACTGAAAATATTCCAATTTCTCACACATTATTCACAAATAGTACAACCGCAGGATAAAATTCTTTTCAAAGACATATTATATGTCAATTCTTGTAATTTACACGATACAGTGACTTCTTCTTCTTCGAGTGGCTTGCAACAATACTTGTCACGCAACGCTTGATCTTGTTTTTCTTCAGTACAAACGTCATTTGGAGAATCGTTTGGATATTGGTTCTTCTCAATACAACGAGCGAAATTATTTTCGTCATCCACGGAATCTGGCAACGTTCCAGTAGCTTTCTCATTACCACATGCTCCAGTGTTGAAAGTTGTCTGCAACAAAAATGAAGAAAAATAGAAGACATGCAAGTTGTAACAGACTACAAATTAAGAGGTTACATAGGAGGGCTTAATCATATCGGGCTACCTATACCCAGGCATAGGAATAGATATATCTTCATCATTACAGACGTAGGGACTTGCCAGGTGGAGGATGCCTACCCAGTGAGCGATTACGTAACCCACCACGTGACAGAAAGGACCAGCAGCTTATCCATTTTTAATCACCCCACTCCAGTGTGATACGTGTTGGGAACGCAAATTTTTGTATTTATTTTGAAAGGCATTTTTGTATAATATTCTTACCTGTGAACAACCTTCCGGTAATGGAACGAATTTATCTCTCGGTTTTGGGTCGCATAAATCTGTCCAATTACCTGAAAATGAGTCAAGTTTTTGATGAATCGTACAAAAATAACGACACAAGGAAGTAATGATGATTGACTTTTTACATAGTAACCGAAGTACTAAAATATGTTCGTAAATGCCCGATAACGTAGTACATCATCCAATATCACCCAATAAAGATTACATACAATAGTCCACGAGTTTTCAGTCGGTTACAGTTAACATTATTTCGGCAAAATTTCTATGTTTCAACCATTCTCAATGTCCAGCTATTTTGTAAAATTAATTTAGCTATTCCCCGAAACTAACAATAATGAATTTAACTGCGACAGAACACCCATTCATTGGTAGTATAGATACCCAAGGCTTTTATAGACTTACCATATACTGTTAAAGTTGCTGGATCCGACTTAACAACACCTGCTTCGTTTTGTACTTCGCAGGCATATTGACCACCATCCCATACCATTAACTCCGGTAATATGAGACTGAAATATAAAATAAAACATTTACACTATTTCGTTTACTTCATTAAAATAGAAGTTATATAATATTACCGCATACCTTGGATTTTCCAATGAATAACCATACACTGATGGGTCGAGACGAGAATTATCTTTATACCAAATGTATCTGCTTGGCGGTTGCTCGCTTTCAGCTTCACAGCATAATACTACCTTCTGATCTGCTAACCGTTCTTCATTGGTAGGTGCCAACGTGAATGTTGGTAAAACTGAACAATTTACAAACACAATTATTTATTCATTTATTCGATATCAGTATCCACAGAAATAACGTACTGACAAACTACATAATATTGTCTGTGTTAATATGGCTCCTATGCATAATTTTTGTGTGCCGTATCACTACAGACTTTTAACAAAAGAAAAACACGACAAACCAATCAAGTTTGGAAGTCCCACTGGGATACCTCGAGACTAAAATAAACGTAAGGAAGCCATAACAAACAAACCAGAAAACAAGTCCTGCAATATATGATATTAAAGACGCCTCTATCCGACAATTTGCTGCTGTCTTGCAAACTTGGCGGACGAGATTCTTTCCCTACCTCGGTGATTATAATAATTCGATGTCAAAATCTTGCAATGAAGGGAACAGCTACCACGTAAACATGATTCTAAACTCTCCTATTTACGTGTTTCAAAATGGGTGGCTAAATGTTGGAAGCAAGTATATATATCTAACCAGAGTCTTTGTGTAAACTTACATAATCTTGTCATTGAGAAAGATACAAATCCCGCCTTTTGGTCGGTTTTAGATTGTGTAGGATGAACTAGACTTATCCGATACATTTCCTTCTCCAACCGAAGTTCGTTGTCACCGTTAGAACAGACGCCTTCAAATTGGAATTTTCCATCATTATTTGTCCCACCGAGTAAAAGTGTTGCTCCGTCTCCTTTATAAACTGTAAACAAGTTAAATATTACTAGTAATCTTTGATCGCCTATCGTTACAGCTGGTGCCAATATTATTGTTAGATGTTATAGGTATACATACTTTTAACTCCGGGTAATGGATTTTCATATTCGTCCGTTATTTTTCCAGTTATAATATGACCTTCACAGGTACAACGTCTACAATCTTTGCTCAATGTTCCAACGTCACAAATCCTCGAACAATCTAAAAATACAATTTTAGGGTCAAAAATTGAAAGTTACAATAAATAAAGTCGTGGCGACTTGTAGGATACAGGGTCACATGTATTGGACCTCTTTTGGATGTCGAATAAAGTGAAATTTGGTAATTTACACGTAGAACGACTTTCGGTCAGATTTTGTTTACAAATTATTCCCAGCATTGATTATTATTACCTAATATACATATTGCGTCAATGGCTGGAATAGTGGCTCAGTAACATCGTAACGGCAACAATTTATTACACTAATATTATGAAGCCAACTTTAGTTATTTTTCTAAATAGAAAATTCCAAACATTCCGTAGATTGGATAAATAAATTGACCGTGTTGAATACTTGTATATAGTTGTGCTTACATGGTCTTTGGTTGCGACATGTAGTTTTCGGAAACATCAAATTTAGAAAGTCAAAAATTACATCTTATCAGTGGTGTCAATTTGCCAAAAAACTTCCGATTTCGATTTGCCCAAAACGAACTGGGCCTGGTATTAATGGTCGTAGTCGACCCTTTGTGGTCGAAAGGTCGGGCGAGGAGATACGTGATCAATTTTTGGAAAGTTTGTCGTCAGCCTGTTAACGCAAACTTCATGTGGTCAAGCCTCCTAATGAAATAGGTAAAATCAACCATGGGCCCAACAGTGATGAAACTCATTCATTCATACATCCACACATGATCAGGGATACAGCTAAACAAACTTCATATTTAAATAATGACTAATCCGCGACCTAATTTGCGCCAATGCAAATAGTGCTAACACTATTTGTATAGAGCATCTGACTGAAGCCCCCTTGTTCGCAATAGATTAACCCCTACAAACGTTTGAACACTATATGAAAATCGAAACGAGGTTTGCAAGAACTGAATTTCCAATGCAGTGAATTTCATAGGTTTCTGTATGACTCTAATAGGGACTTTCAATCTGGCCCGCCTGATGTAGCCACAACCCAACGAAACCCGAATTTTAAGGTTTTAGCTGAAAAATTTCTCAACGAATTTGTTCAAATTGCGATTAAATTTAGTTTTGGCACGAGGCTCATTGTTTTCCCCTTTTGCTTTCGTAACACGTAAATATTGTTCATAAAATGTAACTTTTTACGTCACACTTGGCATGGCATAGAGTAGGAAAATAGTTAAGCATAGAGTAAGAAAATAGTTAGGTACCTGGACACTCTATTGGTGCGTTGCAAGTTCTTATTTGATATTTCAGGCCATCGCATTCTTTACCACCATCTTCAGGGCTTGGGGAATCGCATTCACGAGTTCTGTTTTGGATGCCTTCACCGCAAGATGCGCTACACTGAAACCAAGGCCGCCAGGAACCCCATTCGCCATCAACTGTAAAATGAAACAATCTATAATTTCATTGCCCAATCAAAGTAGGGTGTGGTGGTTAGCGTGTTTTTCGTGGTATTTTGTCATCGCATTCCCAGAATACGAGTTTAGTCCTGATTCGGCGTTCAATCGGACGCTGTCCACCGAAATCGGAAAGTAATAAATTATGTTCCATATATATATAATGGTTATTTCGTCATTCAGCTTGGAACTTTACCAAATTTGAGAGAATTATTGTTGCACATCTAAATAATTAAGAATGCGCAATATAAGATTGGTGCGCGGTATAATTGTGTGGATTTACAAGCAATATCTAGACGTGAATAACATATTTTACCTCAATACAACACTATACGATTTGAAATGTAAGCATAAAAAATGCTTTTTATTACAAAAATAGGGTTGCTTACCTGGTTGAGACGATTCTACCAAAGGTTCTGCAAAATAAAAAATCATACCATTAAAATTGTTCATCCACTAACCAGTCAAAACACTTGTCCCAAAAAAATGTTATGTATATAGACATGGTAATGACTTTGATTAAATGGTTGCTCTATTTTCTACAGTTTTTATTCCAGAAGATAATTGGAGCCCATTGTTTGTTTGACTGTAGTAAGACATTACCCAAATAAATTATTCCCAAGGTAAAAATTAACTTATATTCAATTATCCAACTTTCAAGACCGGAAATTTGGGAAGCCACCACCTCTAAAATAAAACCTATTTCGCTGTGTATCCAATACTCATTTTTCAAATAGCTACCCCAAAAAAATCCTCAAATTTGAATAAATTTGTTTAAAATGAACAATTAATACTTACGTAGAACTGATGGCCATACATAAAAATACACAATAAGTCCAATCGCCAAGAATACAGTAATACCGATAGCGACAGTGAGAGCAATGCACTGCCATCTTGGACAAAACGGTCGTTTCGTTGATACGTAGGATGTTTTAGAAAACCCAAGTCCAGTAGAAGCAAGACCACTGCTTCCCAAGGTCACGTGTGAGTTATGCTTCGTTGATTTCTTATTTTTCGTACTGTACAAATTGTTACCGCGGTAAATTGGGTCTGTCGGGGTCTTATCTTTTTTAAATGGATTAAATGACCCTTTTCTTCCTTGAGCAGAGGTGCGACTGTTAATTCTTGGTATGGAAGACTTCTGGGGATTAGAATAGCTCCCCGTTCCTGCCGTAAAACTGTCATTGTGTTCGTATATCGTTACCCCGTTATCAGGTGCATCTGACCCAGACCCCAGGCGCAGAGCTGATTCTGTAGGCAGAAGCAAAGCCCGTTGTCCGTATTCTTCACGGTGCGCCAGAGAGCCATTATCTCCGCGTGAACTTTTACTGCTCTCTCCATTTGAACCTCTGCTTTCAATTGTCCTTTGCAACAATCTGGATTGTTGACTACCGACGTCATTCATGACGTCACCTTGTTCGTTTCCGTAGGCAACAGGAGACTCATAACCTCTTGCAACGCTTTTCTTAGCAGCTGCAGCATTGTAACCATATCCAGTACCAGCGGGTCCGTATGTGTCATATGACATACCTAGGGTGTTGAATTCACATCCTGGAATAAGATGAAAAAATGAGTAAATTTTAAGGTTATTTGTTAAAACTCAAATGTTTAAAATGAAATGCGATGATTTTCTATCAAACATGAGCCTATCCCGATGGATTTCGAGATATATAATAGGTAGAAATTTGATCAATGACTAGGATGTGTTTAGGTCACAAAACAAATAGATGGAGATTTCATTACGACAAAATTGATAATCCATGCACGATTTGTAGATAATGCGTGAGTGAAACAAGATTAAATATTATTTTTTTAAATGTGATGTCAATTCAACACTCCCTCCGCTTTTCCTTTAGTCATCATAAATTACAATGATACGTCTCGTTTACTGAATTGCGCGCCAAAACTTTTTTTATGTGGCCACTCATATATTTCCATCGATTACGCTTTGTTTATTACGATTCTTTCATGTCGTATGCTTGATCCACGACCAACCATTGTTTACTTTTTAAATATTGGCTTTCGTTAAGTACGTGATTGCAAAATCAAACATAAAATCAGAAGTTATCTGTAAATGAAAATGAGTCCAAAACAAGAATTACAACGCGAATACGCAAGTACACATTTTTATAGATTCAATATATAAAGGCTAATGCCATTTTGATATACAGATTGAAAATTGGAATAGACACAAAAGTTGATATGAAATTCAAATGACATTTTTAGTTCATTTCATATAATTTTTTAGTGCCTCAGACAAATTTTTTGAAAATGCTAGTTTTCTCCATTGAAACAGAGCTGGCGGATTTATAAATCCACTTTCGCAGAGAAAATCTCCAAGAGGTATTGTCTGTCAACTTATTTACGAGTTGATATTATTCGTACTGGAAAGCAATGAAGCGTAATTTACCAGAATGGACAGCCTCCGTCTAAGGGTTATGCTGTCAAATGCTTCAGGTCTGGGGCAGTAAGGATGGCATACCCGTTACGATCATCGGTATAATTTTTATATCCTATCCCAGCGCCTGGTATGCGTTTTCAAGTCAATATAAGCAATATGAACAACATTTTAACTTAAAAAAATACCTGCGATACCACTTTCACCAGATGAGACGTTATGGTGCGAGTTGTTTGGCCCAACAGGAGTCTCGTTATGGTAATCTTGATACGTGGTATTTGATTGCACAGGCAATCCGTTATCAACGTAAGGCGGCGAATAATAAACATCGTATGGCGTCCCATGGTTTGCAGCATAGGCGCCATGATGGCTTCTTGTGGGCATGCTGCCAACTTGAGTATACTGCAATGCTCCGTTGTACGGAGGCGTTGCACCGCCATTTGTGAGGTCGTTATCAGCGGCTGATAGCTCGTTCCTCCCTTTGGCGAGTGATCGATCCATTCGCCTTCCACTGTCAAATGCAATATTAAAATACAGCTTTGATTTGTTGTTGAATGTTGAAAATTTGAGCCAATATTGGATTTTCAATCTGAATCCTTACAGATTGTATCATCCATTGGTTGGATATCATTAATATCGGAGTGAAAACCTTTTTGGGGGAAGCAAAATTAAAACATTTCGGAATTCCGCAGCATATATAACTTGGCGAGTCAAAACAATTATGCAACTCACTGACATATAAATATTAGACGTTTCACAGTTTTACAATGAACCAGACAGAGGGCAGAAGCAGGACAAATACAGCCACATATAGGAAGGCTAATATATGTTGGAATGATTCAAATCTTTCCCGAGTTCCCGCTTTGTAAATGCGATTACTTGAAAACGACTATATGTTTGAACGCAGGACGGCAATTCAGCCAGAAAGACACAATTTGATTCACATCGTACAAACCCGCTTCCGTTTTAGAGAGGATTGAACCCTCGCATTGATTTTCTATATATGACGGAATTATGCAGATAACAAAATCGTTTCCCACCTAACACCTTTATCCAAATCTAATGATTTACAGGTAATTTTAGAACTGAAATCATGCTAGACTAAACAATGTCATTAACTCCTCAGCTGACGTCCAGAAATCAATTTTATTGACAACCTATCATGTTTTGGAATATTAAAAATACTAATAATATTTTTCGCTTTGTTTGTGTACTAATCCTGGCTGTTTTGATGCCATGAAAATGCAAACGTTGCATTTGAGAATCTAGTCCCCTTTACACGTCGATATTCAAATACGATGATGACATTGTATATAATTCTAAAATATCAATAACACAATAGATCCCTTGCTGGGCCCACCGTAAAACAATCGTAAATGGACAATAACAGAATACACACACATTACTTGTAATATCATAAGATTACAGTCCATTTATATTTAACCAGGAGGTTAATTCATGTTTTAGGCAACCTTGTCAAACATGATTGCGTTTGACATGATTCGATTTTCTGTCGCATAAAATTTGTGACCCGGGCTGCCTGTACATCGCCGTAATTAACTTCAAACCCGACCTGAAATTCCGTTATAGACACAAATATTTTCGATCTCTTGACACGGAATATTAGACGACGAATTTGCATCAAAATTGCAAACGTTCGGCGAAATTAATTTCGTAACAGGATATGCTTCAGCACGAGAAAAGACAAATCCGTTTAAAGTTACTGCATGCTGAGTATTGCCAATATATATAAACAAGAATCGGCAATTTTGCATTTTTCTATCTTACATCATTTGTTTACTAAGTTTTTATTGCTACCTATGACACATTTCACTTAGTGTTTCATGTGACACAAAAACTCGAAATCAAAACAATATTAGAAATCTGTGGATATCAACTGGATCTCTCGTTTAATTTTAAATTTGATAAACGTGGACATTATTCACAAATGCCCATTGTTGGCGAACAGTCACGGACAACTGTTTTATAACTACCGTAGTTCATATAATGCAGCACCGAAAATCGTAGCTGTTTCGATTTTTCATTGTACATGAATGAAAAGACATGGGAAAATTACCTTCGTTTGTGCTTATTTGGTTAGCCGGCATCCTTCCTAACATTTTAGGCCTAAACACCCGTATCGATACAATTTGTAACGAAGGGTACGCACGTGAAAATTCAGAAACACGTATTTAAACAACGACCTTAGTGAGGCAAATGTTTATATATAATACTGACCTTAGTGAGTCATCAAGACTATGCTGCGAGTCGGCATTCATTACACCTCTTCGGCCGCCATCTAAGAACAGCAATCCCGATCCGACACCACTTTCATCTTGCCTGTTTGGGGTTTCTCTTCCATTGGGATTGAACTTTGACATTTTATGCCTTCTGTCGTAGGGGAGAGTGGTCCTGAAAGAAAATGCATCGTTTCATTTTGTATCAAAGCATATTTTCTTACGCTATTCTGTGCTGAAAACTTATTAGTTTAGCAAGGTACGTCATAATTAAAGAAATCGAACTCGGGGAATCATATATTTTATCCCGACAGAGCGACAGCTATCAAATTGAGCGAGGTCGGAATAAAATCTGCGAAAAACTGAGCGCTCTATATGTCTGTATTAAGTACTGAATATAAATCAATATCATTCTTTTATAATCTATCATTATGTTGTTATTTGATTTCAGCTATATAGGTATATATATTAATACGGTTTTTATTTGTTAATACTAAATAATCGATTTGACAAATATTATTCACATAGGGACATTGAAATAAAGCAGAAATGAGGTGAAACTCATAAACCTAATCACTTAATATTTTACATAAAAATTGATTTTGTAAATTTACGAAATCAATTTATTTGTTCAATGAAATGTATGTTTGTGACAGCATCGCCTATAATATATAATGTATTTTAATTAGAGAATGGGAAGTAAATAAAAGGTCACGGCCCCCACCTGGATCAGTTTAGGCGCAATCCCAATATATACTAAGAAGCGTATAATATGGGCGACAGTCTGTTTTATTGGGTTCTGTGTACAACACTGGGGGCTGTGGCACTCTCCAATATTATTCACATATTCAAACTCATCGCACTATATATTTCGATCACAATTATACCTAGAAAGTCTTTCATACCTGTCTATTGTCGAAGAATGATTAGCTTTCGGTGTTCTCTGAAAACTTGAATATGAATCCACATTCTGATTGGAAAAGGTTGAAATCGGCGTGGGCGATAAATTTGCGGGAGACATAGCGTCCTTGAACGTCGACATACTGCCGCTAAAATAGTCGTAATTTGCTCCTCTTGCCGTCATATTCGGATCCACTGATTGTGACGTCATGTATTTCCGGCTTGGATATCCATCCATTTCTGCTGATCCGTCAACGCTATGGTTGAGCTGAAAATTATTGATATACGGATGGTAAATATGGCTGTACATATTCTCGGTTGATTATTCGATAATACTGGAATGAAAAAATGACATGTTAAGATGTACTGTGACGACTCTAATTTAGATTTGCAAGTGCCATTCGGATGGATCGCGTCAAGAAAAATATGGAAATATAAAGTAGAATAAATGATATGAACACGACTACGACAAATGTCAGCAAAATTGCAGCTAGTGTTACAAGAATTTTACCGAATGTAATATGATGGTGCGCGCTTTAATTATACCTATACGCAACAGATAAAATGGGGTTCCCGGGAAACTCAGATAGAATTGTATAGGAAATAAAAGTAATATCCTTAGCGAGCTTTTCCACCTCATGTTAAAATATTTGAAATAGATTGTTTTGCGGAGAACAGCGATTTTTTCACAACAACAACAAACAAAACCCGAAACTCTTATCAGTGAAAACAACAACAACTTTGCAAAGTGAACTATATCCACTTCGAGTCCAAATCAACAGAGAAAATTTATGTTATCTTTCTGGCAAGCAACCGATTTATCAATCACACCTTTATACGGTACTTGTAAAAACTCCGGAGCTCCAGAAGTGTGTGTACCAATATGGAGGTAACTAATTTTGTTCGCCTACTTTACATCAAGTTGTATAAATGGACGGAAACTTATGGGCAGGGGGTATATTCAATTGGCTAACACAGACAGTCCCCGAACTTGTAATAGAACTAAAATAAGAAAAATCGGAATAAATTTATGGTCTAACCCTAACCTGGTACACACCCTACGGGAGTACCAAAACTGCACCAGCAATCATTATGCCACCCACATCCGCTGCGCGCGAAAAATCACAAAACCCAGCGCGATTTAATTTAACGCCTAATACCAATTTAGACTCCGGTGACTCAACTGGCTTAAAATAAAAAGCATGGAATCACAGTTTAAAATTCCCTTGTAAATTTAACTGAAAAAAATAATCCACTATTCTATTCGTTCGCGGTTTTCAATCAATATATATTAGATTTAGCCATCAGGTGCTTTTTGATGCTATGAGGTCTTTATTTACTTCAAGTATATTAGATTAAAATACAAACACGCACCTGGGCGAAAAAGGAGCTCCACTGAAATAAGAGGAGTGACCGCCAGTAGATAGAGTATTTGTTTTTTACGTTTTATATGTTTTGAACCACCCTTTCTTCAAATTAAGCGTAGAGGACCATTAGGTGGGATCGATGTCTCGTTAATTTACTTGATCATAGCACTTGTAAAGGTTGAAAACTTCGAAATAGATTTTTATTTTTCCAGAAACTTCGTGACATAATGGTGTAACAGTTATTCACAGACCAGGATAAACACAAAGCACTTTTTATCGCATCCTGATATCAATTTTTTCATTATTTGTATCTTATTGACATGTTTATGACGTCATACTTGTAGAGATTGCACTTCAAGTGAAATTTAATTAAAATTGAATGACAAATATTTTTATTATTGCAACGGAAAGTATATTAAAACAATATAAATTCGGATGTTAACAGATATTTAACGTACACCGTAATTCATAATGACCGCACCTGACTATTCAAAAAACATTTATACCGGAGCATTGTTCTAAATCAGCTGACTTGGCCATATTTAAATCAAAACAACAGCGTTAGCCTACGATAGATAATATCGTTGAGAGATATGTATTAATTACTTTTCTGATAAATACTCCTTTCATTTCGTTCCAAATGAGAGCCGTGGGTAGGCCTAAACTCAAAAAGATAATAACTATATATCTATCTTACATGGTCTATTGTAAAGTTAGTACAATATAACTTTTAAAGGAATTTCCTCTCTGACAAAACACAGACTTTAAGCTCCGTGATTCAGGAGTGCTTGGCAGCTCTGCGCTCGATTCTCGGCTCCCTCGAGACATACCGGGCGTTTTAGGAAAATAAGGTTGTACGTTAACCCTCTAATCACCCTTCTAAATAGACGAAACGACAGCAATATCGAATTACACAATTTGAATTTTGGTCAGTTTTAGTCGGAGCGAAATCCCAATGGAAAATGGATTGTATACCATAATTTGGTATTTTGGATGTGTTTATATGTGATGTGTTTGATTGATTCACGCCAAAATAGAATTTATTTGTGAAGCCTGATTAGACACAAAATCACAAGCCCGAAATAGTAGTTTCTATTCTAAATATACCTTCTAAATATACAATTAAGCAGTATCCTAATATTTCAGTCAGAGACTGCGCCATCGATAATCACGACATATGTTCCAGATACTAATGTGCCAAAAACGCAATGAGATGCCAAGCAAGAAATCATTAAAAAGGATTTAGTACCGGTTGCGAAATTTCATCTTTGACTCTTCTGTATTTGTGGTTGGATGATATAAAAGATATATTGCCGTAGAGAGGAAAGTAACATACACGGCTTTAAGATAAGCATATATATCATACCTCATTCGACTTCAGAGATGTAGTCCCGTCAGAAGTAGTCTTTAGTGAATCCGTATTCAATGGCTTAGGAGGCCTTTTGAAAGAGCTAAAATCACATGCCCTTGCGGCCATGGCAAAATATTCTTACTATGTTTCCTTTTTATTCTCGGTTTTATTTCACCCAAAAATCGTTATATTCTTTGGTAATCGTTTGTTATAAAATCACAGTGAAATCGTATATATTATCTTTATTAAAATTAATCAGTTATCTGAAATGAAAATGGGAAGTTAGTTGACTATACATATTCTGGTGAAAATGAATTTTCAAAAAGTATAATTCTTTTTGGCTTTGAGTATTGTTACGCCACGCTGTTGCAGCTAGTCCAACTAATTGATTCACCAATCAGGCATTTACTATACATTTGAATATTCGTATATTTTAAAATTTCGTCAAAGTAATAGTCGAGATCTCTAGCCTGTCAAATACGATTATATTCAAACCACAGAAACATTACGATTACGACTATAATTGATATTTTATGTAGAGTGAACCTGAGCGATACCAGCCGGAAAATAATCTATTGTGACAGCAAAGTTGAGATTTTTCGCTGTGGCGTATCTTAACAAATTTCAACAACGTAAAATATTTACTACAATGCCGATTGTCGCATGTATAGAACGTGTTACGCTACAAATTACCCGATAATCATGTTGAATTCGGCGTGCTGGTTGCGCATAAGAGGAAATTATTTTTGACCATGGTTGACTCATAGACTAGTCAATAGACTCGACTCAACTATAAATAATCAAAACTATTTCCTGTTCAAAAAGCTAACGTTATACAAAGATATAATATATACATTTTTTAAATCTAACAAAATATTTACTTTCAAGTACCGGTACTTTTCTAAGTACTACAGCTATATCGAACCTGCAATACACGGTTTAAAATGTATCTAAAATATTCTCCCGTAAGCTGCGAATCTACGAATCACTTAAAAAAAATTAATATACCGTTTTTGTACTATATATCACACATCCAATTAACCTAGATAACAGTTAAAGCCATGCTGACGTACTTATCCCCCGTGGACACAATTGCGGCTGTGATAGCAATGTCTCTGAGGGACATTTGTTAACTGACCGTAATAGCCACTGGTCACTTTGTTTGTACGGCAAAAAGCCGTAGGCCACATGATATTATCCCTTACATAGTATCATTAAATAAAGCATTATTGTTTGTTGAGTATATATATAGTTTATAATGTAGTTCATGATGCGTTTGTTTTCTGGTTGCAAAGGGTTAGTTTCAAATTGTACGAAAAACGTAAAAAAATGTCAAATCGTAAAAATGCACGCGGGATGTGTCGGTAAACCAACACCGAGGGCAAGCTGATGTGATCCAAAGACAATAGGACTTGGTGGGGTATTGAGCTCCAATCACAACACGCTAAGGAGATGACAAAAAAAGCTCAAAACTTCCCACAATGCGGGCAAGAAGACAATTTCAAGGTCCGGCAATTTACAATAGTCTCTGGGATATCGGATGACGAGTTAAGCTAGAACACAATTTTGGTTTGGTTTATTTTGTGATCGAATTTTACATCGATGCAAAACAAAGAAAGGCCACACTGCTGGAGGCCTAAAATCTAAAATTGACGTTTACAAAATTACGAAAAATGAAAAACAAGCCATCCACGTTGTTCAAAAATAATGAAGGAGTGTGGCTGCAAATTTAAAAGGAAGCTACGATTTTGCCTACGGTTTATCCAATAAGAGAATTTGAAAAAAATGTAAAATTAGTTCATGAATGAGAAATAGACGAGTAAAAAAGACAAAACATCGTGCCATTACGACCTCCTGACAAATTTCGTTGTAACAAAGAGAGTAAAACACATGATTTGTGAGCAGACTGTGTCAATAAAGCATTAAACTAATAAACCAACCCCGTGCACATCCCTGAATAACAAACACGTAGCGTCATTCGAAATGCTGAAATCATGCAAACCGCATTCCATCATTTATGTAAAGCAAATTGAATTGAAATTAGAAATCCTTTAGCGCCATAACAAATTCTCTTATCGCATTTTTAATGTGGATTACATTACACGGTTAGGAGAGCGAGAAAGCGAGTTTATATTTTCCGCTTCATCAGACACAAGCCAGCTGGGAAAGTGACGACATCAAACTGCGAGGAGTATAAAGTTGTGTCGCGGGAGATTGACAAACTCGGGAAAATCACCCCCAGAGTCATCGCGATAAGAACGTGAGAGGCCACCAAATTAGACAGCGGAAACGAAGGTTGGCCTATTCGGGTATTGTTTATAATGATTGAAAACATTTACCCATCCACACACCTAACAGTCGCGATATCCAATTGTAGGCTGTTCATAGAAAAACTGTACACCTAATGCGTGATAAATTTATATGTGTCACCAGATTATACACGAATTCTCAGGAACAGTATTTTTCACGACATATGGTTCGCCAAATCATACAAATATAAGGTGATAAACTCAAGCAAGTGTCTGACTCATTTTCATATGAACAAAATGAAAGTTAATGATTTACATATCAAATAAAAAGCCTATATACGGGATGTATTTTCAAGTATGATTTGCATATTAGAATATTATTTTGTTTAGTAAGCCATTACTTGCCAGGTTGAACCACCGAAGGGACTCGAGACGCGCGAACCCATAATGAGTATCCCGTATTTTATTTTTAATATTAGGGCTTCAATAAAAATGTTACGACCGAACTGGATTTTTAATAAAATAATGCCTTATCAGAATAACAACGTTTGTCAAAAGTCTCGGTTGAAAAAACTGCAAAATTAACTACATTTTTCAGTAAACAAAACCTTAACGAATACGGCCGAAACGCGATTGGCAAACGGAGTCACCCTACCCTTGAATTTCGCCCTTTTCAGCGAATATAAATTCCAAATAGGATACTTATAAACATAATTACCTACAAATACTGTAATATACTATTAAATTTGAGGTTTTTTTTCATAGTGATATTCAGATTTACATAGGTGCATATTCAATGGAACGAGCGTGACATTTGAAAACCATATAAATACACTAATGGCACCTACCTATTATCTTAGTAATCCGGGCAGATGAAACTGATAATTTTGTCTCAATTTTTATTCACGAAAAGCACAGAGTCAATAGTATTATCACATATAAACCAAAATGGCACATGGCACTATATTATTTTTTATTTAATAGCTGAATGAATGGAACAATGACGATCACCAACGTAATAAAAGCGAATTTAATTTTTCGCAAACGGAAATAAAATGATTTGAGTTCAAGAACTCGACTTAACCCGCTCATCCGTTACCTTTCTGGCGAACTTCAATTCGGCTATATTCTGCGATAACGGGAGTCGCGAATAACAAATAGTCTATTTAAATCCTCCGCAGTCGTGCATCAGTTAGTGCTTGCGACAAGATTAGTACCAATTAAAAAGGTTGAACTATTTACTGTGGGGATGTAGGACTAATCCCTATTCCGGCCACATAAACTAGGCTAGGCTAACGTTGTATCACGCTGAGAATGTCAACAACACTCGACGCTCGTGGACAACAACGCTCTATTAACATAAACAAACATTACAAGTACGTGGATGTTTTAAAACGAATACAATACGGGTAAAAATGTATAGTTGTAATGTATGTATAGTATACTAATTTATATAGCTAAGTTAAGGCAAAGAACTGTCATTTGAACACGTACAACTCGAAAACCTGCATCTACTTTGTGTACGTATACTTACATACAAGTTCATTGTGTTCATTTGCGTTACAGCAGGTAAAATAACTGCCGCACTGCATAGAATCACATTCCCTTCTACATAAATATCATGATTTGCATTAAAATTAGTTCAAAACTTTGGTATTTGTTGGAAAACTAAGTGGGACATATTCCTGAGAATGTCACTACACTCAAGCTTTTCATGTTCTGCTATTATTGACCAAAAATGGAATACAGTACACTTTCAGCAGTAGTTAAACAATGCCATCGAACTTCACACCTTCTTGGGGGAGAGTAACATACGGAAACGCTTACACAGGAAAGGCAGAAATTAGTACAGAGAGCAGCCCACGAGCCAACTGGAAATCGAAATTCCGTCACTATAATTGACAGAAACAATTGCTATTATTGCCCAACTAATGAATTGAATCTGAAATCGCCCCCTGTCATTATCACGATTGTCACTACTAAAGACATCAATCGTATAAGATCGATAACATGTAATTACGGCGCAATTGAACGAGCTTTCTAATTTGGTTATGAAGACAACGTTTTATCACAACGGGAATAAATCGCGACCTCGTCGAACGGAACGTGGTTAACTATGGGCCAATGATGCATAGCTCGAAGAAAAGAAAATTCTTTATGACGTATGGACCAAAATGATAACTTATGAGTGGAAACGATTCTTGACACTTTCAATCCTAATTCCGGGGATCAAATGAAAACGAGACACGCCTACTACTGCCACACGCCATTGTTCTTTGTGACATCGACGGGCATGAACACTAAAATAAATTCGCCATTAAAAGATAGTACTGTAAATTTGACACCACAAACAAAGCAGTGACTGAATCACAGCAAAACTGCATTCAATGGCCGTTTATGGTTGGTCGTACAAGAGATTTTCAATCCTATATACAATTCTACAATCGAGATCCTTAAAATATCATTCGCCACAATCCTTAATAAACTGATATATTCATACCCACTTGTTTCTATTCAAATTTTAACATCGCCCTAATTAGCAAGTATGCATTACATGCTAGAATGACCTTGTCCTTGTTGACCTCTACTGCAAAACAACTTCGCGTCATAAACTAGCGTTCATTGCAAACATATTGCGCAAATAGGTCTGATAGCGAGCAAACACTCCCTTTGTTTAATTTAAGCTGGTCCAAGAGATAGCAAAATATATACAAGCAAGTATGGGATACGCTGTGTAAGCTTGAATATCTTTGGCAATATTCGACAAAGAATCATTTTGGCAATGGTATACTATATATATGATAAAAAACGGACGTCTGTTCTAGTTTTTGTATCGCCAAAAAGAATAATATTGAGTCTCAGTGAAGAATAAAGGAGTAAATAAACAACTGAAAGCAGCAGTAAGGGCGATAACAATAGAATATCAGAAACACAACTATGAATCAACATCAAGCTCTTTTGTTTGATACAAATTCAAAATAAATGTCAACACCTTCAAATACTAAACTGAAAACCTCATTAAATT